ACTGAAAGCTCATATTATTTCTTTTAACGAAGTAATTCAATTAGTTCGCGAACTTTTTGATCACCCCTCGTATTATTGTTATCCTTGTCCGTCCGTCCGTCCGTCTGTCACACTTTCCTCTTTCTCAAACTACTCTTACATTTTAAGCAGCAGGTAACTCATCTTTTAGAATATGATTGGTCGTGCCTTGATCATGTGCAGAAATGTTTTGAAATTGTCATGTTCACCCTGGGGGCCAATCGGGGGTAAAAATAAGTTTTTCTGCATAAACCTGGTTCCCTGTACTCCTCTTACATTTTTCGCAGTAGTATATATTCATATTTTGAAATAAGATTGGGAGTATCCTGTAGATTTGCAATAAGGTTTCGGAATTTAGATGTTCGCCTTAGGGGATGATAGGAGGTCGGAAAAAGACGTTTTTTCTCCAAAAACCTGGTTCCCAGAACTCCTCTAACATTTTTCACAGCCCAGTCGTATTTTGGAATAAGTCTGGGAGTGTTCTGTAGATGTGCATTGTTTCAGAATTTCGATTTTCACCCTGGAGGCCATTGGGGATCAAAAGCGGACTTTTTAAAAAATTATAAATTTATTGTGGCTTCTTCCCTTTTTACCCAAATATGAAGGTGAGTGCATTTAGAGGCAAGCACCTACCGTACGTGTGAGTATTACTGTCTAATGAGAGCATCTAGTTTGTAAATGTATTAAATTCTTTTTATACCCGCGCTTTCTAAAAAAGTTCGGGTATATTGTTGTTACCCTGGTCCGTCCGTCAGTCTGTCACACTTTCTTCTTCCTCAAACTCTGTTTTATTTAAAGCAGTGGCCAATTCATATTTTGGAATATGATAGGTGGTGTCATTTAGATACGCAATAAAGTTTCAGAGTTTTCATTTTCATCCTAGGGGCCAAATTGGGGTCGAAAACGACGTTTTTATCACAATACCTGGTGCAAAGAACTCCTCTTGCAAATTACACAGTAGCCAGATCATCTTCTGGAAGATGATACGTGGTTACTGTAGATGTGCAAAATGGTTTCAGTTTCTTGATTTTTGCCCTGGAGGCCAAATTGGGGCAAAAAACTTTTTTTTTCCTACAAAATGCAGTTCCCAGATTTCCTCTTACATTTTACGCAGTAGCCAAATCATCTTTTGGAAGATGATACGTGAGGGCTAAGTTGGGGTCGAAAAAAGACGTTCTCCCCTTCAAAACCTGCTTCCCAGAAACTCCTCTTGCATTTTACGAAGTAGACATTTCATCTTTTGCAAGATGATTAGGGGTGTCCTGTAGATGTGCAATTACTTTCATTTGGTCAAATGGAGGTCGAAAATGACGTTTCTTATAATTTACAAAAACCGGGATCCTAGAACTCCTCATACTTTTTACACAGTAGCCATTTCTTCTTTGTTAGGATGACGGGGGTGTTCTGTAGATGTGCAATAACGCTTTGGAATTTTCATTTTCACCCGAGGGGGGGGGGGGGATTGGTCTCAAAAAAGAAGTGTTTTTTTTTATATTTTACAAAAACCTGGTTCCCAAAGCTCCTCATACATTTTACGCAGTAGCCATTTCATCTTTAGAAAGATGATTGGGGGTGTCCTTCAGATGTGCAATTATAATGTTTCGGAATTTTCATTTTCACCCTAGGGGCAAAATTTTCAAATTCCAATTTGGGCCTATTTTCTGTTTTTACAAAAAAAATATTTTTCTGAAACTCCCTCTTTAAAAATCAGAATTTACTTCATCACAATCTTTACTTTCAGACCGGTAATGAATTTATTATATGAAAGACTAACATAAGATCTGCTCACCTGTGCACTTAATGCTCAATTTGATACATGTACATACTTTTTATGTAAGATATACAATAACTTTCGTGGCATCTTCTATTCCCAGGAACAAGGAAGCTAGCATACATTTAGACTCTAGAGGCAAACACTTACATGTGGGTATATAGATAGAATGTTCTATCGTTAAAATGATAAATGTCCTACGGACCCGATTTAACGGGCCTGTCCCAAGACACAGTTAGATTATTCTAACTAGTGGGTATAGTACTGTCTGAAAACAGTATATAGCTTTTTCTTGTTTCTAGCCATTGCGCAAACACACAACACGCCGTCACGCTAACGCAACTTTATTCAACACCACGTCGCATTAACACACAACATGCCGTCACGCTAACGCAACTTTACACAACACCACGTCGCTTTAAGGTCAAGATCTAGTAAATGAAAGGTGCCTACAGATTTCTTAAATTTTAGAAATGAATTCTTTTAATGATCCTTTACAAATATAGCTTGGTAAAATAAGGTGTATCGGGACATAATTTTTAGGTAAACTCAACGAAAAAACATAATTTAAGCTGTCATTTTCAATGAAAAATGAAGAAAGTCAGGTAAAAATTTCAGAGTTTTTTCCATCTCAGAAAAAGGAAATGTATCAGTATTGCCCACAGTCTCTCAGAAAATGATTTCTCGTATCTTCTTGACCTCTACTTTAAAATGATATTAAATTGAATGTAAGTATCGGGGTTACTTTTGACAAGATTTCAAATTGAATTCCATGAAAATGCTTCATTTTTTACAAAATTCTACTACAGCCGTAAAATACGGGAAAAAGTAAGTTCAAATTGATTATGACGTCATAATGGATCTTGCATCAAAAAGACAGTCTAAACTCATTTACTAGATCTTGACCTTAACACACAGCACACCGTCACGCTAACGCAACTTTACAGAGCATGCCGTCGCGCTGACACAAAACACGTCATAACGCTTACACAACTGTGTGTTAGCGCAACAGCGTGTTATGTAAAGTTAGCTTGGCAGCGTGTTGTGTGTTAGCGTGACGGCGTGTTGTGTGTAAATGCGACGGTGTGTTGTGAACAACGCGCTAACGCGTCGTCACTTCGCGCCAGCGCGTTGTTCCTAACGCACTGTATGGCCCTATCGTGACTCTATAGATTACAGTTCAGTTTGGTTAAATATTGGACTGCAAGAGTCAAAAAATTTTACTTATTTAAACATATATTTCCAATTTTTTTTCCAAGTTCACATTTCACTTCATGATCAATGGTCTCTTTTCCCGGGTAAATATATGTTTTTCTGTTCGACCCGTTTCTATTCAATATGAATGAATTTTACGCAGAAGCGCGTAAATAAATACAGGCCAGGCACCTGTTCAGGTTTTTTATGCATTTGATAACTGGCCAGTTGCAATTAACGGATGCGCAAATTCAAGGGGATACTCTTATCATGTCTACACTGTAAAAAATGTGTTTACAATTCAAACACTTTTCTAAACACTTTCTTGTCACCTCCTTTTTTTATATGTTTAATTTCTAAACATGTAAAATTCCTAAACATGTCTTAGAAAGTGTTTAGAAATTAAACACTTGTGTGCTTAGAAATTAAACATATCTAAACACATAATCACAAGTGTTTAAATTCTAAACACATAACAGCACATGTGTTTAAAATCTAAACACATCATAAGTTTAATTTGTGCCTGCAGAAAAACAAATCACTCTCGTAAATTTAGGCACAAAAAGTTTGTTTTTTAAATGCGCATAATTGTCAAAATTTTCAAAATATGTAACCAATATTAATTATTTTCCATAAAGGCACTGAACGTTGGGATATGTATTTAATTATACAATACAATGGTCACTGTGCGATGTACATGTACTTAATTTACACAAATAATGTAGGAGATAGAACTGAATAGATTTGATTAATCTCAACAATTCAATCGGAATGACACATAATTTATAACGTACACATAGATAAACAACTTTTAATCTTCAAAATTATTAAGAAAATAATATTAAGCTGACAATTTAATATCAAAACTTCATTGAATATTTCTAAAAGGCTTTATTAAAGAATTGTTAAACTAAAAATACAAAATGTATATTTATATATATATTTATTATAATCATATTTTGAATCGGCTGCAGAGTTTTCCTCATGTCAATCACAAAATATCAAATTTTATGAACTTTCAGCAAGTCCCAAAGTACCACATATTATAATCTATATCCCATCAATAACTGCCAGAAAGTAACCCATTTCGAATGCACGAGGATAATTGTAAACACTGTCGAATTAACACAGTAGTCTTCAACAAATGAAGTTTCAAAGTGTTGATTATGGAACAACAACATTGCACTTGAAGATGACACCAGGTACTCTGATACGTGTATTTTGAGTTCGATCTGGACTACGTACGGTGCCTGTAGGAAAGAAAGCCAGATTTTAGAAGAAGTACACTATCACTGATATTTTACATTACTTAGAAAAACAAAATTGTTCAAATTTTAGTGAAACTACACAGATATAAATATAGATGATTTTAATGACATTTAATATTATTTCTTCTCCTGCAAGTCTATGAACGAATTCAAGATATCCCAAGTCAACTTTATTTACGGTGCTCATCGTGGTTAATCAATGCAAAGAAAAAGAAAACAAACCTTTAATGTATTGCAGCAACAAGATGCCCTTTCACGTATTTCACTATTTCGTCATGGTTATCCCTTGAATTGGGTTGTCATAACTCTCATTGATACATCACCTTAGCTTGTTGTGTTTTCTTTGTTTACATAGCCGCTCAAATTAACGTTCAAATATATGTGTGTCATTTCCGGGAAGATAACTCTGCACTTTACAGTAAAACGTGTTTAATTTCTAAACGCGTTTAGATATAAAACATGTTAAGACATAAGTGTTTAGTTGTTAAACACAATACTATACACGTTTAGATCTAAACATGTAATAGAAGTGTTTATTTCCTAAACACAATTTTTACAGTGTACTGTGGGTGCTTGTACACATAAAAACATTAATTTGCAACTGTGATACTTCTAACCTTATAACTTTAAAACTGCTGCTATTTGAGGGATAATTTGGTGTTTTAAAAGCGGTCAAGTTGTATGTCCCTCAATACCTCACTGTTGGAAATATGATGAAGTCAAGAGCCTAATCAAAAAAAATGTGTGCCTCTCAATCTATTTAATTTTATTTCAACATGTTTTAAAACACAATTAGCTTAAACATGCCTTATAAATTTATAATTTGTTTTAAAACACATTTAACTTAAACATGTCCTATACATTTATAATTTATAATTGAAATAATTGCACTATTTTATCTCCCCACAATCAACAACATATTAATATAATATGTATATACATCTTTTACAGGTACATGTGTATGAATACATATTTGTCTACAAACATACATGTAATAATTGTAAATATCTCTGAAGAAGGTGTATTTTTTATGCAGTCTTCCACAACCAACAACCCCCACCCACCCAACTCCCTATAGGGATATTCCCATGGCTTTAATGTATTCTACATTTAGTGCATACCACTGACAAAGCATTGTCTTCTGAACACTGATCTCTCTTTTGGCTTTACATAGTAGGATAGTATCCTATAACAATATTCCATTTTACTGGGAGTGGGGATTTACAACATTTACAACATTTCTAAGATGGACATTATTGTTCCAAGATAATATTTCTACATTTATTTTTGACATTGTCTACATGGTACTGGCTCTAGGAATAGGCCACTCTACTTGTCAATTTAAAGTTTATCCAAATCATGTCTTGGCAACACTTGGTAGATCCACCACAAAACAAGGCCTCAGCAACACTTGTTGGATCCACCACAAGACGAGGCCTCAGCAACACTTGTTGGATCCACCACAACACGAGGCCTCGACCTTCTGACCTTTCTTTGCCAAGTTTTCCAGGTATTCAAATGGATCCTCAAAATCCAGCTGTCAATGAAAGAGCAATGCGTAATTTTTTATATACAAGAACATAAATTGCGAAAAAGTCACAAATCAAGTGATAATCGTTAAAATTTTCTTTCTAGAAATAGAACTTTTCAATGATGGTGACCTAAAATGGAAAAGGACTTTACATTATCAAAAAAAACTTCTTTACACATTTAAGACTTGACATGATAAGTGAGAACCTTTATATATGTACCTTGCTATTGCTATCCGTACCACAGGATTTCTTAGGGCCTGGTTGATACTCAAACTCGTCTGAGAAACGGGAGCATTTCAGGGCCGCAGCAACTGCCCCAGTTACCATGACAACATCATCTTTCTATTCAAAATAATGTTTGTAACAAACTTAACAGGTCAGAATATGCACATTTTATGAATTAAAACAATGATTTTTGTAAATATCTTTATTTATGCATGTTTACAGGTAAAAAAAAAAATATTCCTTGATGTTCAATAGTTTGAGTGAATTTTTTTTTTCTGAGCAATAATACTGTATACAGGAAAATTTTCGCCCCGTTTTATTTTCGCCCCTTTCAACCTACTCACTGGTGGGAGAATTTAAAACAGGGCAAATTCAGAGAACACAGTATATTTTCTTAACAGAATTGAGACTGGGTGAATTTAAAGTGGGGCAAAATTGTTTACATGCGTGAAAGGGCGAAAATAACACAGGGCCAAAATAACTCTGTATACAGTATACAGAGTTAGGAACCATATCTCATAACCCTGTATACAGTAATTGGTCTATTTTTTTTTTAAAAAAAACTTCATATCTAACCTTCCCACATTCTATAAATCAAAATACACTGTACCTTAAAAATGTGTTGATGATCAAACTTAAATTCAGCCTCGTAGCCTGGAATCTCCCCATTGTAGATGACTTCAGTTGGTTCTGCCTTTGATTCGGGAGGAAGTTTAAAAAGTCTGTACGTCACAGACACAAAGCGAGCATCACCTGGTGGAAAATTGATCAAGGTTATTAACACATTGTTTTGTTTTGAACATATTTTATTGTGTAAATGATACAAAGGGAATTGATAAAAGTTCTTGCAACTTAGAAAATCCTTTCCCTGTATTAACACATGCATCCTCACATGTTCTTTGAATGCAATATTTGTACATCTGTAATGTTGCAGCTTTTGCTATTGTTGAACTTTTGTGTTGAAAGTTTGTCTCGGGCCATATAAAGTTAGACTTATTGTTCAAGTTCATAGCTCTATGTAGTACCTATGACTTTTAAACATGAAAACACTCTTGTGCATAAGAAATACACACCAGGTCTTCCAATATGAGCACATAAAGAAGAAAATGCTATTATCTGCACTTCAATGTATCTGTACCTTACATTTATTTTGTAACCAAACTAGACAACATCTGTAATTATCATAAAATTATATGCTTGAACAAAGGGAACTGCCCTCTACTGAGGCAATATATGAACAAAATATATATATAACCTCTGCATTAAAGAACATACAAAACATGCACCATTATTGCCTCATAATTCAACGTAGCTAAAGAAAGCAAGCATGATACCTAAGATCTTCTTGAAGTCTTCTCGGTCAATGGGGACAGGTGCTGCTGTCACAAGAAATGGTCGACTGAAGCCGACTTCTGATGCAAGGGTGAACAATTCCTTCCAGTACAGGGCTCCAGAAATACACTCACCTGAAAATCAAGAAAAAACTCATTTAAAATGTTTTTGGATAAACCTGACCACAAAAACTACAGATGCAAATTTGCTCAACTACATGACTATATGTACATATATGTAGTTTTTAACACTGTAAATTGCTGATGATTTATAGTAACATGAACTTGATAACTGAAAAAGAAACCTATGTGAACTTTTTAAAAAAAAAAATTCCCTATCCCTCTGTTCACTGTATAATATTTTGCTTTTATACTGATGATTTTTCAAAAGAAATCTAATTTCTAATTAAAATAAACACAATTTCAGTATATCTTTGCAGAGCAAAATTCGACAGAAATTGTCTTATAACTTGACAATGAATAATAGTCATTTAACCAAGTAAGAGTTATCTCTCTTATCAGAGGATCAATGAACCTTAATCAAAGATCTTACCCCAGAGGACTTCATCTTTCCTGACTGAGTCCTCCAGCTCTCTATCTGCGTAAATATCACTGAAGTAAAACTCCCCTCCCTCCTACAGAAAATAATGAATAAAGGATCAAAAGAAACAAATGGCAGTTTATAGAAAATTTATACATGGAAATTTCATTTGCAATGGACATATATACGGTACTTTAATTTTTGAGATGATAAAATAAAAGTACATGTACTGCATTACTATTCAGCATGAGAAGCTACTAACACACAGTAATAATAAATAATTGAATATGAGGACTGAATAAACGTGTACAAAATAAATATTCAAGATGTAAAGAATTCTAATAGTGTGGAGTATTACCTTTAAGACACTGTAAGCCTCCTTAAGTACAGATTTTTTGTCTGGAGAAAGATTAATCACACAGTTTGATCTGAAAAAAAAGAGAAGACCAATACACTTCATAACAAGAGGCCCAGGGGCCACATCGCTCATCTGAGCACTTCATAAAAATACCCGGGTATCAAATTTTTTTTTTGTACAGGGGGTTCTTAATATAATGAACAAAATTTTACTGAATTATTTAAACAATTTCACATGACTGTTTATGAACTGTGAGAGGTTATATATTGAGATGATATTTTACATGATGATGTCGTAGTAATTTTCCTTCAGTCCAGCTTCTCTAAGCTTTTCAATGTAGCCTTGTACAAAGTCTGTATTGGCCTCTTTATAACCGAACTTTTCTCTGTGATAGTCTATGTATTTGCGTGCCACAGCTATCTACAAAGATAGAAACAAATTAACATACCTGCTTTCAATTCCATCTTTTTTTTTTCCTTTTTTTTTTTTTTTTGTTTTTACGTCTAACAATAGTGATATTACATATAAATCCTCCAAGCATGTGCAGTATTGCAAGTTATAATTTTATAGACTGTTGAACAATTTTCAAATGCACTTTTTATAAGTTATTAACGCAAATAGGTTTTTATATATAATTGATTCAAAGAAGGGGGAATATTCTGTGCATTCTATAAACTGTTAAGCATGTTTGACTTCAACTGAATAAATCCAAAAAAAGCACTTCTTTTACCTGTTCATCTGTCATGTCAATTCCAGTCACATGACCATTTGGACCAACCAGCTTACTGAGAGCAAAACAGTCCCGCCCACTTCCACTCCCTAAATCTAAAATCTTCATTCCCTCCAGTTTCTCTGGAATCACCAGTCCACATCCATAGTACCTAGTGAACAGATCATGTAAATCATTATCAATAAAGGTTTAAAATATAAATAAATTTTAATACTTTTCTTTAAATAGAAAAAATAAGTACATGTATGTTAAACAATGCATCAGACAGATTAAAAATTTACACTTTTGGTTTCCCTTTACTCATGGATGCTATGTTTCAAAAATTTATCATTAAATTAATTAACATCAGATTTTGAAAATGTTACAAGTAGCTGTGACGGACATAAGTGGGTGGGTGACTGGAGCGAATTAAAAAAGAATATGAATTCAGTAGTCACAACAGTTATGCCCCTTTGTAATTTAATTTCAATATTTAAGTGATACAATAACAATTAAAGTGTATTACAACAATTTGTAATGTCATGGATATGATGGTACACTAAAAAAGTAAGGTTTTCATTGACTGTACGTCTTCCAATTGATAGAACAAAGTAAAGTTATTCAAATTCATAATACTGAAGTATTGCAATTTCCAGATTTTCATACAAACAGAACAAATAAGAGCATATAAAGCTCAAGTATTTTTTTTACAACTGTTGCTTAAGTTTCAAATTAGATTAAATGAACATTTTAATTATTACTAGTAATCAACAGATTATGAAACCAATTAAAAATAAATTACTTAGACACCACTTCATCATGTACAGCAGCTACCGCTTCCCTGACTGGTTTGGTCACAGATTTCCCGACTGTAACACAGGCCTGTGTCTTCAGATCATTTACTGTCTTAAGTTGTTTACCATAGTAGTCCTTGACAGAATCATGAACTTGGCCACCTTCCATATTTGATTTATGTTTTCAATATAATTTTCTTCCTAAATACAAAACAATATTTCCATTAATCTTTATGGGCTACTATTCTGAAATTTCTTAGTTATACAAATCAGTCCTACAGTCCTAGGGGAGGGAGTGGGTCACTTTTATTTGAAGCTAAATAATGACATGCTTGACATGAAATGAGTAATTAAACAGTGACCCAGGGTTGTAAATTTCACCCTTAAAAATTAATTCCTTTCTTTTCTACAGGTTTTTTAATGGGTACAATTTCCCACACCTGTAAGTTTGCTAGTTCTTGGCTTCTTATCAGCTAGGTGCAACCCACTTATTAGCCTTTAATATATGAGATTTCTGTAACAGTCTGCGCATACAGGTAACTATAAAGTTGGGTCTCTTTGAATAATATTAAGAATTGGTCATCAATGTATGTCAGAACATGTCAACATTCAAAGAATGTAAAAAAAAAAATATATAATGAAACAGATTTGGAGTTTATCTATGGATTTTAATGTATATGAATTATTACATACAATGTATTATATGTACAGTAAAACTTAGTAATAGTAAGAAAATTTAGTAGGAAAAAAACAGAGACTTTCGAGTATTTCATTCTGAGGTCTCTGGTTTTATCCTTCATTTATAACCCCAACCAGAAGCTTTTGTATCCCATTCAAAGTCTTATGTATCAAGGTAATATTTGAGGAATAAATGAGTGGTTTACAATAAATAGGCTTGACCAGAGACGTCTGAAATGATTAATTTCACAACAAAAAAGTCTTTCGAAGCGAACGATGTCATTTTTAAGTAGGTTAATAATTGATATATTAACAAAATACAAGCTTGAAGTGGGGGTGCCTGAAATTGAGTTAGGTACCTTGTGGTAAAAATAAGTAGGGGGTGCCCTGTATATGAAACAAGTGCCTGTGATTTGAGATATTGATGGTTAAATCATTCAAAAAAAGGGTTTGGGACTTTCAAGCTTCAAAATATCCATGGTATTTGAGTTATCGATGTTCAAGATACCGAAGTTAAACTATATATAACTGTATATAACTAAATCAGAATTATGTATATATCATGTATCAATGTACATATTCATATATAGAATAAAATCCCAGCACATGTGGTTTGTGTCATTATATTTAATTTTTTTAACACATGTGCCAGACGAACACAGTGTAAATCAATCCTTTTCGAACATGTAATAGTATGTCCTATTTTTCGCACCTGTACAAATCTTCACTCATGCTCGTGCAAACTTTTTAAATTTAAAGGGACGATGACATGTTTGCAGTTTAACCAGTTGTTAACTACAGGTGTCAATAATAAATAGCATAAAAAGCTTGATTATATCTTCCAGTTAAAGAGTTTGCAAATTTCAACTCACCTTGAAAAGTTACACTGCGATCCACATCACAGCAACCAACCGCCGAGAAGGTAACCGTAAACGATAAAGTGAAAAATGAAAGTAGCGTGTCCGTCTGAGTGCGTAAAGCGCTTAAGACAGTTGACAAATCTTCCTCCCATAAAAACGTTTGGTTGATTGTTCGTCTGACACGCGGAAGTTAAAAGCTGTCAAACCATAACCGTCAAACATATGTTCCACATTTTGATCGAAGATATATATGTATTTCAAATGAGCGCTGTCTTCACAAGTTTAGAATAATGTTTTAGAAACTGGTTAAGGATTACTCAATATTCTAAAAGTAAGCGTAAGTATCTCTGAAATCGATAAACATGATAAGCATGGAATACTGAAAAGTTTGTGAACTTTGAACAGTACAAAATTATATGGTTGTTGTGTAAGGGACAAGATAAAGATTTTCCATTTTATCTTCGTCTTAAACCTGCTCCGACAGTGGATTGTTATTTACTGCTTGTAAGTCTAAGTGTAAGTATATCCCGGTTCTGTTTAGGCTTGCTCATTTGGAGTGGTGTGCATAATTTTTATAAAGTAAAATTTTTCTTTCAGCCATCTAAATTACACTGATGAAACTTTAATCACAAAATTCATTTTAGTTAACCCAAATGCAATTTTTTATTAGACTGTCTTCATTCAGTCCAAGCTTAATTGTTGTGAATATTGCAAAATGCGTTATATGCTCAAGGCATTTTACTATATAGTACTTAGTTCACTAAGCAGTAGCCAATCGCCCATGAAACTCTTTTTTCAATCAACCTTTCTCTAAACAAATTTATTTTCATAAACATAATTTAAAGGTTATTAATATAATGAGTTGCTGCCTGATAATTTTCCTCCCCCTTGATCAGTGCAGTTTACTGAAGAGAGTGAGAATGCAAGGCAAAACATGAGAGTGACAACATCAGGAAATGAGAATGCGAGGGTGAAAATATGAGGGAACAAAAATCATTGTGAGGGAGCAAGTATGATGATGCAATGGCATACGGAAAAATGGGACAAAAATATGAAGGGCTGCTCAAAGTTTAGAGGATGGTAGAATGAAATAGTGCTAGCATCACCCTCATATCTTCATTCTACATTTGCACAATCACCCTAACATTCTGACTCCTTTGCTATTATCCTCCCTCTGTCCTTCTATTGTTCTTGTAGTATCACTTACTTCCTGTTCTCACTGGTTCTTTTGCTTTAAGAAGGAGTCAAAAGGGACCTTTTTAAGTTCAGTATATCATTTTTCAATAGTTTATTTATTATTATTTCTTTAATTAAAAGTCTTTATGCAAATGATAGATTTGTATTCTGTGACTTATTCCTGTTGTCTCTATGGGGAGGATAGGGATGCAAATGATTAGAGGTGACACATTATTGACCATATTTTGTAATAAAAAAAGATCTAATAAAATCTACTATTAAGTGGCAAATATCTTTTCAGTATGGTACAGAAAATTTTAAAAAAATGTGTTCATATGTGTTGAAGTTCCTACATTAATCTATACCTAATACCTTAGAACAAAGACTTTCAGGTTAAATTGGTAAATTTCTCTCCCTCTCTCTTTCTCTGAATATATTTTAGATACATGTATTTTTAACTAAATTTGAGGGGAAGCAAGTGATGTGACAAAGTAATACCCAAAATTCTTGCAACATTGATTTTATTTAATTTAAAAAATTACAATTAAAAAAAAAAATAACAAAATTAATTTTTCTTCCCTTTAGACAACATTAAGATAGGTTTAAAGATTTATACACACATGTATATACTAATCATAAATTTTACTCATTATTGTAATTCATGCAAAAGTTTCCAATTTTACATCAAGATAAAAATCATGACCAGAGACTTTCACTAAATATCCTATGCAGTTTGTTCTTTAAACATTTTTAATCTGTTTATATATTGTTGTTGATTAAAGCATGCCTCATCTTAACTTCAATGTATTTTTTTTTCATTGATCATTTAAAAAAAAAAAAAAAAATTTTCAAGTTTGACTATAAACTATTGCTAAATAAAGCACATTCAAGATCAATACATATATAAACAAAATTATGTCAGTGTTTACATATCAAAAAATCTATTTCATACTGATCAATGATGCTCAGATATGAAAATATTGATATTCAGGTTTTTGTCAATATTTATGATATTTAAAACATTTCAATGTGATGAATTCATGCATTACAAATCAGCCTTAGGGTATTCATTAAATACATGTCTATGCAACCATTAACTGATTTGCTTTTAAAGTTTCAATCTCAGATTAACATCTGTTTGCTTGTTTAAGGAAATGTAAAACAAATTAATTTGTAAGAAATTCTTCTGGTAAGTGATGGATACCTAAGTCCACTTAAAGGTTTACATCATCAGGAAAGGCAAGTCATAGTGTACGTAATGTTGTGATAAGGTGGCGGTTTAAGGGAGGTTACATGTATGTATGTAGAGAGAGAAAGAGAGAGAGAGATTGCATTTAATTCATGGTATTTCTAATTTATCAACCGTCTAGAGGTTTACATATTTTTACTTATTGATTTACATTTTTTTTTTGGTACATAATAATATTTGATTGATTTTTTTTTCTTTTTTAATTAGAGAATTGAGGTTTCTTAAAATTTTAATGAGTTTTTTCCTCTTCCTGCTTATGAGAACTATACACAATAACTGTTGAATTTTAAGCTCACCTCGATGAAGTTGAAATGAGCTTATGCTATACCCCTGGCATTGGTGATGGTGTCGGCGTTAGCATCGGCGTCCTGGTTAAAGTTTTAGGAGCAAGTCCATTTCCAAGTAACTATAAGAGCAACCTGGATCAAACTTGCATGTATGATGCATCTAGGGATGGACACTACTACACTTGCTTTGGATGCTGGATCTGACCTAGATTTTCCAGATGAGTGACCAGGTTAAAGCTTTTGGAGCAGGTCCATTCCTAAGTAACAATACGCCCTACCTGGGTCAAACTTGCATGTATGATGCATCTAGGGATGGACACTACCACACTTGCTTTTGATGCTGGATCTGAGCTAAAGTTTCCAGATGAGTGACCAGGTTAAAGTTTTTGTAGCAGGTGCATTCCCAAGTAACTATAAGCCTGACCTGGACCAAACTTGCATGGATGATGCATCTAGGGATGTACACAAACCAACCTGCTTCGAATGCTGGATCTGACTTAGATTTTCCACATGAGTGAATTTTAGCCATATTTTAACAAAATTAGCATGGATGATGTATCTAGGGATGGACACTTCCAGACTTGCTTTGGATTCTGAATCTGAGCTACATTTTCCAGATGAGTGACCAGGGTATTTCTTTGGAGTAGCTATATAATATTATTGCCTGTTATGATTAAACTTGCAAAGACGGTGTGTCTAAGGATGAAAACTTCCAGACTTGCTTTGGATGTTGGAACTGACCAAAATTTTCTTGATTAGTAAATGGGTTAAGAGTTTTTTGAGCAGGTCTATTCCCCATTTCCAAGTAACTATAAATCCTACATAAACCAAACTTGCATGGATATTGATCTTGGGATATACACTAACTAGAAAAAAAAATATGATGTGAAATTTGCCTTACTTATAGATAACATTTGTCGAGGTGAGCTTTGTAATCTTTGATTACCTATGTTTTATAGAGAAAGCAGTAGGCAGTCGCCATGGCAACAGAAAAGACACAAAATGGTAAAAGTGGTGCCTCTGACACGGACAAGGGAGCAAATCGTACTTTGTACGTGGTCTTCCTGTCCCTGGTGATTGACCTGTTGGGCTTCACACTGATTCTCCCCCTCCTACCATCCATACTGGACTACTACGGCACCAATGAAAAGGTAATACAGTTGTTGTCATGGAGATATTTATATTTTTGTCAAAAGATCTGTTATGTAGGTTTTCTGAGTGATTATTCTGGGAGAAATTTAATGCTTTAATCCAAGATTGTTGCATTGATTACAAAAACAAACAAACACCTCCCCCCTCCAACCCCTCCCCCATTTTGTAAAATATCAGAGGAGGGTATTTACTATGTGATCCTATGAGAAATCTTTTGATTTGCCAATATCACAATTTTTTGGTGTCTTTATCTTCTTAGTCATTTTGAAAACAGTTTAAAATTACAAGATAATGATAATTATGATTGATCTGTTGTAATTTATTACGAAGAGATACAAAACAGATATTCGAGCAACATGTCATCAGACCTTAAGGACATACGCAACGTAGTTTGAACTTTATTGTCTTTTTCCCTGGAGTTGAAGAGTTCCAATACTTAAAGGAATTGTGTGCTACATTTGTATGTCTATATATGCTGTTGTACACTTCTTCTAAAACAAGTTTGGATAAACAAAACATCTAGAATATGTGTATAGTAATTTTAGTGTATTTTTCTTTCAATTATACAAGAATTTTCATCAATTGATATCTTTTCAAAACCCCTGGTAATACATGCTGATTTTTTGTTGACGAACATCTGATGGCACTATAATCTTAAATTAAGAATATCTTGAAAAATTATCAGTAGGTAAGGTACGTTGCGTATGTCCTTAAAAATAATCAATTTAAAATATGACTTTTAGAGTAAAAATATATTGTATATCCAAAGTAAGAATGAAATTTTCAGTTTACTGGCCTTATCAATAGAAAAAAAAATAGTCCTGCTTTCTTATCACTGAAGTATCGTATGCGCTGTAACTGTTCCATTTTAAAAGTAGAGTTTGATTTTCTGATCATATTTTTCTTCTAGGACACTTTATACAAGATGATCAAGGATTCAGTGACAGGGTTTCGGGAGCTGGTAGGGGCCCCAGACACACCCAGGTGGAACTCTGTGCTGTTTGGAGGTCAGTTGAACGTTTGTTTTAATGGTGCTACAACTTAGTCATTTTAAAGACTGTGGGAATCTTATGATCCAATGTGGAAGATGCCTAATATAAAACACTATAGTACTTGTATATACATTTACATATTCCATATAAGTACATGTGCATGCACTAATTTTATGCTACTCGTTGTATCTTTTGATTTTAGAAAGAGATAAAATTAATGAAAACAGAAAGAATTTTCTTGGCTAGTTTTCTTTTTTTGTTGTATTCATCATCAGAAGTTTTAGTAAAATCAAAAATAACCGGTTAATGGTGTTATGCACAAAGTATTTCAGTATATACATTAATGTTTTAGCTGAAAGTAAATCTTTTCTGATCTCTATATCTTTATGACAAGGTGCACTTAAAAAACTCACTAAGACAGCTCACCATTAATATCAGTGAACAATATCTGAAAATTTGATAAAAGCAAGATATATGAAAAATGAGAGTAAATATTATAGCAATCATGAACTATAATAATTCTCTGAATCATGGCAGAAAAAATTAATTTATTATTTTTGTCTATTGCATTTACAGGTGTTATTGGGTCCCTTTTCTCCATGTTGCAGTTTTTAGCTTCACCCATCATGGGTGCAGCCTCAGACGTCTATGGCAGAAAACCTATTCTTGTTGTCTCCATGGTAACATTTTATTTTAGTATTTATATTATGTTAGCTATTATTTCACACAGACCTTTTGTTAAAAAGTCAGAAATATACATGTATCTGCAAGCATTTGTCTCACATAGTGTGTATCACAAGCAATCTTCATATCTAATATATTTATACCCCCTCCTTCCCCAAAATATATTGCTCCTGAAAAGACAAATGTCCCCTGAAATATTTGTTCTTTTATTTTACAGATAGGTGTGGCAGCATCTTACGCCCTGTGGGCAGTCTCCCACAACTTCACTCTCTTTGTCATTGCTCGCATCATTGGGGGGCTCAGTAAGGGAAATGTCAGTATATCTACAGCAGTCATAGCTGACATATTCCCTCCAGAAAAAAGAGGGAAAGGCATGGTAAGAAAAGCACGCTGAGAAATATTAAATGCATTCATACATGTATGTGTCACATATATTGATTCTCACAAAATAAATATATAGTCAGACCTTAATTGTTGTCTTGAACTGGATGGGGTGGAGAAAAAAACTTCAAAAAATCTGAGTATTTGAATTATTTGGGTTAAATTGCATAAAGAAAAAGTGGTTGGGACTTGGTACCAACTCAGCATAGAAATATCCATTGTATTCGAGATATCAATGTTTGAGATGCTGAAGTTTAACTGTAGTTTCTAAGGGCATATTTTTTTTTAGGAATTAGAATATTCATTTGAGTATATTAAGGAAAATCAGCAGATAGAACTGAAAATAACCAAGATAATTATATAACTATGTTTCAGGCCTTTGTGGGCGTGGCCTTCTCAGTTGGATTTGTTTTTGGACCAATCATTGGAGCCGTTTTTTCCAGATTTGCCCGCGAACAACAGGAAGTCTTCTACACAGCTCCTGCCCTTTTTGCACTTGCTTTAGCAGTAATAGATGTCATTTTTGTTTTAATGTTTTTCAAAGAAACACTGCCTCAACATAGAAGGGTAAGCTGTCCTCAGTTAATAAAAAAGCTGAACTTAATTACAAATCTTCAGGAGAATTCCTAATTCCTAATACAGTAAAACACACATATAATGAAGTGCCATGGACAGATGATTTTGCTTTGTTATAAGCATAATTCATTAAATCTGTTAATTAAGTTTAAAAAAAATATCTGAGAGTTATGGAGAGTGAAAATCACTTCGCTGTAAGCATCAATTCATTATAAGCGTTTTCATTATAAGCGTGTTTGACTGTATCATATATTACATTAATTTCAAAGGATATTTTTTCCAGTACAATTGTACTCTAAAAACATGTACGGAAAAACTCGGTTATAAGGAAGTCACTGGGACCCCAGGTTTTGCTTACTTATAAATGTAACAGAGATTCTTAACATCTACCAGTATATAAGAAACATATATCACTATTTTACATATAGTGAAAAGTTCTCTTGGGGATTTGTAAAAAATTCATCATAACTGAGATTTCCTTATAAGTGAATTCTGTATAACAGAGTTTTACTGTATTGTTGTTTTATGAAGGGATCTAGGGAAGCACTTTCAGAACATTCATCTGCAATGTTCAAAATTTCATGTAAATTATTGAAATACTGTACATATTTAACATTCAGGGAAAGTATCAGACATAGTTGCCAACTCACCTGATTTCGTCGGGTTACACCCGATTTTTCGACCCTTGACCCGATTATTTTTTATGACACAGTGGGTCATGCTTTTCACCCGATTTTTGCAGAACAACTGAAAATCTCCCGATTTCTGGATTTGGATCATAAATTAGGTTGCACTTTTCTACCAAATTTTCAGTTAGAATCTCTGATACTATCAGAGATTCTAACTGAAAATTTGGTAGAAAATGCAAGCCTTAAAAAGTTTCTAAGTTGATCTGTTTTCATTTACCATCTTCTCAAACCAAGGGTTTCCAATCTGAACTTATATATACTCTACAGAGTTGAGTTTGGATTGGAACCCCTTTGCTTGCATTTATCTTTGTATGCAGACTTGTGATTTACTGTGTATGATACATTTTTATTTACAGGCCAAGTCCATTTCCTCTGGATGGCAGAACACATCACATCTCATTAACCCAGTGTCTCTATTTAGATTCTCCCCAGTGACAAATACTAATGCTCAAGGTTAGAGAATCAACATGATGATTTGATAATATTATACAATTATTGAGGACAAGAATGGTGATTTAGCCACCTTAGGAGTACAATACTGTAGATCACTAGTTTTTCGTGACACCTTATTTTCACAAGATAGTCATTAATTCTTTATTAGCAAGATAAAATTTTCACGAATTGTGGTTCTTGCTCTAAATAATCGTAAGGAATACTAATATGCAAGAGAATGATGTCTCGCATAATTACTCGAAAATAAAGTTCTTGCGAATAAAAAGTGATTTACAGTATTCGCCAATCAGAAAGCTAGGAATTATTCAATCATGTAAGAAACAAAAATATTTCTACAAACAGTCTGCATAAAAATGAGATGTGTCTGCCATGTTTTCTGTATGTTAATTCTTTTTTTTTTACAGATGTGTCTGCCATGCAGAAGATAGGTGCTGTATATTTTCTGTACCTCCTGATGTACTCAGGGCTTGAGTTTACGCTCACTTTCCTCACTCACAACAGACTCAACTATGACAGGTAAGTGTCAGCATCATCAAGTCTTCCTCACATTTTTGTCTCCTCCTCCTCATTACATCATCATCACCATTATCATCATCATCATCACCATTATCAACCTCATCATCATCATCATCTCTATCTTCACCATTTCACTTTGATCTTTGTTTCTTATTTGTCATCTTTAAATCATTTACCTCCTCTTCCTTCATCATCAGTATAACTACAGGCCATTCAAAATTTGCCGGTACACTGTACCAGGTACTTTTTACCCCCTCTGAAATCCTGATTGTATCTGCCAAAATATTTGATGGAGAAAAATTTGATAACATACAAGTACAGTTGAACTTTGGTATCTCGAAACATGGATATCTCGAATACCATGGATATGTCGAAGTGATTTGGAAGTCCTAACCACATATTTCTTAAGTATTTAACCCTCAATATCTTGAACCCTTGGATATCTTGAAGTATTTTCTCGGTCCTATCAAGTTCGAGATAACGAGGTTTGACTGTATTTAATGAAAATCACTTCCACAAGGTACCTCCCCTTGTTGTAAAAGTTCCACCTGTTTCTGATCTTTTTGTAAGCCCTGGAACTATCATTCCAAAAATTAGTCTATTCTGAATCTTTTGTGTGACCAGTACAATGCTTTTAAGTAGCTGTTCAAAGTCCAAGCTTTCTTTTTATCTTCATTAGTATGCAGCAAGGAAAGATGTTTTTCTTCCTGGGGACCATTATGGCTTTAGTACAGGGTAAGTCATTAAGAATCACTTTGCTGAAAAAAAATCAAAATGTATAAATGAGCCATTTTGGAAATGTAAATCATTTTATCCTAAAAATCTTTGAGGTCAAGCAACTGAAATTCTTTAATAATTTTAAATATTTCATTATTTACTTACCATATAAACCTTGAAGCAAGTAGTTAATTTAAACTTATGCAAACAACAGAATTTATCAAAATCAGTAGAAGCTTGCAATTATACAGTAAAAATCTTAAAGTACAAACACAAAGTGAATTAAACAGATAGAGCAAAGGTTTTGTTTTGTTTTGTTTTTTGACCCCAAGCAAAATTCTTAACAATTTTTTGTAAAATTTTATGGTTATAAAGAACTCTGATATAACAATTTATGGATATGACAATGTGATTTTGTGTCCCATAGAGGTTAAAAATTGCAAAATCTATATCTTTTATAGCAAATTTCTAAGATCTCAAAATTTAAAATATTGAACTGACATTCTTTTTCATGAATATTTATATTTGCATTCAGTTCATCTGGAAACTCCTATTCCAAGGAGAACATATTTGTTGCTTGAAGAAAACATGTATATTGCAAATTCACTACATGTTTATTTATTTTTAATGAAATTGTTATATGGACATAATGAATTACAGATATAGCAAAGTAAATTATCAGAGGCCTGTTCAACAGTGCTCGCGAACATTTCTGTTGGAGGGATAAGGCTTGCGAACGTTCGCTCTGTTGAACAGGCCTCAGGTCTCCTGGAGTTTGCTAGAACTGAGTTTTACTGTAAATGTATATGGTTTTTTCATTGAAATTACAGGTGGTTATGTTAGAAGGATACCTGCAGGAAAAGAAGTTAAGATAGCCACACTGGTAAGAATTTCGCCCATATTTATAAAATAGTCATCTGTATTTTAAAAGCAGCCTTTTCATTTTCATTTCGGGAATAATTTTACATTGAAATCTTAAAAAAATCAGTTGGGAAAATATGGTAAATTTTGGAGGGAAAAAAGACCACATTTCCTAGGGGAAACTGCTTCTGTTCTGTTGCGATTTTGAGTCATGAAAAACTGGTAGCTATAGGTTAGATACTGTACTAAAATATGTCGGAAATATTTCTTAATTTAACTCTGAGATTTAATTTAAGATGTACTGAAGAAATTCTGTTATTTGGCATTTCAGGGAATGACTATGCTTATCCCGGCCTTTGTGTGTATGGCCTTTGCCTACAGTGCTAGCATGATGTACATAGGGCTGACATTATTTGCCTTTGGTTTGTATCTTCTTAATTCTCAATTTTTTCTCTACTTAATATTTTTAATTATCAGTGATTCATCCATATATTTCAACACGTAACAAAGGCAAGTATCATGGTATATAATTAAGGTTTAATTAGCAGATTTTTGCAGAATAATCTAATTTTCATGGATTGGACCAGAAATTTTATACATTATTCAAAAATTGGATCAAAAAATGAGGAAGAGATTTGTACATCAATAAAATAGATTTTTTTTTTCCTATAGCTTCAGCCACAGTTGTTCCTTGTCTGACCACATTGATCTCAGGATTTGGAGGCACGGATCAGAAAGGGGTGGTGATGGGGGTGTTTAGATCTCTAGGGGCTCTAGCCAGAGCTTTTGGTCCTGTCTTATCCAGTATAGGTATGTTAATGTTAATTTTACCCAAAGTAAATTGTTTTTACATGTAATTAAAGACCTTGGTGTTAATTTTTATAAGCTTCTGCTTTAATCACATTATTGAGGCCATTAAGCAAAAACCAGCATGAATAAGTATGTTTTATTAAGTTACCTAGATGAAAATTTCCTGTGTAGACACAATATGGTTTAAGTCTGCCAATGTTAAAATTTTATGGTACATTCTTTGATTATTTAGATGTGATGTAAGTTGATTTCTTCTGTTTTTGTTGCAGTGTACTGGAGCTGTGGAGACAAGGTCTGCTACATATCAGGGGCTGTTCTACTTATCATTCCTTATATCATGCTCAGAAAGATAAAAGGGTCCTCCCACACAGCATAACAAGCTCTCTGATTGGTCACTACCTCCATGTCTTATAGGTTACAGCGTCTGTGATTGGTCAGTATAAGCAAAGAGAGATCTCAAGCTTTACTACTGCTCCATATCTTATTATTATTGTAGCTTTGCTGCCTTCTAACTTTGAATACACAGTTATAATAAAACTTTCATGAGACAGTACATATAATAATTTTGTCAGTTGTTGACCTCTGCTAAAATACTTTTGTGGGGTTGACCATTGTGTTTTCAGCCATGATTTAATCTGCATGTGCACTGTAGAACATGATTATTTAATCAAAGGTTTGAATAAAATTTTATAGGAAGGTAGCTTTTAGGCTTGGAAAAACTTACTAGATTTTAGATGTACAGACCAATATATGTACAGACTGATATCTTGGATTTTAAAACAAAATTAACATTACTTCTGCATATATGCATGCTTTGAATATCTTTAAGTCTCCAAAAAGTTTATTACTCTGTAAACATGGTAATGTGTTCATTTAAACAAACTGCTCAGTTTAATTCATCTTTCACTCAGATAATCATAACAAAGTGATTTTATGGGCATATCATAAATCATACAAATGTACATTTGGTACTTTAATCAAACTTTAATTTGCAATATCTTTCATTCCTGAATTGTGGATGAAAAGTGTTGTTCAGTTTTTTAAAATATCAATAATCCCATTTTGACTAGTTGAAGAAGATATTAAATATTTGTTATACCATGATTAAATCAGTTGTGAATCTTACATTTAATTAAACATGTATTTTTTTTCGGACAAAGACAAAAGTTGATTGATTTTCAACTATGATATCTTTTTTATTAAAAAGGTGCAGCTTTGAAGCAGTTGATTATATTTATGTCATTGAGTATTTGTAGAGCATATCATTACTGCTGGAGCTGTAGTGAGATTATCATATCTAGACCATGACAAAAAGATCCTTTTTTACATGTGCCATTACATTTTCATGCAGAATGCAATGTATATTAATTACTTATAAATCTAATTTATACAGTACTTGTAACAAAGTATCAGTGAGGTGTTTGGAGGTTGGTTTTTTTGTTTACTTATTATATATTCTGGTTTTATTAGTTGACAGTAGGTATAAGTGAGCAGTGTTTGCAGGTTCAAATACATTTTTGCTAGAGTTATTTTTTTTATGCAATATTTTGAAATAATATACCATTCGGTAGACTTGCATGTAAAGAATTTTCCCTATGTCTTCCAATGTATCCTTTTTTTATGGAGTACAGTTGTCTGCTCTTGATAATTTAAATAGCGTCATTGTTTAAAATTAAGTATTCCCATTCTGACTCAATTATTTTGATGCAGTTTGTTAAAATCACTTCATATAATTTATTTTTCACAATTTTTTTTCCTTTTTTTTTTGAAAAAAAAGTTTAGAAAAATGGCAAAAAATCTTGAGTCAAGGCATTTTTTTAAGACATTGACTATGGGGAAAGCAACAGAATTTTTGTAAGGGTAGGTAATTATTACAAATATTTCATAAATAAAAATCTTTTTTCAATACAGTGTGATATTAAGGATACAATAATTCCCTTGCATGTAAATGTTCATATAAATGTTGCATTGACTATCGGTACTAGTGAAAGATACAGTGAAATCACTTATTTTCATGAAGATTTAATTTTCATTATTTAAATGGTGTGAAGAGACCCATGAATTCATGTCCTCCACTAAATGTACAATTTTAAAGATCTTAATTACTCAGCATTTCTTCAACCATGAAATCAAGTCCAATCAAAACAATCATTTTTCCTCAAACCACGAAAATTTGCCCCCCCCCCCCCCCCCCCCCCCCCCGAAAATATTGTGATTTTACAGTATGGTGTAGTTTTTAGGTAAGGAGTTGTTATAATTTTATAAATGCATTATAATTGTTTGATTCGCATTGTTGATATTTCTTGTTTCTATTAAAGGTGCTAAGAAAATATGAAATAATTAAGATGTTAAGTACAAATGTGTGCTAGTTAATGATATGTTACAAAAAAATGAGAAAACATTTTCATAGTTTTTTTTTTCATTTTGTGTATAATTGTTGAGGATACACGTTAAAATTTAATTTAAATTCATTAATTGTTGACAAGTGGTTAGCTTTGTATTAAATGCTCCATAGTATCAGAACCAGTTTTTTTATTATAATGATATTAGAATATTTTTTTCAAATCTTTGTATTTTTGACACTTTTAAGAACTTTGTAATGTTTTGAGGTGTATTTGTGAATCTTATATTGGGGTTTGGGATGATACATTTCTTTTCAATCTTGATTTGTTTTAATTTTATTAATTAATAAATTGATATAATTATGTGTAGAGCAGATTTAGTTTTTTTCTCTCATCACTAAGTACTGGCAAATTCCATAAATGAGGAATGTGACTGAAATAATATTTCTAGGATTTTTTATTATACATGTACATGTAACATGTATTTTAAAAATCCTGGATATAGATCTATATTATTTCAGTTTTTAAGTGTTCAAATGTTTACCAAAGACTCAGGATTTTTAATTCAAGAACATAAATGTACAGTATACACACGTGTCTGTATTCTCAATATTCTGCATTAAAGGGATCTAGACAAATTTTATTTTATTCCCTTTCTGCACATTGTAAATCTTTACTTTTTGCATGAAATAAGCACATTTTTAAGCATTTGCCAATGCGCATGCATACTCTGTTTTGGGGATATGAATTTGTTACTTTTGTTCACTCCATTTTGGAGGCTCAACATGTGTACATGTCCAGTACTTTTTTGGTCATTTGGTTGCTTCTAAGACTATATCTTAATTTCCTTAGTTTGCTGTGCAGTTATATATATATATATATAAAATAGAAAAAATATTTTCTCTTGCGGCCACTAGATAATTTTCTGGCAACAGGTAAATAAATAGATCAGGCTGCTACCACATGAATAACTGGTGGCTGCCAGATCATTATCTGATGGCAGCCATTTAATTATCTGGCGGCCGCCAGAAAATTATTTGGTGACCGCCAGTTAAGTTTCTGGTGGCTGCCAGATAAAACGTTTTTAGCTCACCTGAGCCGAAAGCTCAAGTAAGCTTTTCTGATCACATTTTGTCTATTGTCCGTCTGTCTATCTGTCCGTCTATAAATTTTTAACATTTTCGACTTCTTCTAAAGAACTACTGGGCCAATTTCAACCAAAGTTGCCACAGAGTATCCTTGGGTAAAGGGGATTCAAGTTTGTTCAAATAAAGGGTCATACCCTCTTCCAAGGGGAGATAATTACAAATTAGTGAAAAATTAATGGCATCTCTTAAAAATCTTTTTCTCAAGAAAACTGGGCCAGGAAAGATGAAACTTATATGGAAACATCCTCAGGTAGTGTAGTTTCAAGTTTATTCTAATCATGACTCCTTGGGGGTAGGGCTGGGCCGCAGTGGACAATCAAAGTTTTACACAGGAAAAATCTTTAAAAATCTTCTTCTCCAGAACCACTGGGCCAGGAAAGATGAAACTTATGTGGACACATCCTCAGGTAGTGTAGATTCAATTTTTTTTTTTTCAAATTATGACCCCTTGGAGTAGGGCAGGGCCTCAATGGACTATCAACGGAATACAAAAGGAAAATCTTTAAAAATCTTCTTCTCACAAACAGCAAAGCCATGATTGGTCATATTTATATGGAAGTACCTTCAAGTAGTGTAGATTCAGTTTTGTTCAAATCATGACCCCTGGATATAGGTGGGGTCACAATGAATGATCAAAGGTTTACATAGATAAACATGAAAAAACTCTAAAAATTTTCTTTTCAAGAATAGCAAGGCCATAATTAGTCATATTTATATGAAAGTATCCTCAGGTAGGGTAGATTCAAGTTTGTTCAAATAATGACCCCTGGTGGTAGGGTGGGGCCACCATAGAAGATAAAATTTATAGGAAAAAATATTTTTAAAAACTTCTTAAGCCATGATTTGTCAAAGAAATATGGTAGCATCTTCAGTTAGTGGTTAGTGTAGATTCAAGTTTGCTCAAATCATGCCCCCTCCCCTTAGGGATAGGTTGATACCACTTATAAAATACTAAACTCCTAGCCAAAGTGTTGAAATGAGCGATGTGGCCCATGGGCCTCTTGTTTCTTCCTGACACCTACCGGCTTCCGTACATCTGTACATGCAGGAGTATAAAGGAATCGTTCGATTTCATGCCAACAAACAGCATGCATTCATTTTTTATTGCATGCATGTTGAAATCACCCAACAATTTTCCATTCATCGCTAAATTTGAAAAGAAGACTTATTCTCAAGTTGTTTGCAGAGACGCGAAAGAAGTATAAAAAAGAAACCTAACATTAGATACCATAAATTTGCCGTGTACATACAACAAAACTCTGTTGTTAAAATAAACCCAATATAAAACATTGCTATAAAAGATCTTTCTTATAAAGGGGATTCCGTGTTGACAAACTGCTGTAATAAAATAAAGTCCACTTACAAAAGCTACTGCTTTTATAATCTTTATTTTTATTAAGAGTACAGGTACTTGAGGACAGTCGCTCCCTGATATACAACACAAGGGTTGTTCTTCAATTATGTGATTTCCGCAAAGTGCCTGTATTCCCATCTTCCCAAGCGTGTTTTATGTGGAGCGGAGTGTATCAGAAACCCTTGACTTGGGAAGATGCTGTATTCCAAATGCATGCACTTTGGAGAGATCGAGAGAAAAAAAATTGAAACATCAGACTCATAGTTGAGAAAGCTTTTCTCGTAATCACGAGATCTTTGCATATTGAGACAGCAGGGGGGGGGGGGGGGGGGTACTGCCCCTATGTTGAACTCATTAAACTTCTCTTTAAACCTGCATTACTTGAACTTCGATCTCAATTTTTTTAAGTTATAAAACCTCAATATAATAACTACTTCAATTAATACATTCTTTTTGTACATTTGTACAAAAAGTTTTTTAAACTTCAATAAAACTTGATTTTACATACAAAGAATGTTTACATAGATCACTTTAATAGTGACGCCCGCCAACAAAGTCAATTATTTTTCATCTCTAGATTGTTTCAAAGTTTACATTTAATTCTGGGAATAATAACTGGGATTTATAGCCAGTAAGTCTACTTTAGGAGGGCAGGATTTTAAGGCCTTTGTTATTATATGCTATCGGAGGTTTAATGAAAAGTTATCAGCGGGGAAAATTATTTCATTTCAAAATATTCGGTCCTGTGGGTCCCTGCTCTTATCTATGAGAGAAAGTTTAAAAGGCCACATTGAACATGTATTGTCATCTTTGCGGGTGTTTTGTATATGGTTTGTGAGAGACGAGAATCGTTTTTATCTTCTAGATTTGATAAATTACAAATATAATGTGTCGGAAGGTTTCATCAAAAGGGTGCTTCAAAAGCTTCATTTACACATAAAAGGAATCCTACAGTGTGATTTTCCAGTGATTTGTGGTCTCAAACAGCCTAAATGTTGATAAAATATGCAAAATAAAAAAAAAATCTAACTTAAAAGCTTATCCAAGGGACAGTCCGACACTAGCTATATATAGTACACAGAGGAATTAAGAGTGTGTGGGGGGAGGGGGGGGGGTCAAGCCCACTCTCTAACGAAGGACAATTCTGCAAGGGAGATTGGGTCAAGCCATTTTCGTATTATTATTATTTTTTTTATTTTTTTTATAATTGTACAATGTATATTAAATAAAATTGAAAAATTCAGAGAATTGGACCAGAGAGACCACATAAAATGAATATTATTGTATCAATTCTAAATTTTTTACTGCACAAATTGTTCAAAGCCGAAAGCAATCAATAATCGAATCAACTTCAATGTACATATTAAGATGTTTTTGAAAAAAAATTATTTAAAAAAATGTATATACTGCGGCTGTATTGAGAATTTAAGGATGACTGATCTGTAGGTTCTAAAAATCAGCAGTTACATGTACATGTAAGTAATTAAAAATGCGTACAAAAATGTCAGTGAATTCATAAAGTAATGGGTGTTTACCATACTTGCATGTCATTTCTTCAAAGTTCGTCATTACAGTTAATCCTATTTTATAGGGAAATCATCAGATCTCAAATTTATTTTCAGGAAACGAGTATTAAAGCATCAATTAGGCCTATTCATTTTCTTATTGAAAATTGATGAACAATTTCAATTGTTATATAATACATAATGTAAACAGCATGTACTATCAATACAGATTATTTCCAGTTTCATTAATTTCATGCTAATAAACATGGTCATTTAAAGCAAGATTAAAGGAAATTCGATTTCTCTAAAAATGTACGTTTTAGACTAAAACTTTTAGTACATTCGTGGGGGGGGGGGGGGGTTGCAAATATATGCTTCTTACGAGACCATTTGCGTGAAATGAAAATTAAGTAATAATAAACGCTCCTGGATGAGGAGCGGATATTCTTAACGAGAGACGTGTTTATCATATTCTACATTTTCAATTTACTAAGTGGTGGTAGATGGTAAAAAATTAAATTTACGGGGTAAAATCTATCGTCAAACACCGTTATCTCGAACTCGTTGGGACCGAGGGGGGAAAATCGAAATATCCAAGTACACTGTACTCGAAATATTGAGATTGAAAAACATGGGAAAAAGTGGTTGGGACTTCCATATCACTTATAGTCATAACCTTGGTATTGGAGATATCGGTGTGCGAGATACCCGAGTTCAACTGTATATGAACTTGTACTTGATTCCTGGCAAGAAAAAGCAATTTACTCATTTTTTATAAACCCTGAATCTGATTAAGTCTCTTAACCATTTCAAAAATCAATTGGGAAAAATACATTTAAAATGTTCCTTTATTTACTTCTGAAACTTTTTGGTTTTTTTTTCCTTCCGCTGTCAATGATTTTGAACTCAGTTCTCACTCAGAGGGAAATGTAGCTATCGTTAGCGATTTTCCGATATCCCCCACAATCAAAATCCTTTTATTGGGAATTACCTATAAAGCCCCTTTACACACATAAACCTGCCCCCTGCAAGTTATAATGAAGTATTCTCTACAAGAACCAGCGAGGAAACAAGTGCTGGAATGAATAATTTTACAAACTCTAAGTAAAGATTTATGCTGCTTCAAGGACTATTCAAACGAGCTGAAATTTTCCTTTAATATTTTTAATCCATACATGTTCAGGTAGATGTGGTATTTAAAACCCATCGGGCGAAAACTGCTGTGGGTAACTAAGGGCGTTAATGGAAAATCAAGACATATACATGTACAAAGCTAGTATTGGGGGGAGGGGGGGTCTCCATGTTCTACCCCCTTCCCCTCCCCACTCACCCAAGGGTGAGAAAAAATAGAATCTGGTTCTGATTTTTTAAATCTTTCTTATGTCAATTGCTTACAACTTAAAATTTTCTCTTACGTTATATTTACATTGAACTTTAAAAGAGAGGTAATGGCGCGAAACCTAAGATATGATAGAAAAGTCGATTTAAAGCGCAATCTTATTCCCTTCTATACCCTGTGTATGGTTGTTGTAAACAAACAGCTCAAGCCCTCGCAGTCGTTAGGAATATCCTCGATAAGGAAAAAATTAACATGGTAAGTCGATTTTTAAATCTTTTCACTTGTTTTCCATAGCAACGACATGTTTAGTTAAACTGTGCGTGTTCTTTTCACAAATTCTGACGTGAATATGTTGATTTTATTTTTTTTTCTGTGGCATCTCTATCTTAGATACGAATTAGTGATGGTTATTTATTAGAAATTTAAATAGACGATCGTTGTTTGAGCATGTTGATCTGCATCTTTAGACACCATATATCAAATAATTTTGTTTTGAATATTTCAGTTTGAAAATGTTTCTCAACGCTTAAGTTCGGGATCTTTATATATCTTTTTCTTCTGTTTTTGACAAATTTGACAATGAAACAATTTGCTCGTTTTTAATTTAAAGAGTCCAGATGCCCCAAAACACCGTTACATTATTCTAAAGACATCAAAAAAATCATTCCTCGCCGCTTTTGTTTATTACTTATCCAATGTCTTAGAAAATTAATCAACCTATGAACACATCAAATTCTTTAAATTCTACTTATTCTTTACAGCATTTAATGATTTAAAATTACATGATTAAATATCCTTTAAAAGACAGAAGATTCTCTTGATCGCATGATATCTATCCGCCCCGTAGGCGGATTTCTTTCATGCAATTACAAAAAAATACCAATTTCATTCCAGTAAATCTATCCTTATGTCTGTCGTGAGTGAAATACAACCATAAATTGTTCAAATCTACCCTGCTTTATAAATTTTGAAGACGGTTTATTATCAAGATTCCATTTAAAAGGACCACATTTAGGTGACCGATGCATTTATAACACAGCCTGCATGATCAATTTTTACAATAATACCTCAAAGTTTATGAGGCCTGCATGTATAAATGCGTCATAAAGTCAGTCATATTTTCTTTTACTGTGCATGTGACTTTTATTATATCTAATTTATAAAGTAAGAAAATAAACCATATTTCTCTTTTTTTCAGAGTGAAGTAGAAAAAGCGAGTAAGTTTTCTAGTTTTGTTTAGAGCACTTATTGATAAACATGCACCCAGTGCCAATAAACATCTTATATACAAATTTCCAAACTATATTTAATTTCTCAAACATTTTACAACCTAAGACTACATTGTCAACATATTATATAAAATTGAAAATATGTTTGTGTCGCAAAAGAAATTTGTTGTCTCGGTGTTATCTTGATTATTATAATATATAACATTATATTATTATTTTAATCATCTAAATTACATTTTGATCTGTAAAACTGATTTTCAGTTTTCGAATTTAGAATTGTAAAGATTATGAAGCATCGGTGTTTTAAAAGTGCACCTCTGTGTTTGCTTTAGAGGCGTTATGCTTCTGTTGACAATATTATCACTGTTAATATTGAAATGTTGTTCGTACCAGACTTAAGATTTTTGCTAGAACTTTAAACTACCATCTTTGTAACATATATTATGCCCCCCCCCCCTTTTTGTATACTGACACGTTTAACTCATTAGTGATTACTAACTCTAGAATAAAATTTTATTGGATTGCGTTTGTTTTTATTAAATGATTGGTAATTCGGATTAATTATGAAGTAGGAGAAGAGTACTTACTGTTTACGTACTGTATATTTCAGGCTACCAGCAGTATTTTGACCGTTTCGCTACTGACGGTTTGCTGGACAAGGAGGGATTTAAGAGAGTTTTGCAATGTCTAGGGGCAGATCCACCTCAGTGTGTCGTAGATGAGATTTTTGCTGAACACGATAAAGATGGTAATTTTTAGTCCCTCAATATCTATAAATATGATTTTTTTTTCTTTAAATTGAATATAAATTGATTTATCTTCAGAAAAAAAAAAGATATTAGTTTGGGGGAAACATCTTATGAAAAAAAGATCCCCACAGGTCTCACAATTTGAACAAAATATGGACAAAAATTCCTTTATTTTGACAAATGAAACATATACAATTTTTACTATGAAAAGCTTAAGGTCTTTTATATCGATTTCAGATCAATAACAAAACAGCTTCCGTTTTTTTTTTTGTTTTTTTTTTTTACGAGTTTCGCCATCGTTCAGTGAGCTAAGACGGCATTAGACACGATCGAGTTTTTACAACACCGGAAGACTTTTAAAAAAGATTCAGGACTGGGAAAATTTTCATTTAGAGTTATTGAAAGAAATCACGTGTATTTACCGGCTCTAAAAAGATGTATGATTTATTTCTTTGTATACAGACGGACACAGATGGCAATAATTTGAAACAAAAACGGACGAAATCAGTTTTATGTACTATTTCATAATAACATAATTCTAATACTCAATGAACTTATAAATAAAATTTTCTGTGGAATTCCCATTTTTAGCTCACCCGAGCTGAAAGCTAAATGGAATTTTTTTGATCAGATTTTGTCGGGTTCGTCTGTCCGTCCGTCCTTTTGTAAACTTTTCACATTTTTATCTTCTTCTCCAGAACTACTGGCCTAATTTCTACAAAACTTGCCACAAAGCATCCTTGGTTGAAAAGGATTCAACATTGTTTCAATGGGAGATATCTCAGAATAAATGAAAATTTAGTGGCATCTTTCAAAAATCTTCTTCTCAAGAACCAATGGGCCAAAAAAAAAAATTATGTGACCCCCCCCCCCCCCCCCGGAAAGGATGAGGACATACTGGAATATCAAAGTGTAGGGAAAAATTCTTTAAAATCTTTTTCTCAAGAACAGCAAAGCCATAGTTATTCATATGGATATAGAAAAAAGTATCTTCAGGAAGTGGATTCATGTTTGTTTAAATCATGACCTAAAGTGGTACGGTGGGCCACATCTTTAAAAAATCTTCTTCTCAAAGACAGCAAAACCATCGTTGGTCATATGAATATGACGCATCTTCAGGAAGTGTGGATTCAAGTTTTTTTTTAAATATCATGACACCTGGGGTTAGGTTGGGGTCACAACAAGGAATCAAAGTTTTACATAGCAAAATATAATAGAAAAAATCTGCTAATAAAGAACAGCAGGGCCATATTGACCCAGGTAGGTCTTGTGGCCCATGGGCCTCTTGTTGACAGATTATGTTTATTTTAGCTCACCCTTACCAAGTGCTCAATTCACTTTTCTGTCAGTTTTTTTTAATTCCCTGTTTTGGATTTCCTGTCCAAAACAACTCGGTCATTTCTGGCAAAATTTGTCGCAAAACATCCCTGGGTAAGGAAAATTCAACTTTTTTTTAAGTTCAGGGACAGACACTCTTTATAGAAAAGATAAATCCTTTTTTTTTAATAATCCATGCTTTCTATTCTGAAGAACCATTTTGGGGGTAGAGAAAAAGTACATGCTTAGCTAGAAAAAAAGTATATGTATCTATGTATATCTATATATATCTATGTAGCTTGGTTTTATAGTAAAGATTCACATTAATTTGTTGAAATCATAGCCCCATAGCTTAAATAGGGTCACGATGGGAGGGTGGGGTGGGGCATAATAGTATATATACATGTCATTAGGTTAAAGTTTTCTCAAGAAAGTCCGGAGGATTAAATCAAAATAAATGCATCCACATTAAGTGTTGATTTAAGCTTAATTGTTGAAAGCTTGGCCTTTGGGTAGGGTAGAGTCTACAAGAGGGGAATGTAATTGTTAAAATAGTGTAGAAGTTTACGATTTTATTTACGAATTCGTTTGTCGGAGTACGAAATGCGAGTAGGATGAGCGTTTTGTCTTATGAGCTTCAACTGAAAGTACCCTAGATAATCTGATGATAAATTCACTTGAGTCTTTCGACAGAATTTTTCTTGAAATCATAACTCTGTAATGCATTTGCATAAATAATTGGAAATGTTAATTCAGAAAAAAAAATCATTTAATTTTCTATACTTTTTTCATTTTACTCAAAATGGATTATACTTTAAGGAGCGTGACACATGGAATATTCTTCAAACATTGGAATCCGAATGAAAAAAATGTGAATTACTTATACATGTACAACATAAAACGTATACATTGTATTTCATTCCTTCTTTTCAGAAAATTCTCAGTTAAGTCAGGACGAGTTTCACGAATGGATCCAAGACCGAATCAAATCCAAGCCTCAAATGAGAGATTCCCTGATGGAGAGTCTGGATATTCTATTTCCGGGACAGGATGCCGTCAACATCGACGAACTCCTGGAAAAGCTATCCGAACTCGGCGAACAATTCGACGAAACGGAGAGAACTTACGCACGCATGATGCTGACGCAATTTGACAGCAATAAAGATGGTGCTATTGCCAAAACAGGTGAAATTTAAAGAAATGATTCAAATATGAATACAATTCATGTACAGATCCAGGAACTTTCCCTCCAAAATTTCCAAAAAAATCAAATTTTAACAATTTTTGAGAAGCAAAAAATAAAATAAAATAAATTAAAAAAAATGTAAAACCAGAAAGACCTATTTCGTGTATGTTTTTGTGAAAGGAGCGGGTAAGACATGTAACTTTCCTAATTTAATATTCTTCAGATACATGACTCTCCTTACCATAGTGCGGGGGTCCATGTTTACTGGGTGGGGGGGGGGGTGGTTGCAAGGTCATTTTATATCTCAGGAGGGGGAGCTCCGGACCCCCAATATGCCCATGTTATATGTATAATATAAATATTAATTTCAAAAATCTTCATCATCTTGCTTGTTCGTATAGTGCACCATTTCGTTAAACGTTCGTGCCTTTTCGAAATCGTCTGCACAGTTTACTTTCATTGTTCAAATCTATCCAAAATAGGAATGGTTTGGCGTAGATGAAGAAACTGATAATTTTATTTTCCTTTTGTTTTTCTTCATAATTAATGACTGATTTCGAAAAATCTTAATCCTAGCTTTAAGATCTTTGAATCCATACCTGTAAAAATGTGTATCACGTGACTCTGTATTGAAATTAGGGGTACCGGTACATCAATTTTTTAGGATGTAAACACATTATACATAACTGTTGTAGAACTGAGGGACTGTTTCTACTCCGATGACGAACAAATTGATGATGGCAACCAGGAAGTGGAAGAAAATAATGAAGAAGAGGGGAACCAGGTAACAGCGGAGGAGGAGACACAGGAAACACAGGAAGTGACGGAGGAAAAACAGGAAGTAGGAGAAGAAAAGCAGGAGGAAACAGAGGAAAACCAGGAAGTGATAGAAGAAAGCCAGGAAGTGACAGAGGAAAATCAGGAAGTGAAGGAGGAAACTGAAGAAAAGGCAGAAGAAAATCAGGAAGTGACAGAGGAGAATCAGGAAGTGGTTGAGGAAAAGCAGGAGGAAACAGAGGAAAACCAGGAAGTGACAGAGGAAAATCAAGAGGTACAAGAGGAAAATCAAGAAGCAACAGAGGAAACTGAGGAAAAAACGGAGGAAAATCAGGAAGTAACGGAGGAAACAACAGAAGAGGCAAAGGAAAGCACGGCGGAAACAGAAGACGGAAATCAAACGGCAGTAGAAGAAAGTCAACAGGAATCTCAAGATGGAAACCAGGAAGCTACAGACAATACAGAAGAAACAAAGGAAGATTCTGGAAATCAGGAAGGGGTTGAATAGAGGATGTTATTCCGGTTTAAGTCTTTCTTTAAAATGATGTTCTACACAAAATTATATGCATTTACACAATACGAACTTTAATATGAAATGGTCAGTCATCTTTTTTAAAATTATGTCGGATTCAGTGATATTTTGAAAACCTTGACTTTCTTTTAAGTTTTCATTTTGCTTTTGTATACCAGGCAGGGTTTAAGAGAGATGTACTTAGATCTATAATTAATACGGTTACCATAGTGAATGGTTTCTTAATATATGGAATACGGAATATTAAAAAGATTGAAAACGAATGCAAAACAACTTTATACAACGAATGTCACTAGAATTCATTAAAAAAAATCATGAATATATGTTCTTAATTTAAACATAAGATATAAACTGTATCAGAAATAAAACTGAACAACTCAAATGAAGGAATGACGATAACTCTATCAGCTACTGGAGACAGTCAGTTCAATCACTGCATAGATAATGTGCTTCCAAACCTGATTACTGAATTTCTCTAATCTAGTCTCTATTTCCATGGTGACTATAAATGTGATATTAGTTTGAGAGAATTTTTGTACTTGTGTGATTAGACACCCTGTGTCAAGTCTATTCGTATCTTATCTAATTGAATCATTGATTATCCGTTCTAAGAAAATTAATGAGTTAATTACAGGTAAGCAAGAGGTTTTCCTTTGAAGGAATTAATTTCATGTACAGGTGTATAATATATAAATGCTAATGCCTAAATGTAATACTTTTATTGTTATCTTATATATGTATCATTTTTGGAGAAATCTCGCTGTTTTGTCTTTTTATTTATGAAGAACCAAAGTTTTATGTCAATGCTTTAAATATACATGTATGTATCGATGTCATTTATAATTTGTTGGTAAAATATGGCTGTGATAAGTGAAACACATGGCAGTTAGGCCTTCCAAGTTTTTTTTCTCTGTTTAGCGTCCACCCATCTTTCAGAAACCTACCTACCTAATGGCAAAAAACACACAAACCCAAAAATAAAACAGACTTTATATACTTCATACTCATACTTTATACTCATAAAAATGACGTTATTCAAAGGATTTTTTAAAAAATCTATTTTTTTTCATAGAAAGATCTATTCTTCAGCATAATCAAGGTATTAAATGCATACAATATTCCTAATATGGCAAGTTGTAAAAAAATATTTAGAGAAATTGAAAAAATTCAGTGATTTCGACAAGAATATTCAATTTCAGGACTCCTGATTTTGTTTTTTTCTTCTTATATGGGGTGTCAAAAACCAAGGCGCACGCAGACGCTAAAAATAAAAAAAACAAACATGCAATGGCCTTATATCTAAATTGATTACCTGCTTATACTAGAGTCTTCAACTGAATATAGCTGATTACAAACATTTCACAATTAATTTTGACTGTTCCTGGCAATTTTTTATAACCTTATTTATATACTACGTGTATGTATTTTGGAAATAATGAGATGGAACTGAAAGATGCATATAAACCTCTCAGAATTAAAAGTGTAATTTAAACCAATATCTACTTCAGAATGGCACAACTTTTTCCTCCAGTCAGCTTTTGAGTAAAGTATAGCTAGTGTCTATTCTAATTTCTGTATTTCAAAAATGAATCTTTTTAAGTTTATAAGGCAGAGTTAATAGACTTTCAATACCTTCTGATTGAAAGCGAACTTTGAAAATGTAAATGTGTAAAAATATTGTTTTGAAAAATTGTTTAGAGGAAAGATTTTGAATTGACATTTGGTGCAAAATTTAAATGTACCTTCTTTTTGTTTTTTAGATTATTTAATAAGATGAATGTAACACATAAATCACATGCAGAACAAATGATTTGAAATTCTTTAATTCTAATTTAAATTTTAAATTAGTACTTAGTACTTGCTCAAGCACCTGTATTTTGTTAGTTTTAGTATCGAAAAACCTTTCATTTTTACAGGAAAGGTTGATTTTTTCTGTATTCAGTTGCTTTATCTAATAATCTAAATAAAATAAATTGCCCAATTTCTTTTTTAATTTTTCTCTTTTTCAAATGGAATGGATGCTCACATTTAACTTAAATCGGGAGCATTATTTAGTGAAACGTAACAATCACTTACAGAATTTATAGGAGAGTGAAAAAAGGTGAAGATAACGAACAGTGATCGATCTCAAAAAATCTATAAACAATACAAATCTGTGAACAGGACATAAAACACGGACCCCGGAAATTCCAGATTTTGGATCAGGTGCCTAAGAGGAGTAAGCATCCCCTGTTGACCGATCACAACCGCTGTGAGCCCTATCTACTGAGTATTGATCAGCTAGACGGAACACTCCGTTGTCAAAGAACAAGGTTCACTTTGAGCTTTTTTTAGACGGAACATTCCGTTGTCAAAGAACAAGGTTCACTTTGAGCTTTTTTTAGACGGAACATTCCGTTGTCAAAGAACAAGGTTCACTTTGAGCTTTTTTTTAGTCCTGTGAATTTTTGAAAATTGAACTGCTCAGTTTTAGTTGGCAATTATAAATACGTTCAATATCACTTGGAATTTTGGTGACTACATATCTACAGAAAATGACGTAATTTTCTCGTTAGTCTGTGTACATGTATTTTGATGTCAATAATTGCGTCATTCTTCCTAAGCATTGAAAATTTCTTCAAAAATGGCTAAAAGTCGAAGCTGTCTTTTTTTTAATATTTTGTATAGAGCCCAAACTCTGGTCCAGAATGCAATGAAAGAACTTCTTTTGATGATTATAAAAAAGTGTTATATATTTTTTTGGATCGAGGGGAGGGATTCTTTGCCGAAGGTACACAAAATCACCAATTTTCTACAAATTGAAAGAAAATTCCAGTATCACAAAGTCTGCTTTTTAATACCTGGACTCTCAAAGGAATCTTTGTTACAGAAAATAAAAACACTAAGTCTGCAAGTCTCTACTTTATACTAATGTTTTATTCAACACATTGACTTGACATTAATTGACCCCTAAGTGCAAAAGAAAACGACATGTATAAATGATAATGGTCATTTTGTAAGTACATAGTTTTTGTATAAATGATAAATGTGCAAATGCTCGAACGGTATTGAAATATGGAGCATGATCATGACAGGGACGATATAGAAGTCGACTACCCGCCTGAAATTCTCAACGAAATCGAAAAGATCGAGAAATCCTATATTCTCAGAAAAGGAAGAGTTAACTATGTTTAAACTATCAAAGATTAATTAATAAAGAAATATTTTATCAAGAAGTCTTCAAACACAACACGGAGTCTAAATAAAGACAATAGATCAGGACCCTTAACGAATCAACGCACAGATGATGAAAGGTCCTCAAAGGATTCAACGCCGGTATGTACGATTTTTTTATTTAAAAAAAAAGGGGGGGGGTAAAAAAAATGTCGTATAAAAAAGAAATGTTACGGGAACGTTCAAAAATGAAGTAGGTAATTTTTTTAAGCTCTAAAATGAAACAAATTTTTAAACTATTATTTGCTGTTTTAAGGGAAAAAAATCAAGCGATAGATTTTTTCAGCACTTTCGTAAAATTAAGAAATACCATTTCTCAAATGAAGGACTATTTCATCAAGAGGTCCTCAAATACAACACGAAATGAAGACAACAGATCGGGACCCTCAAGGAAAAAGTGAAAGCTTCTCAAACGATCTAGATACAATACCAGTATGTACGATTAAAAAAAACATATATCCCCCTACCCCAATTCCAAAGTTAAATGTAGTGTAAGACATATATCGTTATTCTCTGTTTTTCCAGCATCTTCAAATGAAACAGATACCGCTAACAATACTTCTGAATCCTTAGTGAATCAGCATGCAACAATGTCAAATTCGGTATGTCGAATGATCTGCTTCATCGTTTTTGTCACCTGAGTAAACTCAGTTGACCTAAAAATGCACAAATATTTTAAAGTTCACAGATAATTTGTATATCTGCAGAAATTACAAAACAAGGGCACCACAAAGCAGAGTATTCCCTCACAAAAGAACACATCGATCCCGATACTTGCGCAATTTCCGTTACGCACTCACTCACTCCCCCCCCCCCCTACACACACACACACACACACAAAGGCGCATCATTACCATATTCCCTCTCACTTTGTTGCCAGGGGATAATAATGATTTATCATGATGTGTAGACCAAATGATGTAATTCCAGCTATTAAAATGCTACAAAATAAAGTGTAAGAACATAATTTCCCAAAAATTACCTTTGCTGAATAATTAAAACTAAGGCCATAATTACAAAAAATACTGTTTGAGGTACTCCGACCCACGTTTTTCCAGGCGGGTAGGTAGGTAGCTATTTTTTTTAAATTATCTAACACATTGATAATCATCATAAAAATCAAAACATACAAATATATTGATGCCTGCATTATACCTCAGACAGTAAGACAGATTTAATATTTATTGCTGTAAAAACTTTCAATCTTAAAAGTGTCTTGAGAAATGATATAAAATGATATAAAAAATCTGTATTTTCTTTAAAAAAAAGAAAAAAAAGAAAATAAAAACAATTTTAAGTACAAAATGAAATGATCAGGTAGGGGCAATTTTGATGGGTCAGTTGGAGTACAACAAAAAGAATCATTTTTTATTGTAGGCCTAAGTTGAGAATTTTCATTGTCTTAGGGGATGCTCACTCCTCCATGGCACCTGATCCCACCTCTGATGTTTTTGGAGGTCTGTGTTTGCTCTGCTCCCAATTTGTTCTGTTTTAATGGACTTTGAGCCGGAATACTGATCATTATCTCCATATTTCATGTAGCTCTTGGTATTCTTGGAAAATCGATCAACTTTGGAATACATAATTTTTTGTCACTTTTTATTACAACACTGCTTCTGTACAAGATTCTGAACCTTTTCCTTGTCTGTGACCTTGACACTGAATTCTGGAGGACACAGAGAGGCCCCCATAGAGATGCCCTCTTTTCTGTACTGCATTCTGGAGTGGATAGTTGATCGTGCTGAAGCATGGAATTCTTTTGCTCCACAACCATCTAAAATTCTGTCCAAGTTTCCTGAGTTAATACCTCCACCTACAGTAGAATACAGCTGCATTTATGATAAGCTCAAACAATCATAATATTGGATGATTTTTCACTTTGCATACCTTTAAATTATTTTCATGGCACATAAAGTCAATAGTTAGGTTTTTTTGTTGTTTTGTATCAATAGCCAAGACAAGTTAATGCAAACTTATATCTATGAAATAAAATTTTGAACCACTAAAATAATTGGGTATTCATTGTCACAGAGAGAGAGAGAGAGAGAGAGAGAGAGAGAGAAGGTTGTATACTGAGGTACCTCTTTGCAATATCTTTTAAAACCCTTTAATTAGATGTCAAAGAAAATATCAGTGCCAAAAATTAAACCCTTTTTGCAGTTTCTCCTGCTTACCTGGCATCACACATATTCTGTTGTCAGCCTGAAAATTAAGCAAAAAATTTGTTACAGTAAAGATAAAAATGTACCAATACTTATATGCAGATGATCATTTAATTAATACAGAATTGTACATTGAAATTTGTTAATCATGAATGCATATGACAGTTGGCTTATATGGAGTAAATGTTGAAAGAGCTAGGTTTTGTTCTCTCTGAGTCTATATAGGTAATTTAGGTTTGGGCCAGAACCTATTTTCAGATTTTCAACGAATAATAGTTTCAGGAATATATTGGTATTAAAATATGCACATTCTATCCCTTAACTGGAAAAAGTGGGCAAAGGGATGTACCGTATGTACTCGCACATAAGTCGGCCGCCTATAAGTCGGTTTTATTTTTTAAGCTTTTATACTAAAGGGCTTGATCCTCTAAAACTTTAATCTTTTTATAACCCAACTATAAGTCGGACATAGGGTTTTGGACCAAACTTTCACTCTCTACCACCGGCTCATACATTCACCTCTGTCGTTGGCTCACGTATATCACAGTGTTAAGCACAAGAAATAGTGCGATTGTTTAAATTCATTATAATTAAATTCCTGCGCTAATGTTTGTCTTGTAAGGCAGATATCTACTAAGTAGATCTAGAACTATTAATTTAATTTGAAATAATCCTTGGAATATCATGGTTTTTACCTTATGTCAAAAATCTTGACGCGAGTCAATTGCAGAGGTGTCTGAGAAAGGAACGAACGACAACTCTGCATAGGAGATTGCCAAACTTTAACTCCCAAAAAACCGACTTATAGGCTAGAATATATGGTACCTTTAAAACCATCTGTTGAATTATGGGTAATCCTTCTAAAGCAGAAGAAGAGCCACCACTCGTCAACACCCGCTGAAATCCTAGATCCACCACATCATCAAGTGCCTGGAGAATGTCACATGTCATATCTATGGCTAAAATGATTACAAACTACAAAAACATTGGAAATACAGACTGACCTGGAATCTCAATGTACTCAATGAAATTGTTAAATTTTGTTCCTTTAGTTTTTTCTTACCTCTATGAAATGTTGCTGGCAATGGCTTGGTTAATTCTGTTAAAGACAAACAAAATTCGTAAGGTCAAGATCTAGTAAATGAAAGGTGTCTACAGATTTCTCAAATTTGGGAAATAAAGTCCTTAAAGGTTGCTTTATAACGATAGCTTGGTCAAATAAGGTTTATCTGTGCATAATCTGTAGGTAAAAAGGGCGAAAAATCACATTTGATATGGTCATTTTCAATGAAAAGTTAAGAAAACCAGTCATGAATATGGGAGTTTTGTCCACATCAGACAAAGGATATATGTATCTAGATTGCCTACAGTCTCTCAGAAAACAGTAATTTGTATGTTTTTAGCCTCTTCTTTAAAATAAAATTGAATATAGGATTACTTTTCACATGATTTCAAACTGAATTCTACATATTTCTATTAGAGCCGTACGTAAAGTATGGAAAAAAATAAAGTTTAAGTTAATTATGATGTCATAATGGATCAAGCACCAAAAAGACAATCTAAAGTGACAAAGTCATTTACTAGACCTTGACTTTAAAGAGTTTTATCTTGAAAATTCTGATTAAAATAATTCTTGACATTAGTTTATTTTTACTTGAAATAAAATGTTTACCCAAGAATTTAGAAGATAACTTCTTATCAACAGCACCATCCCTGAAATAAAAACAAATATTTACATAAAACAAATTCTCAGCTATCTTCTTTAAAAACAACAACAACAAACAAACAAACAGAAAAAAAACCCCAACAAAATCATTTACTAATCTCTTATGGACCTCACATTGATTTGAAATATTCTGGTCTAGCTGATATGTAATTCTCAGAAAATTGTTAAGTATAATATTTGAAAGTTGCACTACATACTTTCAGTAATATTTGAAGGTAAAAGATGCCAAAACTACGGTAAGACACTTTCAAATTTATTATATGATAGCACATATGATCAAAATGTTTTTATCAAATCAAAGGTAAATTTTTATTGATCTGATTTTTTTCATTAATTCTAGTAACTACCTGGTTATGTGGCATCACACAGACCTATCAATCATTGAGAAAAAAGAATTGTAAATTGCAATATTCCACAAATAGCTTTAATTACCATTGTATACCCAGTATGTGTATATAAAATTCATATATATGAAATTAATAATTAGATAACAGTTGTATTTTTTTTTTGAGAGAGAGAAAAACAAGAGGCCCATGGGCCACATCGCTCACCTGAGCACATTGGCTAGGAAAAAAAGCAAAAATCAGTTCAGTATTGAAAAGTTAACGGGGGAGGGGGGGGGGGATTTTAAACTACCTAACAATGCTTTCATATCAATATAACAAATGACTTTGCTGTTCTTGAGCAGAAGATTTTTTCCCATATATTCATTTGTAAAAATTTGATCCCCCATTGTGGCCCCACCCTACCCCTGGGGGCGCTCATTTCAACAAATTTCATTTAATACTACCCAACGATGTTTCCATATCAATTTGACTAATCATGGCTTTTCTGTTCTTGAGAGAAAGATTTTTTGCTATATATTCCTCTGTAAACTTTGATCACCCATTGAGGCCCCACCCTACCTCTGGGGGTCATGATTTGAACAAACTTGAATCTACACTACCTGAGGATGCTTCCATATAAATATGACCAATCATGTCTTTCGCGGGTATGTTAAGGCCACACCCAGAGATATACTACTTGCCTCTACAATATGACGTCATAGTAAGTTGTATGACGTGAAGTTTACAAATAATGATTTCTTAATATCTATATTTGAAGTTTAATTTCAGGTCCAAGAAATGAATGGAATCATTCAAAAACATAATATAAACAAAATCATGTAGTTTTTGGGTGGTATAAATAGCTACCCGGTAAGTATTTATCATGGGGGTTAAATACCAAACACATGACGTCATAACTATTGATCAAATATTTGCCGAGTGAAAATTAAACGTGACGGGAATTCATGTAAACAAATATGTAAAATGGGAGTTTTCAAGCATACACCATGAATGCTATGTGTGATTCATAAGGAATTAAAGATTATGAATCAGGTAAGCTGATATATTCTAATCATGTTTTCTTATAATGAATACAGGCAGTACCTTAAAATCCCGATCAGCCTTTCCTCTGTCGTTCTATACCAACAAAGTTGCAAAAGTTCAACACTACGCCGCATACTTTGAGACATAATTTTTGTTTGTATCGAAAGCTTGTATTCTATAGTACTTGGAAAGTGCTGCTAGAATCGTGTAATTAACATGAATTGATGACAATTCCTTGATCGTTTGTACAAAATGTAATAATTTTGGTAAGGTTTCATGCAAAACTTTGGAATAATTTTTTCTGTTTCGGGAGATTATGATTCTAGCAGCACTTTTCATGACCCAGTGATGTTTTTACATAATTATTTTCACAAAAAGAATTGAATTATCCCCGGGGTAGTGTTGAACTTTTTACTTTTTCATTAAGGCAAATTTTCTATTTATAGACATCAAATGATGACGTCGTAGTGGAGTGCTTCTTTTAGCCTTAAACTCAATGACGTCTATACAATGGATAATTATAGTAAATGTTTTATCTATGGCTTTTCCGATTTATCAATGTTACAGTTCACGAAAAAAGTCTAAATTCGCCGAAATATGGTCTGGGTACTGCCTTAACATACCTGCGTTGCTTATCTTGAGAAGAAGATTTTTAAAGTTTTTTTCTATATACTCTTATGAAAAACTTTGACACCCCCCCCCCCATTGTGGCCCCATCCTACCCCCAGGGGTCATGATTTGAACAACTTGAATCTACACTACCTGGGGATGCTTCCGTATAAATATGACCAATCATGGCTTTGCTGTTCTTAAGAAGAAGATTTTTAAAGATATTTTCCTATATATTTCTATGTAAAACTTTGATCCCCCATTGTGGCCTCACCCTACCCCCGGGGGTCATGATTTGAACAAACTTAAATCTACACTACCTGAGGATGCTTCCATATAAATATGACCAATCATGTCTTTGCTTATCTTGAGAAGAAGATTTTTAAAGTTTTTTTCTATATACTCTTATGAAAAACTTTGACCCCCCCCATTGTGGCCCCACCCTACCCCCAGGGGTCATGATTTGAACAACTTGAATCTACACTACCTGAGGATGCTTCCATATAAATATGACCAATCATGGCTTTGCTGTTCTTCAGAAGAAGATTTTTAAAGATATTTTCCTATATATTTCTATGTAAAACTTTGACCCCCACATTGTGGCCCCACCCTACCCCCGGGGGTCATGATTTGAACAAATTTGAATCTACACTACCTGAGGATGCTTCCATATAAATATGACCAATCATGGCTTTGCTGTTCTTAAGAAGAAGATTTTTAAAGATATATTCCTATATATTTCTATGTAAAACTTTGATCCCCCATTGTGGCCTCACCCTACCCCCGGGGGTCATGATTTGAACAAACTTGAATCTACACTACCTGAGGATGTTTCCACATAAGTTTCATCTTTCCTGGCCCAGTGGTTCTTGAGAAGAAGATTTTTAAATGATGCCATTATTTTTTCACTAATTCCTAATTATCTCCCCTTGAAAGAGGGCGTGGCCCTTCATTTGAACAGACTTGAATCCCCTTCACCCAAGGATACTTTGTGGTAAGTTTGGTTGAATTTGGCCCAGTGGTTCTTGAGAAGAAGATGAAAATGTGAAAAGTTTACAACAACAACAATGACAACGACGACAACGACAACAACGACGACAGACAACGGACAAATTTTGATCAGAAAAGCTCACTTGAGCCTTTGGCTCAGGTGAGCTAAAAAGGAGATTGGAAGTCTTTAAAAGGGCACATGTACTTTACATGAAACAAATTTAGAAAATGCCAATCTTTAAATGGCACAAAGAAAAGGACATCTCCACACTAAAGTAAGGCTCAAATTCAGAAAAGGGCATATTTATCTGAACTTGAAATAAACTTTAAAAAGATTATTTTTATGTGTTTCTGTGTTGGCAATTATCACTACCTAGCCACTACTTGTTATTTAAAAGTTTATAATACTTTTTAGTACAACATACTCTTTAAGGAAACCAAAAACAAAACCGTCCGCTCCCGCTTGTTTGAGATCCACCACTTCTGCCTCCATGACTTCTATTTCCTCTGGGTTGTACAGGAAGTCGCCACCTCGGGGTCTTATCATCACAAACACAGGAATCTTTACATACTTCTTAATGGTTTTCAACATTCCTGTTTGAAAATTTTTTGCAGATTTAAGTGATAAAGGCACAGGAAAAATAGTTTTAACTTTCAAAAAATATTTTTACTGACAGTAAAAGAAACAATTATTTGAATGTGAGTTAAGGCTAGGTATAGGCGTTTCTATGCAAATGAGCTAATAAAAACACATAAGTATATTTATTATAGAAAGAAAGATTTGATTTATTTTCTTATATGTACTTAGTACCCACGATATGTTATAGGCAATACACATTATGACGTCATATCATGACGTCACTGTTCTTACCCACTGGAGGGAATAAAACACATCAACAAAACAGCTTCGGTGCAAGGGATTATCCTATTTAATTTTACATAAAAATTATATAATGTTAAGAAGAATATTCTATAGATTAATAAAACTGCTGCACAAATCCTAGGCGTTTTCTCATTTGATCTGAATTTGAGGAAACTTATACAGGACTGTACATTTTTACTCTGTTTCATCTCAAAATTTTACAAATAGTAATTAAACAACTGAGCTTATGATATTTGTTCAGCAATAGATTAGCAATCCTTGGAATATTTTGCTTTTAACTATACATTGTTTCAGTTAAACAAAATAGAGCATGCCCTTGCGCCGAAGCTTTTTTTTTTTTGATGTCCTTTATGATCATGTGTAGTAAAGAACAATGACGTCATATTATGACGTCATAATGTGTACTGGCTATATCATGTCGTGGGTACCAGATATGTATTAGACAATAAGTTTTTAACTTTCCCTGTAAAATAGGTATAGTCCTTAGATATTTTAATTAGTGTATTTGCATAGAAATGCCTATACCTAGCCTTAACTCACTTGTGTTTTATGTCACGTTTCATTCGGTATCTTGTGGGCTTGCTGCATTGAAGTCTTTCAGGAATATTACAAATCTTGATTGTTTTTCTTATCTGTCAACCAATCACATTAAGCCTTTCGATGATAAACATGCATTTTAGATGTCAACCGATTCCTTTCAGTTTACATTTATATCTGTCTACTTCAATTTGATTGGTGCTTCTCAATGAGAGAAGCAAGCCAAAAGAAATGGAATGAAATTCGTCAGGGATCCAAAGGCAGTGTGTTGACTCCGGACCCCTGACATTGTGAGAATGAGAGCGTCTATGCATGCTCATTTTGTATCAAACATCAATTTCATTGATATAAAAAATTCTGGGTAACACGAATCACCGAAATGCCCTGTAATCACCAAAATGCCCCTCAAAAACACCGAAATGCCTATCAAACCACCGAAATTCCCCTTCATGTGTTTTTTCATGATGTTTTTCATGAAAAATAATGCTTAAATTTTTCATATAAGCATAACTGATGGTAAATTTAATTATATTTCATCTCGAAGCGTATAGTAGTTCAAAGGGCGATAACTCGTATTGTGATATACTTCAAGGTTGTGAAGTCTGCGATGTTTTATAAAATCCATGAAAATAATATTATCAACTGATTGAGATTGTAATTGTTTCTTGACCTTAAATTAATTAATGCAAAAATTCGTTCATAATTTTTATTATTAATAAATGCATAATCATTAACATGATTATAGCCTGTCAATGAATAGTTACTGAGTTAGCAATATTATATTAACAAGTTGAAGCATTGGAAAATTTTATTTGTTCCAGGATTTTTTAAATGTCTTTGTCCTCCCGTTGATTCTTTTCTTTTTTTCTCTCTCTCTCTTTTTACCGACATTTTGCCTAGCGAGATTGGACCATGTGGACCGTCAGTCATACGCCTGCCGACGCCTGCTAAGTGGGAAAATACGCCTGGCGACAAATACATGTGTCTGTCATTATTTGTGTAGTAAATTTATATTTTATAACTTTTATAGACCATATGGTTAATGCTTCATCAAACAAAAAAGAACATAATTGAGTGTTTTTATTCCAGAATTGATGGGTAGGCCAACTCTCATGATATTTTACGATCGAGATGAAAGAAATTCGGAATTCATGTAATTACAAAATATAAAAATATTTTTACTCTTTGTAATTCGTTAAACCATATATTATTATTTATAAAACGATTTTTTGAATTTGTTACTTGATCAGATACATTCTCAGTCAGGTCAAATATGGAACTTATCTCTTGTAAATCGGTAATCTTTTCAACGGTTGAACGGTACCAATTGTTTTTTTTTTTTTAATCATGCACGATTATTCCATGTGTGAGTACCTGATTATGTAACACCATTATTCATGTCGGTCAAAAGTTCTACAGAGCTTATGTTATTTGTTAAAAAAAATCCGACTTTAAATAAAAATTTCTGATTCTGACCCATCCACATAAAAAAAGTCATTTATTAAGTAAATCTGTCAAATTTTTACTAATTTTAATATGTGTTTCTTTATCTCAGTATATACATCTCGTAGTTATTATAGTGCACGTGCCGCGTGATTTCATTGATTGCTGAGTACCTGATTATGTAACACCACATAATATTATACACCTGTCACTGGGTTGATTCCATTGTGATTAGCAGTCTGTGTATACACAATAAACATAATTTCAGACATCCATATCATTTCAGACCAATTTAACAAAGATACACCGTAATTCTGGTCTTTCGACATTTTAAATACTTATACAACCATTCCATGTGAATTATATCAAGCATGTTTACACATATAGATCATAGTAAAAATGAATGAATACAAAAAAAAAAAAAAATCATAATAATAGTTATCGGAGGATCAAATATTCTTTAGGATACATTCGTAATATCAAAAAGGTTAAATTCGTAATATCATACAAATTAAATAGAATTCCCAAGAAGTAATTCTTGTACAATCATCTTGTACAATCAAAACGACCTGATTTCTTTATAAATGCTTGTACAATAGAAAAAGGTTCTTTTTCTAGAGATTTATAAGAAAGGTTTGAACATAAAACGTTATGTTGTACACATGTATGTATCTTAAAAATTGCATTTTCGCCACTTAATTTGGCAAAAATGGCGAATCACACTGATTTGATTTTAATGATGAGAAGTGGGAGATGAAATACAACTTTAAGATCAGTATTTAAAAAAAAGTGGGTTCCATTAATAATTCTCTTCTCATTAGCAAGAAAATAATTTGGGTTACATTTGTTGATCATTACCAATTTCTAATCATTATTTAAAAAATAATAAGCTTGTATAAAGACTATAAAAGCAAGAAATCTGGATAATAGCAACATTAAAAATGTGCAAATATTGAACTATTTTTAATTCTTAGCTTGTATTAGGTATATTTCTCATTTAATATCAAGCATTAAACCATCTATCAGATAACAATGAATTTCGATTGCACTTTAAATTAATTTCAGAAATCAGAATTTACGTAAATAATATAACAAGCAAAATTTAAAAGTTTTAATGGTATATAAAAAAAAATTAATCAGCGTGATTTTTGTTTATAATTATTTGTTTAAAAAACTTGAAAGATATGTTGTAAATAAAACTAATGTTATTTTAACCAGATTTGTGGTGTCTTTTAATCTGTGAGAGTTATCTTTCTTTAATGCAAACATGCACATATCTTCAAATAAAAATACTTACAGTAAGATTATGAAAATTTTATTACGTATCTAGGCTTTAGAACAGTTAATATCATCAATATTTATTAATTTTTTATTTATTTATAACAAAATAAGGGGCATTTCGGTGATTCCTTGGGGATTTTCGGTGATTACGGGGCATTTCGGTGATTCGTAGTACCGAAAAATTCTATATAGTTTCCTTCCTACATGCATTTTTACTTATATCACTTTAATAGAGTCGTAAACTTGTCATATTAATAAAGTTCATCTCTGTTGGCACATAAATTATTCAAAGAAATGCATATAAAAATATATCTTACACAGTTTCCATTACCCGAGGTAGGAGTTGTTCCCCCTTCGGACAGATTGGCACAAAGCTCTACTCGTATGGCACCTGAAATGGATAGAATGGGTAAAATATTTCTTACCCTCGACTGAATTGTTTATTATAACACACACTTTTATCGTTAAAATGCAAAATTACCCCCTTTCTCCGCATTTATGGCGGACAGCACAGAATCGACACACACCTCCATTTCGAAACAATCCCGGAAATATTGTTTCCGATCCGAATTTGGTTTGGGGATTAGTCGGTGAATTTCAAGATGGCGTCTAATGTACGGGTGGAAATATCGATGTGATAGAAAACTTGCTTGCATTCCATTTTCATGTATTGTGGTGTTGTGAAATGAGCAAAATTAAGAGAAGAGTAACAGTTGATTCTGCTAAGTCTGTCTCGGATGAAGGAGATAGACGCAAACCAAGTGTTTTTGAAAGGCTTGGTCCCGGAGCTCGAAAACAACTAGACGATGTAAAAAATTATCATTATTGAATTTAACCCACTCAAGTGATAACATCATACTTAACCCTACTTCATCAAAGCTACTGAAACTGTTTTTGCAATCGATTACGTTGAGACATTCTGTAGACATAGTGTAGAAACGCTTGATTTTTTTTTCCATTTGTTGATCCCAGACCATGTGGATGCATGGCTTGGTCTTAATTAAATGCCTCACACACACTACACGCGGGGTTGTTCATAAGAACTGAAAAAGAAGGGGAAATTGAAAAAGTAGAGGGGGTCAGGGGGTCTTCCTCCAGAAGGGATGAGGGGGGAATGCCCCTTCATTGGTAGGTCCAGGGGGCCAAAGTTTCCCAGCCGAAAATAAATTGCAGAGTTTAACAATGATTAGAAGCCCCTGGAGAGATTTTTCTTCTTCCTTGAATTCACAAACCACCATCTGGCGAATTTCATGCTTCTATTTAATTGTTGTAATTTCACCAATTTCCAAGAATTTCTTTTCATAAAAATCAAAATTGCAGATCTCATAAGATTTTATTGTTTTTTACATTATCACTATGTATAATTGGATCTTATACGAATCAGTATTTCATAAAAAATATTTAAATAAATTTTTTTGAAATAAACTCTCTCTATCCATTTTACAAGGTAGCATACATTGTCATTCTGTTTTTTTTTTTTTCATTAGGGTGTTTCGGAACGAGCTAACAAAGATTTTTTTTTTTAAATCAGAGCACATACAATAAATATATTTCTTTTTGTATCTGAAAGAACTCGTTTAACATTTACGCTTCAGTTGTTTCATAATTGGAAATAATTAAATGGGATATCTATGTATATATATGTATTAATTTTACCTTAGACAGAGGAGTGAAGAAAATTCAGATTAAGAAATGGAAATAATCATTTTTAGAATTAAATAAATTATCGTTTAGTACTGCTTTATTAATCAGATGAATTCAGAGATTTAAACAATACAATCTTTAGATTTAGTTACAAAAGACTATTACAAAAGGGACCACTCAGTTAAAAATGTAAGTGCAAAACTATGCATGTACATCACCATCAGATGACAAAACACGGTGGTTCTTTACATTGAATAAGCATGTCCAGTAGAGGCCGGTAAATGAGTAAACAAGGAAGCAATGCATATGAACTTATTTTAACATTCAAGTTTTATAACAAGAAACAGCAGAATTTAATTAAATTCACAGATGCAAACATTGCCATAAAAACAGGATGATAATTACATGTATGTAGGATTGTATGTAGGATATTGTTTGTGATGTTTGTTTACTATTTGTTGCTGTTGTCTTGTGATATTTGTATGAAATAATTATTTAACAGTGAAAAGGGATATATCTATCAAAATAATTTCATATAGTTTCAATTGAAAAAAAATGTTATATTTGTTTGATATATACGTGCACCTACTTAGGATCTTTTTCATTGTATTGATGCAATTTCAGTGGGATTAAAGAATTTTTTGCTCAAGACTAGAAAAAAAAAATCAAAATGCTGTTTCAGAGAAGAAATGATTTGAGAAAAAAAAAATACTGAATTAGATAATTCTACACTGGGGGAAAAATTAATTTTGGTTTGGGCCCAAATCTAATTCCTTCACAAATTTTAAAATTTAATTGTAGCGTGGAGAATCTTCATATCACAACACCAAGTGTCGGCATTGGTTGCTAAACGGAGAGTGCGCATTTGGAAGCAGCTGTAAATTTCAACACGGTCCACCTTACAAAAAATCAAGGTAACCGGTTACCCTTTGGATGGAAATTTTTCTTGTAAAAATCAATATCATTTTAACTACCTTGCACAAATATTCTTTGGAAATTAAATCTTTTACTAAAGCTTGCTTTTATAAAGCCAATACATTTTATTAATTTCTTATTCTTATTTCATACTTGAAATCCAAAATAATAAACTTGTTTCCTGGACTTTAAATAAGACAGGAGGATCCAAGCATTTTTTGCAATGCATATATTTTTTAAAATTTATGTAATTTCTAACAATTATTTAAATTTTTGTCTCATTGACAAATTTTAGATTCTTTTAGTTTCTTGAATTAGAATAATGCAGAAAGAAAACAAAAAATTGTATTTTAAAGAAATATAACACCTAATTGTGTATTTCAGAGTTGAGGAGAGTCCTGAGAAACCCAGATCCAGACAGAAACATTACAAGAAGGAGACAGAGGAGAGCGATTCAGATTCCGACCACCGTGCTCGCAGCAAGTCCAAAAAGGAGAAAATCCGATCAATTGTCAGTAAGAAGAAGGCAGCGGCACAGGACAGTGACAGTGACACTTCTGACAGCTGGGAGCAGGAACGGGCGCCTCAGCCTGACAGAGCAGGTAAGTTATGAATAATCCAAAGAAGAGCTGACACATGACAAACTTGTCAGCTCTGTATATGGGAAGATAACAACAGTCAGCTGGAAGAAAATCAAATGCCAGAATTATCAGCTCTATAATCATGGGAAGTTGAATGATAATCATATTATAGAAATCACATGCAAGCTTGTCAGGTCTATAAGCTGTGGAAAGTTTATAAGATTCTGTTTCATAATACTGTAAATAGAGGAGCTAGACTTAACAATGATTTAAACAGCATTTAGTAAGAAAAAAATCTGTGTCGTTGTTGAAGGTAGATAGTATTACTCTTGCAACAGGTCAGTGTTTTAGCATACTAGATTCCTATTAAGGTAGTATAAAACACCTGTGAAATAAGTTTTAACTCATTTCTTCTTAAACGTAATAGAAGAAAAGAATTAAAATAACTATAATGTCAATAATCAATGACCATGTAAGAAAAATAACAAGATATGACATGTTTTTGCCATGTTTTGTTAAAAAAAAATTGGACACATTCATTTGGGAACCTACATTTAGAATGAGTTTATGTCATATACATGTGATTTGACCATCAATTATTAAATGCAAAGAAACTTTTGATCCGTTTATAGTAGAGACCTGTGGATCTTTTCACAAAAAATCTTACGACATATTTTTATCTTAAGTGAAAACTTATGATAAAAATCGTTTTCACAAAAATTCTTAAGAAATTCTTAAGTGCAAAACCGGTTGTAACTTTACGAGAGCCCCAACCCTCTCTTAAGTATTTTAAAACAGATATAATTGTAAAAATATAACCACAAAAACCAAAATACACATTAAATTGAACTTGTTTAAGCAGCTTCCATTAATATTTTATATTTTTTTTCACAATCAATGTCGAAAAATTAAATGAAATACACTACAAAATATTTACGATTTAAGTTTCACTTAATATTTTCGTATGACCTACTTTTACGTCAGACCTGTGATTGTGACGTCAGATTTTAAACTTCCCTGCTTCACAAACGATTGCATTCGATATTTGTTGCCAGTAATGTTTGTTATGCTGACATATGTTGAAAACTAAGTTTTATTTTTATTTTCACCCATTGATTTAAGGATAATAAAGCATATTGAAGTCGTTGCTAGGGATGAAGTCTGTCGTAAGTAAAATCTTAAGTTCAATCTGCTACGAATGCGTTCGTGAAACGCACTTAAGATTTGTCGTAAGAGATTCTTAAGTTAAAATCCTATGCAAAAACTTAAGATTTTTTGTGAAAAGGTCTACTGATATTTGGACATATGTCTTCTTTATGTACAATAAAAGTCAAGGTCATTTTTAGAGGTCAAAGGTCATATATTATGACATCATTCACTGATTCTTTTATTTTTTTTTTTACTTTGAAATTTGTTAAATGGCAAAAATATCTGAAACTGCTGGTTCAAATTTCCTCATTTTGACTCTTTTTAATCTGTAATCAATCATTCTGTTGATTTTTTTTTTTATAAAAATTGAATTATACATTTTCTATTAAGAGATATTAAAGTTGTGGCATATTTACATGTGGAATTGCATTTCCAGAGCTATGCATGTTTAATTTTTATATCATAGTGTACTTAGATATACTGGTATCAATATATTTTACTAAATTTTAGTAACAAAAAGGTTACTTTTATAAAAAGTATCATTCAAGTTCTGTAATATATCAAATGGTATTTTTTAACAATGAATGCACATTCTCAAGTTGAGTGTCTGATTTCACAATCTTCTTTATATAGGCTATATATTTCAAACCATGCAGATGAAAAATGTGTGGTTGAATTTCTTTCATATTACATATAAAGAGAGTTTTTTTTTTTTAATCTAAGAACAAAATATCAAGGTTTCCAAAAAATTAAATATGAGGAAAAATTTGGCCTATCTGTTATGTACCACCTTAAGTATTGAATCCTTGGGAATATCCCCAAATTAATTAATTTGGGGGGAGATAAGTCGGAAGATTTTTATTCTAGAAGAAAACATGAAATGTGAACAAGTACATAGAAATTGAACATGGATAAGATAAGCTTTATTTAAAGTCAGTATGGCAGTTATAAAGACAACACAAGCTCTAATGAGCTTTTGATTTACATTAGTAACATATACATAACAGTAAAATATACATAACAGTAAAACAATAAAACATGCAGCATTATAAACATAGAAATACATCAAAACAGGACTCAGTAACATAAAGGAGACACATCAGATAAAGATACATGCATAAGACAAAAATATACAGACACACATACAAAGATTACAGATCTTACCTAGCTCCCACAGCCCTTTCTGCTCCAGGAAGTATTATGTATTTAAACTGTAAAAAGTTTGTTTACAACAATAAAATTTTCAGATAGGGTGTTCCATAGAACTGGTGCTGCATATCTAATAGACATTTTACCATATGAAGAAGGTTTTAACTTTAGGTATTTCTAAAATATTGGAATATCAAAAATTGTACTTTACTTTCTTAAAACTATAACCAAGTCTGACAAACAATTACATCTAGCAGAAAGGTCATATATAATTCTAAAATATTCAAGAGCCATCCTGCACATTCTTCTAATCTCTAGGAAAGGTATTTTGCTTTGTGTAGTAATGCTTAGCTACTTTCCTAATCTTCATAAATAAAAAGTAAAGCTTGTTCTTGGATCTTTTTTATTTTTCTTGTGTTTTTCTTTGAAAAAAGTGCCAAACAAGAGGACAAAAATTAAAATTTGACAGAATAAAACTATAAAACATGATAATTCTGCTTGTCCAAGTTAATACTGAGCCAATACGTTTTAAAACATTTAGTAGTTGGACAGCTTTTTTGCAAATATTACTAATATGAACATAAAATTTAAGCATAAAATCAATATCAACTCCCAATATTTTGACAGTTTCATTGCATGAGATTTCTGCACCATTAATCCTAAAAACTGTTGGGGTTTTTTTTGCAAATGTTTTCTTACCCAAGGCAATTACTTGAAATTTAAATGGATTAGTCTGTATATACACTTATCTTGGAACCATTTTAGTAATACTGAAATTTCATCATGCAAAGTATTTATCAAAATGTCAAAATTCTTATGCCAATATAAGGCCAAAGTATTATCATTTGCATAATTATATAAAGACCCACTCTTTTTGAAATAAAAAATATTGTTTATAAAAACATTGAAAAGTAAAGGTCCAAGAATAGAACCTTGTGGCACTCCCTTTTATATACCAACCCAACTACTGACAACTCCCTGAAGTTTCACTTTCTGAAAACATTCAAAGAAGTAGCTACCCAGAATAGAAACAGAATTTGCAATAACCAGAGAGTTTACTTAATAGTATATCATGTGGCAGACAATCAAAAGCCTTAGAAAGATCCATCAGAAAGCTGCCACATGTAAATTCTGATCCAGAGCCATTCTCCCATCTTCTAGGAGTTGCAGTAGTGTGGTTTGTCATCCATGACCTTTCCTCAATGCACAGAGAGCATTATTGAAAATACCATCAAAATGGAGAGCTGTACACTCAATACTTTCTCAAAAACCTTTGACACAGTAGGTAAAATACTGACAGGTCTAAAATTAGTTTTTAAAAGAGAGTCTTCTTTTTTGTACAAAGGGATGACCTGAGCTTGTTTGAGTCTATCAGGAAAAGTATCTTTATGCATTGATTAATAAGAACAGAAATATGTTTACTCAGAACAGATGCTCCAAATTTCAGAAGTTTGGCAGAATTTGTATCTAAACCAGTAGACTTCTTAATATTTAATTTATTTATTAACTTAGTCACTTCATCCTCATCAGTTTTAATTCTTGAACCCCTGATAACATTCAGACTACAATGAACTTTTTCATTAAAAACTACATCTTTACCTATTTCACTTGCTACATTAGCATAAAATTCATTAAAAGTGTTACAAGTTTCTTTTGGATCATTCAGAATTTTGTCATTTTCACATTTATAAAAGGATTGTGTTTTCACAAGCTTTGATTTTTTGGATAGAAATGGTGTGATAGTTTTCCAAAAACACAAGCTTTTTTGTCCCCCTACACATCTTTCTTGAAAATAATTTGTTATTGATACATGTACCCTTTTAAGTTTTTAAGTCTTGTAACAAAATTTCTTTGTTTCTAAATTCTTCCCAGTTCTTATCTGTCCTACACCTCTCAAACTTGTTGCTCAAACATTTGTGTGTGTGCGTGTGTGTGTGTAAATAGCCTTCCGAAGTTAAGTCACAATTCATATATGGTATTATACTATTTTTATGTTTATGCTTTTTTTTTCAAGGTGCATGTTTGTCAGCAATGTTTATAAATGCTTTTTCAAAATTTTGATAATTTACATTTTCTTCTGAGGCATCATTTGCAACTGAGGGAATCTCAATTTTTTGTAAGTCTAAAAAAAATAAGAATTGGCATCAAAATTCTTAAAACTGTGAGTTCAAATGACAGAAGTCAGTGATGTTAATTAGCCTTAATAAAAGTTCCAATCAAATTGTGACAATCACTTACTCCTCTAGTATCAAAATTCAGGGTGTCTTTACAAACTGTTTTATCAGATGTTAAAATGACATCAATCAGTGATGGTTCTCTACACATATTGAAACACGTGGGTGATTCGATAATGTTACAAAGATCAAATATGTCACATATTTCTGTTAAATACCTAGATTTCATTTCACTGGTCATGTCAAAATTTAAATCTCCAATAACCATAATTTTTTCATTAAAAGAAGTACTTTTTTCAAGCATGTTGCACATAGATTTACTAAAAGATAATTCATCAAAAGATGGAGGTCTGTATACACACAAAAAAATCCATTTAGATTTACCTAATGTCAATTCCATTGTGATGGTTTCTAAATCCTTATCCTCAAGGTCTATCCTTCTATTGGCTGGAATATCTGATCGTATAAATATGGCAAGACCCCCTCCACGCCTTGTTCTGTCACGCCGAAACAGTTTATAATCATCGACAGCAAACTGATCATCCGGAAAAGAAGAGTCTAGTTTCGTTTCACTAATAATGAGACAATCCACTACTTTATCAACTAAAACGTCTACAATTTCATAAAATTTATATTTTAAGCTGTTGATATTCAAGTGACACACCAGGAAGTCATTTTGGTTTTGGCTCCTTGCTTCTCGCAGCTTTTGCCAGATGTCTACGTCTTCATCTAATAACACATCAGCATCATTTAGGGGTGTCAGGATATTGTGTGAGCATTTACTGCATGACAGTTGACTTAACTTCAGTGGAATGATTGTATTTTTAAATGCAGCACAAGAACAGTGACATTTAGCTTTGCATAATGTACAGATCAACAGTTGCTGGTTTTTTCTAGTTTGTTTTTGACATACAGAACAAGGAAACTTTATTGGTCCAGGGTTTGTGGCAACATCACCAGCAATTAAAATTCGAAGTATAATAAGATATTTGCAGGCTGAGTCTCTTGAGGTAGTATTTTCATCATGGCGGGAAACAAACAAAGAAATCCTCGGGGTATAAAGTTCATACAACAGATAATCGTCCAAATAAATACCGTATATGAACCTGGACAGGATTATATCTTCCACACATGACGTTGTAATTTTGCTTGTGTTTAGTTGTTCATCTGCGGGTGTTATTCTGCAGAGCAAGGTCATGACTGCCAGAGCGATTGTCCAATGAGCTGTCCAGTCCACCATTTTTTTTTTCTATTTTCTTTTTCTTTCCTTTTGGAATGAAAGTATATATATTAATCAGCTGGAATATACAAGAAAATTTACTTCACAAAAAATAAAACAAAAATTGCAATATACGGGTACTTCATTCCATTGGGTAAGATTACATTTGGATGGAAATTAATAGAACAGAATGATGATGTTTAAAATTTTTAAATTGAAGCATAAAGATCTCACTAAAGATCTTGAATATCCAAGTACTTAAGTATAAAATTCCATTGCAGTGCACTGCAAGCGCTTGCATTAATAATTAATTAACAGTGTACTTTCAGTTTGCTCTTGTATACATAAGATCTAAATATAAACCATGGGGAAATCCGCTTTCATGAAGTACTTCCATTACTATTTCAAATTAGAAATAGGGTATTTCCTTGTGGACTATATACTCTCGTTTTCAGGAAATTACTTTTCCTATAAGCGTGTCCATGAAAATCATTGTTTTAGATTTAGATTACAAGAAGGAGTTAGAGTTGGAGCGCCAGAGACAGCAGATTCAGAAAGCACTGCATCAGCTCAACCAGGAGGAGGCGAGGGAAAATATCACCATTCAAAAGAAGGTAAGTCTTTAGAAAGAGAAAGTAGGATAGGGCAATGTAAATTACATACATAAACAAAGCAATTATTAGGGAGTTGGTACAATGTAATTATATACTAATGCATGATAGAGGAGATAGAATTTATAGAATATAAGTAATATTGCATTAGTGTTGGGGTGGAAAGCAAGGGAAGGTTTTGCAATGAACCAAATAATAATGGCAAATTCAACAATTATTTTCTTGGTAAAGAACACAGATATTATCAGAAACATAGGAAGACAAATTGGGTTGCTGTTCAAATAGTGCTGAAAAGATATACTGTAAAAATCTTTCTTGCATGATAAAGTCTTGAATTTGCATTCAAAGGGACTTAATCGTTAGATATCATTGTTCTGTAAGTTGTAAATTTAATTTTTTTTTTTTTTTTGCAAATTTTCAGAAGTAGGTAGGAATTGTTTGAAACTATCATGTGATGGTGTAAAACTGGAACATTTTCATTTACAGTAAATTAAGTAAATTAAGACAGCTGCACCATTTGTTACACAGAGTTGTTACACCACATATTGCACGAGGCAGACTTTTTCAGATCAAAGTTCTCTGTTGCATAAATTGTATTTTTCTCATCTTTTCAAATTATCAATTTTTCACAAGTAATTTTGATGTTTTTTGTCAGCTCATCTTAGCAAAAAGGCTCACATAACATTGATCATCCTGACACCTGGATAAAAGCTTGAATGAAGGTCACATAACATGATGTTGTTAAGGTAACTGAAATGAGCCTGGTAGCCTATAAGCCTATGTTTTGATTCTGTATTTTATTTTTGTAGCTCAGCAGTAGTGAGGACGAAATGGATAGCCCCGAGCTGAAGTACAAGAAATCCAAGTCACCAAGGTAAAACAAAATGTGTCCAGTACTTTTTTGCAATACACAACTCGAAGTTTGCATCCTTAGTGTAAATTATGACAACCAGTGCCACCATAGTCAAATCTAAACATTGTGACCCCCAAAATAAATGACCCCCCCCCCCCCAAAAAAAAAAAAAACCCAAGATATTCTAAAGAAAAATATCTTGAAATTGTCAGAAATTATTGACTTAAAAATAAAAGATACAGTAAAACATGCTTATAATGAAGTGCTAGGGACGGACCATTTTACTTGAAGGACAATTTTACTTCATTATAAATGTAATTTGTTATATCCTGTAAGTTCACAATATATTTTAAGGCTAAGGGAAATGAAAATTACTTTGCTTGTAAGCGTCAATTTATTATAAGCGTGTTCACTATACGCATGTTTTACTGTATTCTTGTATGGCAGATTGTGTTAAGTTGGGTCTTTCCTTTCAAATTTTGTGCTCTCAGATACACCAAGTTTTTCCAACGTCCTGCTGTGTTCAAGATATTGAGATTTTACGTATTTGATTTACATGAAATGTAGCTATTATCTTTGTTGCCTGTTTTAAATTAGTGGTTTGTGAATTTTTTCAGTAAGAAGAAGAAAGAGAAGAAACACAAGATGAAATCTCCAAAGTCCAAAGACATAAGGTCACCAAGCCCTGGAGTCAGAAAGAGGTCACATTTCAGTTATTTTTCTCTGTATATTCTCATTCACCAAGCAGCAATATTAATGACAGTTCTAAAAATATTTTTTTTGAAGAATTGCATGTTCTTTTTTTAGTTTGTATAAAACAAAATGATTTTTTTTTTGAGGAGGAAAGACAGTGGGGGTGTGTGTATGTGTGTGTATGTGGGAGGGGGGGGGTGTTGACAAAAGAAAGGTATACAGTGTACATAGATACAGAGGAGATACATTGATTATTAAAAGTAGGGGGTAGGTCAGAAATCTAACATCATGTGCTTGAAAAGAATGTTTCTTTTACAACTATCTGTCACTCAGCTAGTATTAGGGCTGTGTATTGAGCAAAAAAAATTCAATATGATACGATATTTTATAAAGCAATATGCGATATATTGGATTCTTTAACAAGTCTATCAAAAAAGTCTTGTAAATCATTTTATATGGATAAATTTTATAAAAACTGAGTGTTTTATGAACCATCTTTAAGTTCTTGTGTCACTGTCATTACAAAATTCAAACTTTTAAACACTGTAAAACCAACATATTAAAATGTAGTTGTCTTTTGTAATATTTATTTTAGATGTTCTGTCTCCTTAATCTTTATATAATTAATGAACAGTTTTAATTCAAAACAGTTAAACATAATCTTCGGTGATTGAAATTCCCAACTTTTTCACAGAATTATAAGAAAAACTGCCTATCCAATACGTATTGGAAGTAATTTTTTCGATACGATACATTCTTAAATATTGATATGTATCGATATATTGATATATTGACACGGCTAGTATAAATATAGATTTTGTAAAAGGGAAAGCTGCATTAAATACATGTACATATACTAGGACATTACATCCTCATCTTTTGATGCACTGACAAATTGGAAAAGTTTGTTTCAAGTACTGTGAATATTGAACAAAAATTGCCAAAAAAAAAAAAAGATTCTGGAAAAAAAAAAGTTTTTGAAAGTATCCTAATCCTTACAGAAATGAAGACCAAGACTCTCCAAAGAAGAAACACAAGAAGAAGAAATCTCTGGAAAAGAAACATTCAGAATTTTCAGATGAGGATGACCAAGAGATGAAAATGAAAAAATTCAAAATTAAAAGCATTAAGTCAAAGACTTCTGAAAAACCCATTCTGAGTTTTCAGTCAGAAGAAGAATATGAGGATGAGCTTGCAAAGAAAGCAGCTACAAGAAAATTATCACCCTGGTCACGCTCCCCCTCACGCTCGGCATCTAGGTCAAGGTCTCCATCTGCCGATTATGAAAGGTCAAGGAGGTCACCTGATGAATATGAGAAATTTCTGGTCCAGCAGCAAGGAAAGTCCCCAATGAGCATGAAAGGAAAGAAGGCTATCAGACAGCAATTGGAATATGAGAACTACATGAAAAAACACAAGAAGGGGAGGTTAAAAGAACTCTCCCCAGAGCCACGAGAAGTAAAGAAAGAGCGATCACCCTCCCCAGATCATGCTGATCCAAAGGGAGGTAAAAAGAAGGGCAAAAAGGAGCAGAAAAAGAAACAGAAAGATTCGGAGAAAGATTACATGTCAAACAGTGATTCAGAGATGTATGCAAGAGGAGAGAAACAATCACCAACTAAAAAGTATGATCCACCCCCAGATCATCGGGAGCAGAGGAGCTCAAGACGAGATGAGATGGAGCAGCCAAGAAGCTCCCCTAAGGAGTATGGGGACAGTCGGTCCAAGCAGTACAAGTCCCAGGACAGAAGGGGACCCAGTACCCCAGTGAAGGAGAGGAGGAGGAGTCCCTCCCCAGACCAGGGAATAAAGACACAGGAGTCCTACAGCAGGAAGGAGTATTCGCCTTCAGAGTCTATGAGGTAATAGAAAATATTCAGTGGGAGTATAGTCTGACAAGTGCTAATTAAACTGTGGAGCACAAACCTTGGAAAGAATTTTTTTTCAGATTGTAATTTTTTTTTTTTAACATCAATTTAAAATACAAAAACAATTCCATGCGACATATTTATTTGAAAATTTTCTAGATTATTATATATTAGAAATATTATGTCAGTTCTATTAAAGAAGGCTCCAATAAGAAAATTGCAACTTCAACACACTTCCTTAGTAAGAAATTTTGAGTGTTTCCTTGTTTAAGGTCAGGGTCCCAGTACCAGAGGAGTCGCCGAGACCCCTCCCCTAGGGATAGGAGGGATGACAGCAGCAGGTACCCCAAAGATCGACGGATGGAAGAGGAAAGAGGGAGGGACAAGGAAGATCCCCGCCGATCCAGCAGGTACCCCTCCCCAGGGGAGCGGAGATATGATAGAGGTCATGATCCACCCCCAAGGGCTGAGTACGAGGGAAGGTCAGACAGGTGGGTATGCTCTAAGATGTACATGTAGTTAGATGTACAAGAGCCTCTAAGATGTACATGTAGTTAGATGTACAAGAGCCTCTAAGATGTACATGTAGTTCTCTGTTTTTGGGGTGTACAAGAGCCTTGTACAGCCATTTTCAATTTTGGAAAAAGGAATATTTTTCTAAATTATGTATGCCAGGTGAAGCAGCTTAAATGTGATAATCAAAATTTAAAAAAAAGAATACACACAAGTCTTCCATGTACATGAACCATATGTACTTGCCTATAAGTCTGTCCGCCTATAAGTTGGTTGTATTTTTTTAAGCTTAATTTAAAGGGATTGACCCGTTAAAATACCAATCTTTTCATAACTCGCATATAAGTGGGATAAAGAGTTTTGGAGCAAAGTTTAACTCAAAAAAAAAAACGACTTATAAGCGAGTATATACGGTATATGCAGTCTTCCTAATGACTTAGTTGTAATGGATGTGAGGACAAAACAATAACCTTAAAGTTTTTTTTAGGAAACTAGAACATAATGTAGAAATATGAATGTTTCATTGATTAAATGACTTTATTTACAAGTTTGCTTTATAAAATTTTCAAACAAACCAGCCGAAGTAGATATATGGAGAGAAGCAGAGATCCCTATGATGAGCATTATCCCCCTCCCCCTCCCTCCCACCCAGAGGACCTCAGAGATCGTGGGAGAGCCACTTACAGCCAGAGGGGTGCACCCCTCCCACCAGAATCATATGAAAGGGACAGAAGGGGGCCTCCCTCAGATAGATTTGACAGAGACAAAAGAGGTCCTCCCGAGGGTTACGAGAGAGATAAACTCGTACCTCCAGCAGAGGTTTATGAGAGGGACAGGTACCCTAGGGACAGAGAGAGGTATGGGTCCAGGGATCAGAGGTCAGACCCTAGGAATCCTCGATATGAAGGTAGGTACCTTTAACACAGTTTTTGGTGGTAGAGTCCTTTGTGACAAATTATTATCAAAATTCTGATGTGTTCTTACCATTGCATCATTTCATCAGCTGTTCATAAGGTAGTTCTTATTTGTCACTAAAATATGAATTCACATAGAAGTAATTGACATGGAATATGGTAATTCTTCATTGAATGATCTACATGTTTGCACAAAATTTTTGAATACACTATTTTGCTGTTAGTAGGCATGTTTCCCAGTTTTTGTTGGCATATGTCAAGAATGAACATTTAACTAAATGAAGAAACTTTGAGAGAATTTTTAAATCAAGATCTTTATCCAGCCTTGGAAGAATTTGATAGATAGACTTGTTTCAGTGTACTGTAGATTCCTTATTTTTTGCGAGTACTTATTTTTGAAAATTGGCTCTTTAATGTCAAATCGTGAGAATAGTAACTCACAAGTGGATGGTTGATAAGAGATTTTACATGGATTTTAGCACCATAAGAATAAAGCTAGTAATTTTATTTCTCGAGTGGTGTTTCTTGCAAAAAATTTTTTTCTCGCGTATATTTAGGAATCTACAGTAATTTCTTATATTTCAAAACTTGGTAACAAATAAAGTGTTCTTTTAATAGGAGGCAGGGATCCATATGATAATAGAGGCCCAGCTCCCACTGATTATGCATGGGATCAGAACCGCCGCGGTGGTAACTGGCCACCACCATCTTCCAGAAACCGCAACACCCAACAACAACCACCACCATTAATGGGTAAGCAGAGGATTTGTTTCTTTTGAAGGAGAATTTATTCTGCAGTTTACCAGCTTTGTCATTTAGAATGATTTTATTCCACATTAATATATATATCGTATTTTTCATGGTCTCATTACTTCAAATAGATTTTGATAGCTTGGATATAGTTTCTTTGAGCATGCACATCTTAAAATTCAGAAGTTTTTATTGCATCTGCTTGGTTTTGTTTTGTTTTTTGAAAACTGAAGGTGCTTTGTTTTGTTTTTGCATTCACACAGTCATGTAAAAAAGATAGTATGTAAATTCTAAAACACTTTAAATTCCTATTTTCTTGACCAATTAAAAAAAAATCCAAGTGCATTTGTCCAATGTGAGAGGGGTTATGCAGTGTTTTGTGCAGTATTTGTTTGAGGTGTTTCCATCAAAATTTCATTTTGTGGTCGTGAATTTCACTGTTTTCATATTTCAAAGCATAATTCCCCATATTAATTTCAAAGGTTTGTGTAAACCACTTTTCTGTAGCTTAAAGCAAAGGGCTTAGAACAATGCTTTATTTTAGAAGAAAAAAATTAAAACACACAAAAGCAGCGTAATTTTTTATCTTAATTGCTACAAGCACTTTCAGCTTAACATTAATAATTTTCAGAGATAGATTTTCAGGAGCATGGTGTTTTGCTATGGCAACTCATTTGCATGCTGAGGCTGTGATCGTTGATGTGTGACATGTGGCCATTCATGTGTAACGGATTGTTTGATACTAACATTGTATGATTGTAGGCCCCGACAGAGGCTATCGACCTCCAGAGCGATATCCAGACTATGGACCCCCCATCCCAGGTTTGTGGCCCCATTTTCAGGTCAAAGGTCAAGAGTTCAACATTTGCTCCCTCTAACATTCACAACTTACATTTCAGTTTGACCTCCAAAAAAAACAGAAATCTGAAATGCATCTTGTTCTTTGATCATATACAATCAAATTAATTAGAAATTAAAAGATATTTCAGCCTCTGTGCACTTTCTAGTTTTTAGAGCACACCATTTTGCTTAACACAGATTTATCTTCATTTTGAGCATTAAGTATAAACATTTAATATTTTAACAAAAGGTTTCTTGCATGTTGTATACAAGTGTGCATTAAGAATATTTACTCTTTCATTATTGGCTTATTTTGATCATATAAATCAAGGTTGTAATTTTTATTTGATTTAACTTGAAATCGAAAGTGTTGTGGCAATAATATTTTTTCACAGGTTAGAAACTGAGCAAGAATGAGTAAGAAATGAGTAAGAATGTAATGGATTACTGTACCATTGTAATTAAAAAAAACATATGTTTTAAGTTTTACAATTTATTCTTTATGCCAAAAAGTATGAGTTCATGGGGAGAATTTTAATCAAATTGATTTTACAAAGAATTTTCAATTGAAAGTTTCTCTTGTACAACAGTCTCAGAATGATGCTGATGACTGTAAATTATTCTATGTCTTAGATCAGAGATCGGGGTCATATTGATGTAATGTAGATCTGTATCCATATAAACAACTTTGGCTTTAATGCTGATCTAAAGGCAAAACAAAGTTCATATTGGTCAAGGTCAAGATCATGGTGAAGGTCATACCTGTATGTGCTGGTAACTTGTCAGATAGAAATTCACGACCTTTTGAATCTGGCACAGCATGATGTTTTATAAAAAGCAAAGAAAAAACTTTTGTTTAGATAGTTTTTAACGTTATAAGATTAAAGATTTATTGGCTGTACCACCTAGCATTTCATGAAAATTCCTCTTGTGTTCATTCATGGTACATGTATGTTTAAAACCAATTAAACTGAAAAAGAATTTCCTACTTAAACTGTCCAAAACGTTTTCCTGATAATCAATACATATTTAACAATGAAAATTCCAGCAGCTTCCAGATTTGATTCCCCGAGGGATGTCAGATCAGAGAGGGGAGAATGGGACAGGCAGGACCCCAGGGATGAGTTTTACCCCCCAGACAGGAGGGACTGGGATCGTCATGAAGAGAGGAGAGACTACCAACCCCCACCACGGGAGGATGACCGCTTTATGGACAGGCCAGATGATCGATACAGGGACAGGTATGTGTTGTGATTTAGTCATTAATAAAACTCTAATGAACAACAAAGAGAGTGATACAATATTTAATTTCAAATGTACTTTAGTTATTGGGTGTACTTTTGCTTTCAGCAGCCGGTATGACAGAAAAGCAGATGACAGACGGAATGATGACAGATCAAAGCGAGATCGCTACGCTGATGAAAGGTCAGAGAGACAAGACAGAGACAAAGGTGAGCCCCCGAGCAGGGCAGACTATGACCGACGCAGAGGGGGGTCTCCAGACAGAAGACAAGACATGTCCCAGGACCGAAAAGGAGACAACTCGAGGGATCGTAGGAGGGAGACCTCACCTGATAGACAGCAAGGAGGGTCATATGACCAGCAGAGGGCGGGGTCAAAAGAGAAATACCGTGAAGAGGGGGACAGAAGAAAGGAGGAGGGAAGCGATCGAAAGAGGGACAGATCGATGGATACAAAGAGAGAAGAGAGACGAAGGGATGAGAAGAATCGTGGGACAGCTGCTGCCAGACGCAAGGAGGGGTCAATTGAGAAGCCAGCTGAAGGCTCACCTGATAGGCCAAGAGAGAGGTCATATGATAAGAAATGGGAGGAGTCACCTGAAAGGCCAGTGGGGGATAAGGAGGTGGATCGAAGAAGAGGGGAAGGAGAGGAGAAGGGGAGGAGAGAAGCTGAGAATCAGGGGCGAGATAAGACATCTCGAGAGAGGCGGGATCCTACACCGGTATAGTTTACTTGAATGAGATAAAGTTACTATTAAAGTTATTTGGGATAGTGAAAGATGGCACACTCTTAATGTGCTCTTAGTACAGTACGTTATTTACATAATTTGATAATCTTTTCACAGGCATGATTATTTGTAACACATCAAATTTATTTAATTTATTATATCAAGGTAAAAATTTACATATTGCACTGCATTAGTACATTTATTTTGCAAACCAAACTTGTTTTCTTAAAGACTAAAAAGAAGGATAAGAAAACCAAGAAGTCTCACAAGGAAAAGTCTAAAGAGGAGGAAAAAACGGAGGAAATCAGAGAGAGGAAAGAGAAAGCAGAACCAAGGAAGGAAAGCAGGTAATTAATTGAGTGGAGAGGGATGAGTTTATACTTTATAGGTAATTATTGGACAGGGAAGGAAGGAGTTTACAGGTTAGTAATTGGGCTAGAGAGAGGGAGATTGTAGTTCATAGCTAAAGGAAGGTATTACTGGTATAAAGTTCAAATGAGAAGTGACAGGGTTTTGAAAGTGTTGAAAAATGTGATGTTCAAAATTGATAGTGTGAGTTACTGTAAACCAACTTTTATTTGCGTGTGAGAAATATCTGTGTGTTTTGCGAAGTTCTTTTACTCATGAATATTTCTTGTTGCAAACCAATCATTCACATATATATTTATGTAGAATGTTGCCTCGATCGCAAAAATTAGTAGAAGCGGATGAATTCCAAACTGAAAATCAAGAATAAAAGATGTCACGAATAATAATTGGTTTACAGTATAAGAGTTTTAAAATGTTCTTTAAAAGAATAGGCCAAGAGGACTATGACAGATTGCATTGTAACCTGATTTCTTGCAGAAAACGGGGCTATGATGACAAGGATAGGTCAGTTTCACCTTCACCAAGAGCAAGAGATGCTGACATATCCCCCACACCATCCACAAAGAGGGTCCGGGAGGTGTCTCCCACAGAGTCCCATCGCAGCAAGAGGGAGATTTCCCCCGCTCTATCTCACAGGTAAATAATCTCCAGAAATAGTTCACAGGTAATGATATGCTTAAACCTGATTTGTCTGACCCTGCATATCTCATATATAACTTAGTTTTTGGATAATATAAATTTAAAACTTTTCATGTTTTGCATGTTTACTGTAACTAAGGAAATGTTTGTAACTCAACTTTCATTAAGGTTAATGTCATACTTGGAGGTCAACATTTTACATTTATATTTTAGGTTTACATTGCATGAAAAATAAAATTCATACCACTGCGAATCCATAAACTTTCTTTTCCTGCTGTAGGAGTAAGGCTAGTGCTGTTCCTGTGGAGAAACCACCCACCAGAGAGGAGGATGAGGAGGAAAAAAGAGGCCGAGACTGGGAGAGGGGGAGTGAGAAATCAGAGAGGAGGGGGAGGGAGAGACATGCCTCTAGTGTAAGTACACATTGATAACACAGGGGGAGTGAGAAATCAGAGAGGAGGGGGAGAGAGAGAGACATGCCTCTAGTGTAAGTACACACTGATAACACAGGGGGAATGAGAAATCAGATTGGGGGGGGGGGGGGGGGGAAGGAGAGAGACATGCCTCTAGTGTAAGTACACACTGATAACACAGGGGAATGAGAAATCAGAGAGGAGGGGGAGAGAGAGAGAGACATGCCTCTAGTGTAAGTACACACTGATAACACAGGGGAATGAGAAATCAGATTGGGGGGTGGGTGGGGGGGGGGGGGGGAGAGAGAGACATGCTTCTAGTGTAAGTACACACTGATAACACAGGGGGAATGAGAAATCAGATTGGGGGGGGGAGGGGGGGGGGGGTAGACATGCCTCTAGTGTAAGTACACACTGATAACACAGGGAGAGTGAGAAATCAGAGAGGAGGGGGAGAGAGACATGCCTCTAGTGTAAGTACACACTGCTAACACAGGGGGAGTTAGAAATCAGAGAGGAGGGGGAGAGAGAGACATGCTTCTAGTGTAAGTACACACTGATAACATGGGGGAATGAGAAATCAGATTGGGGGGGGGGGAGACATGCCTCTAGTGTAAGTACATACTGATAATACAGGGGGAGTGAGAAATCAGAGAGGAGGGGGAGAGAGAGACATGCCTCTAGTGTAAGTACACACTGATAACACAGGGAGAGTGAGAAATCATACAGGAGGTGAGGGGACATGCCTGTAGTGTATGAAGACAGATTAATAAATATTTGAATTGTCCTTATATGCATTATATACTGTACCAACTTTTGTTGGTGTGCCAGAAATATCAGAGTTTGGCACCCTTCTTTTTTTCAGGAATATTTCTTGCCAAAAGTCATTTATTTTGTAGTGTATTTATGTGGAATATTTCCTCAGTCATTAAAATTAGAAATTGCAGAATGATTTCAAACAGACAAATTTCAAATAATAATTGGTTTAAAGTATTGCTAATCAATGATATACAGTGTACTGTAAACAAGTGTATTTGCGTATTATTTCCTGTATATCCTCACTCATTCAAAGTTTGCAAAATTATTTTACAGCCATTTTCTGTTGAAGAAGATAGAGGGTCGAGAGTGTCCAAAAGGTCAAGGTCACCTGAGGGCAGAGATGACCAGAAAGACAGAGACAGGAGGAAAAAGAGGAAAATCAATCGAGATGGTAAGGAATTTTAAGTCTTCCTAGAGATTGACACTTTTGAAGCATCTTGGCAATAGAAAGCAATTTTATAACATATAGACATAAAGTTATCAATTTAAATGTTTTAAGATTTTTTCAAAAAATGGCAAACAATTTTAAATCATCTTATATATTGATTAGCCGAGGTAGAGGATTTCTGTCCTTTGTACTGTTTAAATGAAGACAGAAAACCATAGAATCTTTATATAGACATCATAATACAAATTTTTGAAAATTTTCTCCAGTTTTATATTGTTAGTTTCTTAAATTTCTTTTATACAGATGACAGAAGACAAAGTGACAAAAATCATGAGGAAGATCGCAAATCAGGCAAGTCCATTTCTCATGATTTCTTCTCATGTTAATTGTCCAAAAAAGCATGCATTCTAAAAAAAAAAAAAGGAAAAATATAACATTTGATGACTTACTTAATCTTGTCTTCTTAGTGTATCATTGTTTATTTCTGTTTATGTAGTTGGCAGACAATCCCAGGGCAGTCATCTTGATAACAAGCTCAGTGATTGGTCTGAAGATTCAGAGGACCTCCCTAAAACTGGCCTGGGGGAGGTGACAGAAAAGGAGAAAGAACAGGTAGAATTATGCTGTAAATCACAGGTATATATCTGCTGTTAATGAGCAGGTAGATATCTGCTGTAAATTAGAGGTAGATATCTGCTGTAAATCACAGATGTCTGCTATAGACCACAGGGAGATATCTGCTTTAAACCATAGATGGAAATGTGCTGTAAATCAGAAAAAAAGCTGAGGTAGTAAATTTTGAATATGTCGTTTTTTCTACTGATAAGTACATGTATTTTCTCCATCAAACAAATCAGATCTTGTAGATGAGTTTGTCGAGGTTTGCTTATGAGAGTCAAACATTAAGCCTTTTTTTAAAAGATACTGTATCATTGTACTTAACTTTCTTGATGAGAATATGAAGAATGAGATTCTTGTCTAGACAAGAATAAAACCAAGAAATTAGGAGAGGATCATTCTTTCTTTATTTGTAGGTGGCGTCTGCTCTACCAGAACACATTCTGCCCCGACGACCCAGAAGTCATAGCCGTAGCAGCCTAGGTAGCCATCGAGATAACCGCAGCAGGCGGTCATCAGTTGATCGCAGCAGGCGGGATGTATCTGCAGAAAATGATCGGAGTAGAAGGGATCGTTCGCAAGAAAATGATAGAAGCCGGAGGGATCGCTCAATTGAAAGTCGTAGCAGGCGGGACCGCTCACCTGAAATTCGATCATCTAGTAGACCAAGCAGTAGAGAGAGGTCAAGGTCAGAAAATTTTAAATTTTAAAAAAACTAAGGTCATCTTGAATTAAAAGCTAAATGCTACTGTTTTAGATTATGTATACACATGCATTGGTTGTATGTATTCATTCAGACCTTTGTTTACAGCAGAGGTAGAACTAGCTCAGTTGAAGCTCGAGAAAAAGAGAGAAGCAAAAGTGAGACATCTGAGAGCAAACTCGAGCCACAGGCGAATGAGGAGGAAAAACAAACTAAAGGTAAAGATTAGGACTATATCAAAGATATATCAAGAATTTCAAACAATAAGTACAGAATGAGAACAAGGTTAGGACAGTATCAGAAATATTCAATAATGACTGCAGGATGAAAATTGATGGAAAATTGAGTTTTGTGTGTTTATGAGTTATTGATGATGTAATGGTGATATAAGGATGATGATGATGATTGTGATTATGATAATTGTGATGATGATGTTGTTTGTGTTGATGATGATGATGATTGTGATATTGATTGTGAATGATGATGATTGTGTGATGATGTTGTTTGTGATGATGATTGTGATGATACTGATTGTGAAGATGATGATGATGATTGTGATGATATTGATTGTGAAGATGATGATGATGATTGTGATGATATTGATTGTGAAGATGATGATGATGATTGTGATGATATTGATGGTGAAGATGATGATGATGATTGTGATGATGATTTACAGATGAGGAGGAGGACTCTGATGATAATCTGTCATTGGAGGAGATTTCCAGTGAAGAGGGCAGTGTGATTGGAGAAGAGGAAAAGAAACCCAGTAAGAGTTACTCCATACTTCTTACTGTAAATCGTATCAGAGGAACTTTATTTTTGCTTTTTAGCTCACCTCAACGAAGTTGGGGGAGCTTATGTAATACCCTCAGCGTTGGCATTGGCGTCGGCGTCCCAGGTTAAGGTTTTTGGAGCAGTTTTCTTTTCAAGTACTTCTATGGCCTATATTAGTCAGAGATGCATGGAGGATGCTTCTAGTGTGTTTTATTGTACCAGTCAAGGTTTCAGATGCTGCAATTTCAGCTAAAGAATGACCAGTTTAATGTTTTTGGAGCAGGTTAAAGTTTTTGGAGCAGGTTAAAGTTTTTGGAGCAGGTCTCATTTCCAAGTAACTATAAGCCCTATATTGACCAAACTTGCATGGATGATACATCTAAGGATGCACACTACTGGACTTGCTTCGGATGCTGGATCTGACCTAAATTTTTGGGATGAGTGACCAGGTTAAAGTTTTTGGAGCAGATGTCATTTCCAAGTAACTATAAGCCCTATATTGACTAAACTTGCATGGATGATACATGTACATCTAAGGATGCACACTACTTGACTTGCTTCGGATGCTGGATCTGACCTATATTTTCTGGATGAGTAACCAGGTTAAAGTTTTTGGAGCAGGTCTCAATTCCAAGTAACTATAAGCCCTGTATTGACTAAACTTGCATGGATGATACATCTAAGGATGCACACTACTGGACTTGCTTCGGATGCTGAATCTGACCTAAATTTTTGGGATGAGTGACCAGGTTAAAGTTTTTGGAGCAGATGTCATTTCCAAGTAACTATAAGCCCTATATTGACTAAACTTGCATGGATGATACATCTAAGGATGCACACTACTGGACTTGCTTTGGATGCTGGATTTGACTTACATTTTCCGGATGAGTGACCAGGTTAAAGTTTTTGGAGCAGATCTCATTTCCAAGTAACTATAAGGCCTATCTGAACCAAACTTGCATGGATGATGCATCAAGGGACGAACAATCTCAAAACTTGCTTCGGATGCTGGATTTGACTTACATTTTCTGGATGAGTGACTAGTATAAATGTTGCATCTAGGGATGCACACTCCTAGATTATTAGTTTAGTGTGGGACTTGCCTTACTTAAAGACAACATTCGTTGAGGTGAGCTCTGTAATCTCTGATTACCTGTTTTAACTAATTTTGTGAAACTGTCTTGACATGAAAATAAAGTTCTTATGAATAGTAATAGGAAGTAAATCTTATTTAATATTGTGGGATGGAGAATATATGGGAACATTTTATTGGAAATAAATGCTTTTTTTAAGGCAAATATAAAATTGTGATATATTAGTTATTCATTCACAGTATTTTGTAGTGTTATTTTATACATGCCAAGAAAACTTACAATTTCTCAAAAGTTCATTTCTTGATCTTAGCTTGGGAAAATGAACCAAATCTACCAATCCAGTTCAATTTTACTTAAATTTTGCCCTTTTCATGAAATTGTGTGATTTTGCTTTCCAAACAATCCCTGTTCCAATCCAAGATAAATGTACCCCTCGTAATTTAAATTCCATGTGTTTAGGTATAATGGACATGGTAGACATAGACTGGACCAGTCTGGTTCAATCCTCACAACCTAAACCAGCCAGCACTGGTTCAGCTTTGCAGCGGTTCAGAGCACCTGCTATCTTTGCCAAGCTCGGAGTATCCCGGGAGTTTGCGGGTGACAAATTGTTTGAAAAGATCCAGAATTCTTGTCAACAGGAATTAGAGAAACAAAGAGAGGAAAACTCTGAAGGTTCGACTCACAACATTCTTATATAAAATATTTAAAGGTTGATTGATTTAACACTATTCATTCTATATAGAAAGGGTTGTGTGTTCTGAGCTATCCATATTGTGTAATTATTTAAATATTATTTGAATTATTGAACACTCTTATAGTATGACATTTGGTCTTAACAAGTATTTAAAAGGGGGAAGTCTGCTAAATTTATATTCAAAGTACGAATACTTTATTTTTGTGGAATTCAGAAAGGGTTAAAACTTGGGAACTTGATCTCAATAAAAACCACCATTTTGAAAATCTGTTGTTGTTAATGCATATTTACACATTGTTTTTATCATTTTCAGGGTCACAGGGTCAAGAGGTTAAACCCTCAGAGCAGGTTAAGTTCCAGTTAGAGGATTCTCTGAGGAAAATCCAGACAGGCTCGGCTTCGCTGACCTCGAAGAGTAATATCCTACGTAACATTGGCAGCTTCAGGAGGGCATTGTGTGCCAGGAAGGACCTGGAAATCCGACGCAAACTCTGCAAAGTGGACACGGTAAGATTGCTTGCAGGTTGTCATAGGAATACATAGAAAGTATAAACTGGTAAAATATATTCTAAATTGAACCTTACAAACAATATTAGACTATGGAGCTTAGATTTTGGATGCAAATATTTTCCAGCTCATTGCTGTGTTATTTTAAATTCAACAAAAATACTGGCATTTGTTAATGTACATTGTATATTTGTATGCTTGTTGGTTATTATCCAGATTTATTTTTAGAACTTGGACCAATCTTTCAATCCTCCGATGCCAGACAAAGAACTGTTTAAACTTAGTGCTCAACTATTGACTGGGTCTGACATTTCCCCTATTAAAGATGACAGCACCACCTCAGCCATTAAACCTGAAATACAGTGTGCCTAGAGACTGCTGGCCCAGAGGTGATAAATCTGGATCACTAATGTGATAAATAAAATTCATAGAGCAGGCCACAAAATTTACTGTGGAAGAGGCATCTACGAAGGGCATAACAAGGGTGCAACAATAGGCATCCTTTTTTTTAATCATTCTTGTGTTCATGTCTTGTATAACCATGTGTATTTCATTAAAAATGAAATGATAAAATTGTTTTGTTGTTTATTTATTGACCAGCATAGATTTCAAAATACTGCATTTACACTTGCTGAACTTGACCATATGATTTTGTTGCTTTAATTATAAGCACCAATCTTTTTTAAAATGTTCATACTCATGTCACCAGAAAAATGAATACATGTATAATAATAAATATGTATATATGTAACAAAATTAATAGCATTGAGTCATGATTTTGCTAAATAATTTATTTAGAATCTACACTAAATTTTGAATGCATTCAGAAATTTTAGATATACATTTCTGATAACTAAGATTACCATCTCGAATTTGTTCAACAGTAAACATGTATGCTTTCCCCTTTTGTTTACAGCCCAAGCAGTATTTCTATAGATTAAAGATTGTAGTTTACAGCCCATGCTAGCTAGCATTTCTATAAATTAAAGATTGTAGTTTACAGCTCATGCTAGCTAGCATTTCTATAAATTAAAGATTGTACAAGTTTACAGCCCATGCTAGCTAGCATTTCTATAAATCAAAGATTGCAGTTTACACCCCAAGCTAGCTAGCATTTCTAGAAATTAAAGATTGTAATTTACAGTCCATGCTAGCTAGTATTTCTATAAATTAAAGATTGTAGTCTACAGCCCAAGCTAGCTAGTATTTCTATAAATTAAAGATTTTAGTTTACAGCCCATGCTAGCTAGCATTTCTATAAATTAAAGATTTTAGTTTACAGCCCATGCTATCTAGCATTTCTATGAATTAAAGATTGTAGTTTACAGCCCAAGCTAGCTAGCATTTCTATAAAGTAAAGATTGTAGTTTACAGCCCATGTTAGCTAGCATTTCTATAAATTAAAGATTGCAGTTTACACCCCAAGCTGGCTAGCATTTCTATAAATTAAAGATTGTAGTTTACAGCCCATGCTAGCTAGCATTCCTATAAATTAAAGATTGTAGTTTACAGCCCATGCTAGCTAGCATTTCTATAAATTAAAGATTGTAGTTTACAGCCCATACTAGCTAGCATTTCTATAAATTAAAGATTGTAGTTTACACCCCAAGCTGGCTAGCATTTCTATAAATCAAAGATTGCAGTTTACACCCCAAGCTGGCTAGCATTTCTATAAATTAAAGATTTTAGTTTACACCCCAAGCTGGCTAGCATTTCTATAAATTAAAGATTGTAGTTTACAGCCCATGCTAGCTAGCATTTTTACAAAGACTATAGCTCTGCATAGGGCTTTGAGAGTCTGAAGAGTTCAGTGACAGTTGAACTTCAGTATTTCGAACATTGATATCTCAAATACTAGGGATAAGTCAAAGTCATTTGGAAGTCCCAACACCTTTTTTAGCTCTTCTGAGCCAAAGGCCCAAAGAGCTAATGCTATGGCCATTTGTGCGGTGTGCATAAACTTTTTAAAATATGGGCCATAACTCAAGAACCCCTTGGCCAATTATTGTCAAATTTGTCACAGGGTATCCTTGGCCAAAGGGCTCCTTTATATACTAAAACTAGGGTTGTGACCCTTTAACAAGGGGAGATAATTAGGAAAATAGAAACAAAAGTACTGGTTGCTAAAAAATCTTCTTTTCAAGAACCACTGGGCAGATTATCACCAAACTTACACAAAAGGATGAGGATATGTTGTAGATTAAAATTTGCATGGGGATTTACCCTGGGGCAAAGGGCGTGGTCTCAAGGTCACTTCAAAGTTGACCAAAAATTACATTTTATTAAAATGTTGATATTTTGCATACTATAAGGACTAGGATCATCAAATCTTGTCAGTTGATGCATCTAAGGACCTCATATTATGTTGACTCAAGAGTAGGTCACGGTGACCTACTTTTTAAATTTTGCGGCCATTCTTTTTCAAAATGATTTAGAGGCATATTTTGAACAATTTAAGGCCTATGATCATCAAACTTTGTCAGTTGATGCATCTTGGGTCCTCAAAGTACGTCAACTAAAAATTAGGTCATCTTGATCTACTTTTTGAATTTTATGGCTAATCTTTTTCAAAACAATAAAGGTCATTAATTCGAATATCGAGAGGTTTAGAATCATTTAATCTTGTAAGATGATGCATTGGGGCCATAAAACATATTTATTAAAAAGTAGGTGACAGTGACCTACTTTTTGAACTTTGCAGGCATTCGATTTCAAAGCATTTTAGAGGCATAATTTGGACATTTTAAAGCCTATGGTCATAAAACTTTGTAAGTTGATGCATCTTGGGTCCTTAAAAATCGTCAACTGAAAAGTAGGTCACCGTGACCTACTTTTGAAAATTTATGGCTTTAATTAAATATTTCGGGTACTAATTAGCTTAGAATCATCAAACTTTGTCAGTTGATGCATCTCGGGTCTTCGGAGAAGGTCGACTGAAAAGTAGGTCATCGTAACCTACTTTTTGAAAATTTATGGCTTTAATTAAATATTTCGCGTACTAATTAGCTTAGAATCATCAAACTTTGTCAGTTGATGCATCTCGGGTCTTTGGAGTAGGTCGACTGAAAAGTAGGTCACCGTGACCTACTTTTGAAAATTAATGGCTTTAATTAAATATTTCGGGTACTAATTGGCTTAGAATCATCAAACTTTGTCAGTTGATGCATCTTGGGTCCTTGGAGTACGACAACTGAAAAGTAGGTCACTTTGACCTACTTATAAAATTTTATGGTTATAATTTTAAAAGATATTTTAGGTATTAATTGGCTTAGAATCATCAAACTTAGTTGATGGGTCCTCAGAGAATGACAAGTGATAAGTAGGTCACCTGACCAACTCTCAGGTACTAGTTGGCTTAGAATCATCTTGGGTTCTCAGAATGTGAATTGGAATTTTAAGGGTTTATCTAAATATACAGGATACTTAGAGGCTTCAAATAGAAGTGATAGGTTGTACAGTTTATCAGAAGAGCGATTCAAGGCCCTTGGGCCTCTTGTTTCTCTTTGTATTTATAACCCTCAGTATCTTGAACCCTTAAATATCTCGAAGTTTTTCTGTCCCATCGAATTCAAGAAAATAAGGTTTAACAGTAACTGTACGTTTTTACACCTGGAAATGTCACCTGTCCAAAAGAGGTATTTTTCTACATTCATGTATATTGTACTGAGTTATAAATGCACAAAGTTCATCACTATAGTTTATCATCTTACATAGGAAAAATTGTCAAATCTCAAATATTTTCAAGAAGTGCCAATAAAAGCACCAAATATGCATTTTCTAATTGATCACCAAATATATTTTGGAATTAAAAACTATAGGTATCCAGGCATTCAGAGAAAAATGCATGTTTTTAATACTTACATGGTATTTTAATTCTCCTATTTACTTCAATTGTTATATAATACACCGTGTAAAAAGCCTTTGCCATCATTGCAAGACATCACCGACCACTTTTAATTTCACAGCATGCTAATATGCATTGGTATCTAAGGCTAGATTAAAATAAATTTGATTTCTCTAAAAATGTATTTAATTTTGTACTCTTATGTGCCTACGTTTTAAAAGTCAGTCTCCAAAACTTCAAATCACCTTGAATCATATTGAGATGCATGAAATATAAATTGTTGAAAATTTCAATTTCAAGCTTCATTTTGAGACTTTTTGAATTAAATAATAATTTAAGAGTTATCCTTCCTGGCTGAGGAGCGGATATCCTTAAGACAGACATCAATTCATAGAGCTGCATATCTCGGTTCATGAGTGCTACCATACTATTATTTGTGAGAATTTAGTTCAACATAAGAAGTACACTTATATTCAAGTGTAACTGACCAGATTTCAAAACTTTACCACTAAGATTGTTAAAAACCCACCTGTTTAAATGAAAATCTGATGAAAATTTTGCTCAATAAATTTATTGGTGCTGCAGTTCAAATTGGACATAACATACACATGTATACTTTTTGACCTTTGATCACCATAGAGACCACAGTCTACATAAATGTAGCAAAATCACAATGTTGTTATTACTGTATACCTGTTTCAAAAGACCTACTGAAATTGACTTTGGATATACACAAAGGTAACCAAAATAATAAAGATTTATCACAGTCAAAACATTTATCAAAATATATATTAAAAAAGTACTTACATGAAAGATATACATGAAGGTTATTATTATATGTGCTCAGTTTAGCAAAGCAAAATTTATTTAAATGTGGATCATGGATTATTTGATAAAATTATGATTTAGCACAATCAATTTTTCTATGCATTATAATAATATAGATTCATTTCTTTTTACATTATTAATAAATTATTAACATTAAACATTTCAACAAATGTGCAAAAAGTTCCAGATAAATTGCACCCAGTAATAAAATGAGAAAGTGGGCAGCAAGTATTGTACAGTCTTACTGACTGTATTGTACATATAAGTGTCCTGAATCCAGGTCCTCCAAATCATCCTCATCTGGATGTAGATCCAGCTCACCTTTTGATATATCCTCAGATCCAATCTCATCCAAATCCACAGGTTTATCTGGCTCTTTTGATAATTCCAGATACATGTGGCAGAGCAAGCTCATTCTCATTGCAGTAGAACTATCGATATTCAAAGAACAAGAATCAAAGTCCTTCACTGCATCAACATATGCTTTCTGCAAAGAACTGTTGTCAAAGTTCGTGATTACAAGACAGTTGAGAATTACATATGGATCAAATCCAGCTTCCTTAAGGAATGTCACATTTTCAACAACTTTTTCAGAATTCCGTGAAAAATGTTGGGTTCTAATTGTTCTCAAAGGTTGTCTTATTTCTTGAACATGTTTCTTGGAGACTTCTAGAGAACTGGCCAACAACATACTACCTACATATCGTGGTCTAGTTTTTTCCACTGAAGTCCCTATTTTTTCGTAATCCAAATTTGTGTTTTCGCACATTTCCGATAAAACTTGTACAAATGTGTTAATATATTTTATTCGAAAAATCCGGGGATCTGCTAAGGCAATTTCATGATACTTAAATCCAAACTTGAACAAGATATGAATAATCTCCCTTGTATTTTCTATGTTGTGAAGTAAACTGTGTTTTTTACATAACAGCACAAGCAATTCCTTCTCATTATCCTCCTCCTTGTCTTCAGCATCTTCCTCTGTGATGCAAAGTTTCTCTTTTAAGCTTTTGTCAAATTGTTTCAGTTCAGCAGTTAGTTTTTCTTTAGTAAGGGTGACTACTCTCTTAGCAATTCTTACATTGGATTGCAACTGATACTGTTTAATCAACTCCAGTTTCTCCATACTCTCCTTGTATTTGTGAACCCTATAAAACCTTTGGTGAACTTCTTCTACAAATGGTTCATTTCCATACACTTCATCAATCTTCTTTCCTAACTTCTCTCTGAGGATGTTTCGGGAGAAGTCTTTTATGGCCCCCCTAGCGTCTTGGTCCCACGGCCCCCCAGCAGGATGGTATGATCCATTCACATACAAAAGCAGTGAGGGACATATGTAGATCCTTCTGGAGACAGCAGTCAGCTTTCTGATGAAGAACTCCAGTTTAGTCTTGTCCCAATCCAACACTGTTTCCTGGTTTCTGTCAGAGTCGGGCTGGTAGCCATTTTCTTCCAAAAGTTTCAAGTTCTGTTTCCTGTCTGCAGTAATCTGATTTAACTAAAGACAAATAATAATTCTACACTGCATTTTATAAAATATTTTAGAATGTTCAAAAATCAGTATAACCTTGCATCAGCTTGTACTGTATAGATGTAGATAGTAAACTATTATCTTAAGGCCAAAATAAAAAATACCTTTGTTTCCCCTAACGAGACCGACCCAATTAAAACCTGCCGACTGAAAAGTTTTTTTTAAAGAAGATTATTCAAATATTTTTTTTAATGATTATCAACTTTTATAAAAATATAAAATACAATTTCATCAAAACCTGTTCTTATCAGAAATTCAGAATGTATTTTCAAAGCTTCTGTCAAAAAAAAAAAAAAAATTTTACCTACCTACCTACCCAACTTCAGATTCTAGGGTCGGGTTAGGGGAAACAAAGATATTTTTAATGATGGCCTAAGCAACAAACTTTTATCATGTTTATTCGTGATTCCCAAAATTTGAAATCCATCTAAAAAAAATGCTATTAAACTGTATGATGCGGAAACATACTACATAAATACTAAATTAAAAACTGGTTGACACCAAGAAATTTTCGTGAGTAAAGGAAGGTCATGAAACTTGCAATTAGATACATGTATATCTGGCACATGATTAAATCAAGTTGGTTTACTGTATAAGACAAACCTCCAGGTTGGGTCTACATCTATATAGGAAAATATATATGTACTATTGAGAACCAAAACAGTATTTACAACATATATGTCTGCATTGCTCTCTCTGAGTATCTACAAGTATCTCGTTGTACACATGTATGAATTTGTGTCCTACCTTCTTGTGAATTTGTTTGTAATCTGTTGCAACAACACTCCTAAAAGTCACACCGAAATGTCCTTCCTTAAGCATATGTCTGCTGACAAACTGGGCAAAGAACTGCATCTACAAAGATACAGAAATATCGGTTTGCTATATAACACCAGTGTGATTTAGAAACATTGTAAGATATTTACAAAATTTGTGTAATGCTTTTATCTTAGCAGGGACCTATATATACAAATACAAATACAAATACAAATATTTTATTGGCACAACACAATTACAGTAATTGGTAAAGGCCCATATAGAACACAATAATAAGTATAATAATACAGTAGAACACAACTAGAATACAAACAATTGGTGTAGCAAATAATGTACTCATCAGATACTAGGTGATTCATAACAATGTAGTTACTCATTTATAGCTAGAACATTTTTTCTAATATCAGATATTTGACATAAAAATGAAGATAATATTTTAAGAACCCTTTTACACCTGGTTTTCATCAATGATTTTAACAAATTGTCATTATTATGGATTGTTTGGTTGAAATTAGGGAAAGTAGATAATTTTGTTTTGAATATTTTTCTCTGCGCTTCATATTTTGGACAGAGCAAAATGAAATGTTTTTCATCCTCAATATCAAGGTTTTGACAAACTTTACACAACCTATCATTTTTATTAATTTCAACATATCTACCTTTTTCAATTTCTAAATTATGTGCACTTAACCTAATTTTTGCTAAAAATGATCTATAATATATATATAGGTCCCTGATCTTAGCTTTTAAAATTGTTCTTTTTTCAATAGATTTCTATCAATTAACATTTCAAAACCCACCATTACATGATCAGATGTTAAATTTTAAAGTCTGTTGGTTGGATCTTGTGGGGAAAAGAAAGTCACGTCTTTCATTCTACTTTCACTTTTGAATTCATCTTAAACAACAAAACCTGAATTGGCAGATTATATAAATCCGGATCATACCCTTTTTTTAAAACTTAAAATTATTTTCTTTCTTTCTTTTTCGTAATTTGATTTTGGAATAAAATTGAAAAAAAAGTATGCTATAAATAAATAATGAAGAATTATTGTGCAAAGATTTGTACACGTGTCATTTTCACATACATAATATATATTACAAATCATATCTATATATTCCGGTTGCGTTCACTGTTATCTGTATAGTCAAACATGAGGACACGGCTATTAATACAAAATTAGACATTGTACTCATCCACTTACACTATATCCTCCTTCTATCATTTTCACGACGAACAGCATAGTGAAAACAGAGCCCCAGAATGCGAGAAATAATTCATGTTCAAGTGGGACAGTGTGGAAACCAAATCGGTTCAAAATTTTGGGAGGAAATTTCCTACGAACATGGCATTAACACCGAAGGCAAATACCAAGGTGACAATGATGTCCAACTTGAGCGGATCAACGTGTTTTTCACAGAGGGCCAAGGTGGATCCTATGTCCCAAGGGCGTGTATGGTGGATCTCGAACCTGGAACTATGGATGCCATTCGCGGTGGACCCTTTGGAAAAATTTTCAGACCCGACAATTTCGTTTTTGGACAAAACGGGGCTGGTAATGTTTGGGCAAAAGGTCATTACACTGAAGGGGCCGAACTTGTGGACCAAGTGATGGATGTCATCTGGAAAGAAGCAGAAAACTGTGATTGTCTCCAGGGGTTCCAGCTGACCCACTCCCTCGGCGGGGGAACAGGGTCCGGAATGGGGACCCTCCTCCTCAGTAAGATCAAGGAGGAATTTCCTGATCGCATCATGTGTTCTTATTCCGTCCATCCCTCACCAAAAGTAAGTAAATGACACGGCTCGGAGTTGTTTATATGAAAAGATGTTTGCCTCCCTCGACATAAGGTTGTACACAATTATTAAAGTTCGTTGAATCTTTTAAATCTTCAAATCAAAAAGTGGGGTTGGGTGAATAAAAATTCGTTTTTATATATTTTTTTCAATTCCCTAGCTCTTCAAAAAAGCGCTCTCTGTCAAGAACTAACAAAGTTCACCTCCCCTTTAATACTTTTACAAATATTCTATGACAATTTCCCCCTATCCTGAAACACAGGCCATTAGACAAAACCACATTCCATGCATTAACTACAATCCTATGTAAAAGAAATATACATACATGCAAACAACAAATACACGTGCATATAGATTCAGTAATAATTTAATCAAAATACGGATGTTGATATTTCCGCGGTAGAGGTGCGGACATTGCAGCAGGATACCCAATGACGACGAATTCCGGCCAACGTGTGTAGAATACTGTTAATTCATTAGACTTAGAGAGAATTAAAAGAGAACAAAAACGAACCAAGTGCATTCAAATATCTCACTCAGTGATTGAAGAAATGACCGTCAGACAGAAGGGGGGATTGGGCACATCTTCAAATCCCCCTTTCAGTATAACATTAAAGAAAAGCGTATCCCTCACTTCAACATTTTGACAAAATATCTATTAGGGATTAACTTCAATCTCTAACGCTATAGTTTTACTTTGAAAGAGAGCTAACACCTCTCCATCTTGGATGAAGGGGACATCTTTCCTCCAATCACACTGCATCTTCGAAAAAAGATTTTTTTGCGTGTCCTTAATAAATCTGCAAAGCAATCGATTTCGTGTGCGTTGTTTTGCTGTATATTTTAATTTTTACCATTTTGGACGCGTATCCGTAACAGCATACTTCCTCTAAAAAAGAGAGAACATAGAGAAAAAGGTTGTAATCTTATGCTACATTTGTATAAATCAATGCCACGAGGTGCAGAACTTGTGCACCAGCTGCAAAAAATATTATCATAATTGACTGAAACACCGTCCTTTACTAAATAAGTGACACCTGGTATAACTCAATGTATTGTGTATTTTATTGATGTATATTGATGTAAGTAAAGCAACCTGTTGCTGGTTTTTCTAGATTCCCGAGTTTATTCAATCAGTCTAAGTCCGCCATGAGGGAGATAGTTCACATACAGGTGGGTCAGTGTGGGAACCAAATTGGCGCCAAATTCTGGGAGCTTATTTCTGAGGAGCATGGGATTGACAACAAATGTGTATATGTAGGGGATTCCCCTAAACAGCTGGAGAGGATAGATGTTTATTATAACGAGGCTGCCCATGGGAAATATGTCCCTCGAGCCGTGCTGGTGGACCTGGAACCTGGCACCATGGACGCGGTTCGAAGTGGCCCAAATGGTACCCTCTTCCGGCCGGATAATTTTGTATTTGGTCAGAATGGGGCTGGAAACAACTGGGCCAAAGGTCATTACACGGAGGGAGCGGAATTGGTTGACCAGATTATGGATATAATACGACAAGAAGCGGAAAATTGCGACTGTTTGCAGGGGTTTCAACTGGCGCACTCTATCGGCGGGGGGACTGGGTCTGGTCTGGGGACCTTAGTTACGGGGAAAATTCGAGAAGAATTCCCTGATCGAATTATGAATACATTTTCTGTAGTTCCCTCTCCTAAGGTTCGTTGTTCTAAACATTTGCAGTTCGTTTTGTGATATATTTGCGATTTGCTTTGCTTTACTTTGGTTTGATAGTAATTTGCAATATTTTGCGGGTCATAGTTTGTTTTAGTTTATATTTTGCGGACCCTTTTCTTTGAATAATTATGATCACACTTAAAAAAAAAACTTAATGTTTGTTGTGAAGTTCTGGGAAAGGACCTGTCTTCCAGCACACCTTAGTCGTCTACTAATCGACTGATCTAATCAAAATTTATTCTCTAAAAAGCAATCTATATTGTACGTAGATGATTACTATAGATTTTTTTTAATCAGATTTTGATTTTCATAGATAATCTGATATTTGTAATCGACAGTGTTGTTATTTGATCTGAAAATGATTGTTGAAGTTTAAGATAATCTGTCAATACATTACTCATCCCAACGTGTTCGATTGAGTTATCGTCAAATTCGTCATATGTTTCCTACGCTCTTTCATTGATCAGTAATCGTGTACTAGTATCTATTTTTTAAACCTTGCTATCAGTTTGTGTGTATAAAGTACACAGTACAAGTAAAGTTGACAAGATGTAACATTTTTAAAACTAATCCTGCTCATTTCCATATCTTTATACAATTAAGATTTGTATGCCGTATATTCCTTAAATGTGCATACACAAGTCGATTTAATATACCATGTATGCATTGTCATATGTAGTACTTTGGATACGTACTTTATATAGTAATCATCATGCTCGATAATATTATTTTTCGGTCAAATTTTTCAGAGATACTGTATATGTATTCTCTGGCTTAATGAATCGAGATTATTTATTAATGCTTTAAAGTTCATTGTTTATCAATATATGTGTACATGCAGTTCTATAATACATATTTAAATTGCAGGTTTCAGAGGTGGTTGTTGAGCCGTATAATGCTGTACTCTCAGTCCACCAGCTCCTTGAAAACACAGACGAGACCTTCTGTATCGACAACGAGGCTCTCTACGACATCTGCTTCCGGAATCTGAAGCTTCCTAACCCGTCCTATGGTGATCTCAACCATCTCGTATCTCGCACAATGTCCGGAGTTACGACATGCTTGCGGTTTCCGGGACAACTAAACGCCGATCTTAGAAAATTAGCTGTGAACATGGTCCCTTTTCCACGTTTACACTTTTTCATGCCAGGATTTGCTCCCCTTACTTCACGAAGTTCACAGCAATTCAGAGCACTCACTGTACCCCAACTGATCCAGGAAATATTTGACGGTCGAAACATGATGACCGCCTGCGATCCCCGCCACGGTCGCTACCTTACAGTGGGGGCCTTCTTCCGGGGCCAGATGTCCATGAAGGAGGTCGAGGAGCAAATGATGCTCACCCAAAACAAATTTTCTGGAAATTTCGTAGAATGGATTCCAAATAATCTTAAAACTGCAGTGTGTGACATTCCGCCACGAGACGTCAAAATGTCCGCCACCTTTATCGGCAACAGCACTGCCATACAGGAACTTTTCAAGCGTATAGGCGATCAGTTTACGGTAATGTTCCGGCGTCGAGCGTTTTTGCACTGGTACACGGGAGAAGGAATGGATGAAATGGAGTTTACAGAGGCTGAATCTAATATGGCAGACTTAATTTCCGAATACCAGCAATACGAAAGCATCGGCGTGGACGACGATTTTGGTGCGGAAGAACAAGTAGAGGAGGAAGAGGAGGGCGTGTGAACTAGTTTAATTAAGAAAGGAACCAGTTGTGACTTTTTTTTTAATTTCAAATTTTTTGTGCTGTTAGACAAATCATTGAAATGGATCTTTGAAGAACATAATTATCTTTAACGGACATGGCACAAAACAATTTACATTAGTTTTTACACATATGATTTTATTGTAGTATTAACATATTTGTATTTCCACTTAAAAATATAACTTAAGTCAAACAGTTCAGTTAGGCACTGAATATTTAATAAATTTCTTATTTCATGAATGTCATGTTTAGAAATACTAGTATCGTGCAATATTATAATATTTATATTTGCCAATGTTTTGTCAATAATTAATAACAATTCCAGTAAAATTCAGAGTTTTATTTCCTTAATAGCAACCTCACTGGAAAATTTTTTATAACAAAAACTGGTAAAAAATTGACTTGTAAAACTTAAAAGTTGTCTATGGAATTGAATGTACCCTATAGGGACTGATTTTTGGAAAAACAAGGGTTCACTCAATAAGAGAATGTCAGGGCCAAATATACATGATGTCCCTTTTGATTTACTCTTACCGTATGTCAATGAAGAATTCATCACATTCGCACTAAACTTGACTCGATTCCCTTAAAATTTTTGAATAGACTATTTGAAGAAGCTAAAACACGTTCATACTTGGATTCCTCAACTGCAGAATACAAGCTGGTGTTTTTGATTGTGGACGTTTCCCAGCATAGGATCTTTAAGCATGTGTCGGAAGATAATAATTCCGATTCAATCCGTCAGATTCTTAAACTTAAATTTGAAAACAAATAAAAGGTATATATGCTATGAACATTAGTAATATTCTTAATCATAAAAAAAGTTCAGTCTTGCATTCCACCATATTTCAAGTTGAAATCTACATCCCGCAATTCCTGCATATATTCCCAAATTATTGCTTCCAACTTTTCAATTATAAACAAACCTTGAAGTGCCTAGATATTGAACATCTAAAACACTTCCTAAGTGCTATTGCTCTTCCTCTTCCTTCGATATAGTCCCGATGGACACATCATTAATTGCGATGTTAATGTAGTTGAAAATGACGACCTAACCTAAAAGCAATCATTTTAAAAGGTCCCAAATATAGGGAGCCCCGATCTATCAATTGGCGGCAGTGTGATATATATTAAAGAATCGTGTTAGAAAAATAAAAGGCATTCCTAAACTTCATAAAAATCCTTAGAAACAGAGATACATTGTAGGGGTCCAGCAGGTGCTGTACCAAGCAACTATCTTTACTCATCACAAATATATTAACTGCTGTAAAGGAGAAACTTCAAACGTACTCCGCTACAGCATATTCTAGAGGTGGTTTAAATCAGATGTGAATTAACAAAAACTCCAAAGAACTTTTAGAAAACAGGGATTTCTGTTTACTATATTATCTTTTCACATTTTCCTAAAGGTGCCCTATGTTGAAAATGAAAAAGATAAGCTCATAATTTATATACACCTTTATACCGTAATTGTTTTTCTTTAGTGTACAGAGGGTCCTTAAAACTAAGTTCTTCTACAAATACAAAGATTTGTCAGCTGGAACCATAATTATATTTTTCATGTAGTCTTTCTAATTCTTTTATCACTTTCGGTTTACTGAAAATGGATGGATAAATGATTTGCAATTTGCCCTTTAATTGTCTAATGCGATTCTTAAATTTACTACTGAAACTCTTGATCCACTCTGACAGAATGTCGAGGTCTTCCCCTTCATATTAAGACAATGCATAGTCTAGCATATACTCCTCGACGGAATTTATAAAAGAATTGAGGTTTTTTGCCATATGAAAGATTGGAGCTTTCTGAATTTTTGACATTTCAAACTATACTTACATCAGCTGTAATGATGTGTCCAGGTGGACTGTAGTTGAAAGAAGGAGATCAAAAGCACTTAGGATTTTTTTTAAATGGTCAATATCTAGGCACTGCAGAGTGTATAAATGTAAAATTTGGATGTAAACAGTATCTGTAGGAAATGCAAGGCGTAGACTTCAATTTTAGATATGGTAGAAAACAAGACTGAACCCTTTTATGATTAAGGATGTTACTAATGTTTACAGCATCTACACATTTGTTGTAAATTTAAGCTTAAGGAATCGAAGGGTTGACTCGGGGTTATTGTCTTCCGTGACACCTTGCGGTTAGAGCCTGTGTTGGGCAATATCCATAATAACTACTAGACTTTTTCTGGTGTTGAAAAATCCAAGTATGACCTTTCTTAGCTTTTTCAAACAGTCCATATATTTTTCCTAAGGATAACATTATAGTTTACAATTTATAACACCTCTAGTTTTTCCTAAGTAATCTTACGCGTACATGTATGATAAAAAAAATAATTCTTACAAAATTGGACATTGTACTTGATATTTTATTTCTGTTATCACATATAAAGTTATCAGTTTTGATTAAGGAGTGTAAAGATTATTTTAATATTTTTTGAAGAATATATGTGCGTAGTAGTGAAAAACGTACATCTGCAATGAGAGAAATAATTCATGTTCAAGTTGGACAATGTGGCAACCAAGTCGGTTCCAAATTTTGGGAGGAAATTTCTCAAGAACATGGGATAAGCAGCGATGGGAAATACAGAGGGAATGAAGACATCCAATTGGAGCGGATCGATGTCTTTTTCTCTGAGGGTCACGCTGGTTCTTATGTCCCTCGGTCGTGTATGGTGGACCTCGAACCCGGGACTATAGATGCAATCCGTGGCGGACCTTATGGTAAAATGTTCAGACAGGATAATTTTGTCTTCGCACAAAACGGTGCAGGAAACGTTTGGGCGAAAGGTCATTACACAGAGGGAGCGGAGCTTGTTGATGAAGTACTGGATATCATGAGAAAAGAGGCAGAAAATTGCGATTGTCTCCAAGGTTTCCAGTTGCCGCATTCTTTGGGCGGTGGGACCGGATCGGGAATGGGCACATTAATATTAGAAAAGATCTCGGAGGAGTTTCCAGATCGTATGAAATGCTCCTATTCCATATTTCCGTCATCCACAGTAAGTTTATTACTAGAATTAACACCCATGTAGTATCCCTTAAATAAGGGTTTTTTTCCACGACGCTTAAATCGGGATATTGGTATATATCTTTCTCAAGCGTAGAAAATAGATCAATTAATTAAGATTTGAATTTAATGTAATAGTATGACAAGAGCACTAGTATGTATTTTTCCCAATAAATAAATAAATTCTAATTTTATTATTCCGAATGTCCTCACGGGTAAGTACTTAATTTAATTTATCATCAACTAAAATATTACAATATAAATACAGTAGATAAGTAATAAGTGAACTTATTTGATAAATATACCTAGAAAAAATTACATATTTTTTATCACAGTTTCAGAGTTCTCAGTCTGTTCTGATTTCTATTTGACAAGGTTCATTCACCTGTGAATATTTAAAACGCTAAATATACCCGAATGGTCAATAATATTTAAATTCTATAAAATTTCAAAGGAAAATCTTAACCAAATGAAAATTAGAATTAGAAAGTTAAGTTTGAAAATGTATTTAATTGATATGAAATTCATACAATTTTTGAATCTATGAGCACATGTAAAAAATTAGTGATATACCTTTTGTGGTTTAATTTTTTAACTCAGAAAGGAAGTACATATAATATTTCTTAAGAGAATCGAAGTACACGCAAGTGTCACATGATTGGTAACAGTATTTTTTTTTATCATTAATGTCAAAGAAAAAGATTACAATCTATCATCTTGACTTGACCTTACTCATATTAAAATAACAAGGTCATCTTTTATTTCATATCACTAATAGTGATAAAAATGACAGTAACATTTTATAACGAAAATTAAACAAATCGGACTAAATTTCAGGTCTCCAACGTGGCACAGGAACCTTACAATGCAGTGCTTGCCCTTCATGAACTTCTTGAGCAATCAGATCAAACTTTCTGCATCGATAACGAGGCTCTCCAAAAGATCTGCTTAAAGAATTTGAAAATCCCGAACCCGAATTACGGAGATCTTAATCACCTTATTTCCCATACGATGTCCGGTGTAACGGCGTCTTTACGATTTCCAGGGCAACTAAATTCGGATTTGCGAAAACTGGCCGTCAATATGATTCCATTTCCGCGTCTTCACCACTTCATTCCAGGATGCGCTCCACTGACCGCCCGGAATTGTGAGCAGTTTAGGGCACTCAGTGTTGCGGAACTTATCAGGGAAGTGTTCGATTCGCGGAATATGTTGACAGACTGTGACCCACGGCATGGTCGGTATTTAACAGTAGGCACAATGTTCAGAGGCCGGATATCTATGATGGAGGTTGAGTCAAAACTCATTCAAACCAGAAATAAAATGTCCAACCACTTTGTGGAATGGATACCAGATAGCATGAAATTAGGGGTATGTAATGTCCCACACACGGATTCCAAGCTTTCAGCTACATTTATCGGTAACAACACTGCAATTCAAGAAATATTCCGGCGCATCGTTGATCAATTCCATGTCATGTTTCGACGAAAAGCATACCTACATCACTACATTAATGAAGGTATGGATGAAATGGAGTTTACGGAAGCCGAGTCGAACATAAAAGATTTGATATCCGAGTATCAGCAATGTGAAAGCATGGACGTCGTGGATGAAGATCCGCAGGTAGGAAATGACGAACACGAAGATTGCTGACGCTATATGTTCGGACGATGAGAAATAAGGTTTAAAACTGTACAAGAGAAATAATGTTAAGGAGATGCAGACCTTAGTATGTATTACTAATATAATAATATTATGTTTTCAGATGTTTTCTAATTTTTGTCAAACAGGTCTAGGGATTAAAAGCATTTTAAGTATTTTAAAGAAAAATTCCTGCAATGGTGCTATTGACCGTTTTTGATTATAATAAATTTTGCTGCTCTATCAATTATTAAAACTGTTCTTGGATAATAGATTTTTGCAATTGTTATTGGTCTACATAGTGTTATAACTTTTGTTTACCTATGGAATATTATAAATGTAGTTGGTCTATTGAAAATTATAATGTGGTTGGCATATATGATAATTATAATTATTCTTGGTCTATCGATAATTTTTCGTCGAGGTATACTTTTTGTTGTTTTTTGTGGAAAGAAGACGCCCACGAATTCATTTACACAATGGTATATTAAAACTTCAAGCTGCAATGTAATAACCATGCCTTCAACAACAAAATCAAATCATTGCAATCATATTTTTTTTCTTTAAACCATGAAAAAATTGACCTATAGGGTTCATGGGGTCCGGCCCCTGGGATTTTTAGAGTGATCAAAAGTATATAGTAAACTAACCCAACCCCTAACCCCCTTTAATAACACAGACCTCTGGTAAAAATGACAGGGATAATCAAGCTCAAAAGTCCATATTGAAACAATTCAAATAACATGGACCTCTAAAAACATCAGAGGTAGACAATTCAGTGTGAAAATAAAGGCCTAACACTTTGTTTAAAAAACGTTAGTCAACATTCGACTTGGATTGTATTTGCTGACATGGTCATCGTATCGACCATAGAATTTGCAAATTAATGACTTTAAACAAGGCCATTCCAAGTTTTTTCTCCGTTTAGCGTCCACCCATCTTTCAAAACTTATCTATCTATTCGCAAAAAAAAAAAAAACAAAAAACAAAAACAAAAACAAAAAAAAAAACAACAACAACAACAACAACAACAACAACAAAAAAAACAAAACAAAACAAACATACAAACCCACAGACTTTATAGTCATAAAAATAACGTCATTCAAGGATTTGATTTCATTTTTCTATTTTTCTCGTAGAAAGATCTATTCTTCAGTAAAATCAAATTATTAAATGTTTACAATATTTCTTATATGACAAATTGTAGACAAATATTCAGAGAAATTGACGGAATTCAGTGATTTCGACCAGAATAATCAATTTCAGGACTTCTGATTTTGTGTTTTTTTTCTGAGGTGTCAAAAACCAAGGCGCACGCGGACGCTAAACATATAAAAACTTGGAATGGCCCAAGAATGTTGATAGCCTTGTTTCATCAACTTATCTGTCAATAGCTTGCCACTTTTCCGCCTAAATATGGCTGAAATATTGCCGGCACGGCATTAAACAATAAACAATCAATCAATAGCTTGCCACGATTTGGAGCCTGCTCTTGCGTTTCGAATCAACTGAGATAGATAAACTCCATATTCAGGTTTGGAGAAGTTGATATTTTTTTTTTTCTTGATTGTAAAAAAAATATTTGAGTCAGATTTTTTTTCCTTGGGTGTCGATCCCCCCCCCCTCTCTGTGAAAGGCGTAATAACTTAAAACCTTAATTTTTGAAAGGCGTAACAACGCCTTATTGAAAGGCGTAGTAACGCCTTTTAAAAAGGCGTAATAACGCTTTTTTGCGTTATTACGCCTTTTCAAAAGACGTTATTACTCCTTTTCAAAAGGCGTTATGTCGCCCGCGTGGCGCAGTGGTTAGAGCGTCTGCTCTAGAGTCGCGAAGTAAGGAGTTGATCCTTACGTCGCGGGTTCGAATCCCACTGTGGGACGTGGAGACCGGTCCTTCGGATGAGACCGTATAAACCGAGGTCCCGTGTCGCAGAAGGTGCTGGCACGAAAAAGATCCCTCACTGCTCAATGGCCGTAAGTGCCGAGTATAGGACAAAATTTGCAGCTCTTCACTGACAAGTGGTGGCGTCTCTATATGAGTGAAAAATTCTCGAGAGGGACGTTAAACAAAACACAAAGATTTTTTTTCTCCATAGATTGATCCTAATAGGCTTTCGTAGAGAAGAAATTGAAGTATAACTAAATCGAGAATTTTTAAGGGTAAAAAAAATTGCTTCATTGAATAGATAACAAAATTGTCGGGGGCCCTTAAGGTTAATACTTTAAATTTATTGACTGGGATCGAGGGCAACATGCGTTTTGTCGGACCCAAGAGCCACGTTAGGCCTTAGGCAAACAGTTTAGTTCGAGGGGTCGACAAAACGCGGTTTGCCCTAGAGCCCAGTCAATAAATGTTTTGTTACACCTTTCATTTATTTTTTTTTTTAATTGTTGTTGTCATACATGTATCTTTTGCTGGCTTCCATAACAACAAATGCAAATAAGCGGTCCAATATCTCGTCCACAGGTCCAATATCTCACTTTGCGGTCAAACATCGATTTTTTTCTGACCCGTCAGCATAACATTAGAAATGTTATACTTTTTTTAGTATAGCTTTACATGGGAACTAATTTTTAAAGGTTTGTCCTACACCATCGAGATGTCGGACACATATCATGGTAATTAATGATTTAAAGAAAACAAAGTTTTCATATATGCAATTAAATTTATTCTTCTATAATTATATCCAAATACCAGTATCAGCTTTGCTTTATGGTGTAAATAAATAATAAAAAAAACTCGATAATAAATATCCCATATACAGTTAACATCAAGATCAACAGAAATATACTTTTTAAATGTTAATCCTGCGATGATATAAATAACAAAGTCCATTATTTAACGACACCATTTGTTGTAGGACAACACGCATTCCATCTTCTTTGTTTCGGGGAAAAACACAAAAATCTCCTCGCGCAGATCTCCCTCTTTCATCACCATTATAATTTTCCTTTGTTCGTAGGCGTTACGGAAACTATGGGGGAAAATAACGTATCCGTTATCACTACACCTTTTATGGTGAATATCATCTAGTTAATCCGATATATGAGATGAATGTGTGGGTATACTTACAAGAAATACTTGTAATTCGGCGTAGTCACCTGACGAGTGTCGGTGGTAGCCTTTCTAAATGGAACACGGTCTTCAAAAGACATGAAAAAATATATCATTAGGAATTACTGACTAATTACAAGTGTATATACATAAGAATGCAAACTTAATTAAACTTCAATTACCCTGCATACCTATCAGGTACTGGAAATCTCCCTTCACGGCCTGGGTTAGGCGTGTGGCAACGCACTTTGAAAAAATTAAGCACTTTGAAAATTTTTTTCAGAGTGCGTTAAAATTGGGACCAAATCAACGCACTTTGAAATTTTTTTTTTCAAAGTGCGTTAAGAGTGTACATCAACATTTTTTACCATGGAAACACTTAACGCACTTTGAAAAAATACGTATAAAACAAAAATTCTGGACTTGTATTTTAATAATAGATAGCATTAATTTGTTATATTTCTTCCGAAAAACTGATGAATTGATCTACCCTCATCGAAAACGAAGAGAAGACAGGTAGAAAGTCCCTCAGCCCAACTCTCTATCTTTCCTACACAAATATATGTATTTTTATAACTGGTATGGCATTGGTATTATTTCTCTCAATAAATTTAAGTTAACGTAAAATAGATGAAATAATTGAGATAAGCTTTCCTGAAAAAAAATTACGTATACCCTATTATATTAAAGAAGACAGCCGCATAACCTTTATCAAAAATGTATCCACAATGATTCCTCAGAAAAAAAAATGCATTTACATGGTAATTAAAACATGCTATTTGACATGTCTAGCTTTTTATGATATCAAATTACAGATTTACTATCAAATAAATGGGTCAACCATTATTTCATATATATTCACAATAAATAGATGGATGGATATGATAGAAAAATAGATGAGAGAGAGAGAGAGAGAGAGAGTTTTCATGGTAAGGAAAAATCATAATTGCTCCCTTTTCCCTAAGAAAAATGCGATGCTTTAAGTCACTTGTCGACACCTACATCTACCGAACTTATTAGAGACTGGATAAAATTTAAAAAAGAAAAGAAAAAAAGAAAGAAACGAAACTGTATAGTAAACAATCATTCCTCCAATATTTCTAAGACCCATTTCCCTTTTAAAACAGTTACCAGAACCTTTGGAAACAAGACAACCCCTAAAAATATTTAAAACGTCTATATCTCAGATCCTGACCTCACCACCGAAAAATTATCCAACCAGGTTCAAATAATTATTTATCATACCTAAAATTTGCAAGAATATTGACCAAGCCGTGCACATTTTTTTTCAAAGTGCGTTAATATGGTCGATATTAACGCACTTTGAAAAGAATTTTTTTTTTTCAAAGTGCGTTAACGTTGTCCCAAAATTAACGCACTTTGAAAGATTTTTTCAAAGTGCGTAATTTTTCAAAGTGCGTTGTAACATAGGCGTCCAAATAAAGATGTGGACCAGTACCACATCTTGGATATAGCGGTGCTAGCAAGTATTGTCACAGAGGAAATTCCCATTTCTACAGCCATCTGTTTAAAACAATGCAAAAATTGTAATCATATGAGACAGCATACTGCCAATTTCTCCTTACAAGCATATACATGTACGAGCTAATTCTGTTGATAGAAGAGACAAAAAAAGTTTAAAAAGGGATCTGGAAAGGGCGCCTGTTACCTATATAATTCATTGAACTCAAACAGAAAAGCCTTAGGGTTTTACTTTGGGGGGGGGGGGGGGGGGTCGTCGATGGACTCCTATGCCATAAGGACTTATTAATTTAAAGTCACCAAATATTCGCGAGACAATCAATTTATCCAAATGATCATTACCACTATTATTATTATTCATTTATAGTATGGTATGTATATAAATATGACTTACATTGATGTTATAATTCAATGAGATAACAGTCGTGATTTATAATTAACCCCATACTCACACTATGGAGGTCCTCCTGCCCAGGGCAAGGCTTTGGCTCCTCCACAAAACCAAGCCAAATACCAAACTTCTCAAAGCTACTCATTGGCTTTTCTTCACTATATCGATGAAAACGATGAATATAACAAACCAAATTTCAAAGAAAAAATATTGCTTTAGAAGATAGTGAAACATACTAGAGCGTATTCAATCCAAAAGCATTCCAAATCTTAAATATGAAAAATAACATACGTTTCGTCATATTAAGATGTAAATGCGTATGTTTCCTCCTGTATGCCTTACTTACCAACAGAAGTATTCTTTGTGCTTGGCCCTTATGAAAAGCAACAACAAAGGTCCAGTGGAAGACAAAGAAAGCCATGATTCAATGCTTGAAGTACTATCGAACGAAATTCACTCACTCATAGAATTGCGTCTATGTATCTCTAAGACAATGCAATGACGTCATAGTGTTTAAAAGTTATTGTTACGTCACAATCCTTTATGATACATAATTGATGACCGTCAAGCAAAAACCACACTTAATTAAGTCAAAAATTAAACATTTTTAGGTGTTTAGTGAATCTGATAGACAATTTTCTCCTCTTTGAAATGATATGTAACATGTTATTATTTATAAACTAAAAGCAAGTCAAAGATTTAAAATAAAAAATACAAATTGTATTTCATGACATATCCCTTCTTCCTTATGTGTTGAAAATGTGACTTTCTTATATAGACCTGGCGCTTTTCCTTGGAGTGGAAAGCAAGCTCACAGAGCAATCAACTTCACTCCGTCTTTACAGTTTCCTTATAAAAGCAATCCCAGCATCCACCAAATATCATGTTTAAGGACTTGCATATGAAGAGAAGTTTTTGACTGTTAGCCAGCCAATATAATCTCCATAATCTCCCTGATAAATATGTACATGTACCTGTTCTTAGGAATAGAGGGATTAATTATTTGAAAACAATTAACAATGTATGTTTATTACTGCTTGATTATAGATGACATTTTTCCTTAAACTAAGACATAATTAAAACCTGACCTATTTGTTTGCTATGCTGATAATAGCGCATTACCAGAAGTGAATTCGGAATTTGCAGTGTGGTTGGGTGGGGTTGGGGTCTAATTTTTTTGTTAAAGAAATAATTATTAGGATGACGATTTCCGCAAAGGATAAAGTTGTTCAAACGTATAATTTAGAGACCAGTCATGGGGAGAGGGAGGGGCAATTTCTGGTACTTTCCCTATAAGCACGCATTCCGTGCGCCCCTCCTCCCGGTGTGACATACATTTTTATATTTAAAAGAAATGACATCTGAAGCATTGTCACAACTACACTTTTAAATAAAACTCGACTTCGCCTAATCTAGGGAGTTTTCCGTGAAATATATCCCCTCTCTACAGATTTACAACTGAGGCGGGTTGTACAAACAGCCTTGAATGTTGTTAATCCCACTGCGTGTCTACTTCCGGCTGGCTGAGGGAGACCGTACTGTTCGGCATTATTCAGAATAAACTTCATTTACCTGTGTTTGCAAGGAAGAAGGAGGAAAATAATCCGAAAACAAGCAACTAACTCATTATAAGTTTCTAATAAAATTGCACAGTTGTGGTGTGATCCGTAGATTAAAAAACGCACTTAAATTAAGAAGCTTAAACAGAGCTTTAATTTTAACTACATGTTAAATTTTTCATCAGTTTTAAGAGTAATTTGAATCAACAGCATTTATTAAAATTAAAATATATTTCTACGACCTCATTAAAGTTATAATCGCTTTTACTCCAATCTTAGCCAAACACGTACACATATATTATCTCAATAAATTTATGAGGCAACACAATTCAGGATCTAAATAATAAATTTGATTTCAATTTCATCATAATTTATTATCTTCTAAAAAAGAGGCTGTGTTTCTCTTTGATTAACTGATCGAATGATTCATAATTTTATAATTATGTTGCAGTATTATTCATTTTCAGAGTATGAACTGAGTACAAGCTAGTAAAAAATCATTTTGTTTAAAAACAAAATATTATAACAATTGTACGTTTAAAATTAATTTGTCATTTCCCCCTAGAAATAGTCATTTGCATTATTTAACTTTCCACGTCACAACGGCTCTTACATCTATTGAGCACACACGTTTTGAAAGGCACAAAATTCAATGTAAAGATTAAGGAAATCAACAAATATGAAGAGAGAGAATGTAAATATAAGCATCGAATTCTTATTTATGGATGTCGTCGGTCCTATAACAGCACCAGTCCGTACCGACAAATTACCATACCGAGCTAAAGCGCGGTACTCAATTTGTAGGCAAAGCCAGATGCTGTTATAGGACCGACAACATCCAAACATTAAAATTGAATGCTGAAATGAATATAAGATTTTGGAAAATCATTAACCTTTAAAATTTTTTTATACGAGTGAACAGAGGGATGATGAACCTTAAGGACAGAGGATGATGAACCTTAAGAACAGAGGGAGGATGAACCTTAAGGACAGAGGGATGATGAACTTAAAGGACAAAAGGGTGAGGAAACTTAGGGACAGATGGATGTTGAACATTAAGGACAAAGGGATGAGGAAACTTAAGGACAGAGGGATGATGAACCTAAAGGACAAAGGGGTGAGGAAACTTAAGGACAGAGGGATGATGAACCTAAAAAAAACAGAGGGATGATGATTTAAAGGACAGACGGATGATGAACCTAAAGGACAGACGGATGATGAAACTTAAGAACAGAGGGATGATGGACCTTAGGGACAGAGGGATGATAAACCTTAAGCCTTAAGGACAGAGGGATGATGAACCTTAAGGACAGAGGGGGTGATAAACCTTAGAGACAGAGGGATGATGAACCTAAAGGACAGCGGAATGATGAACCTTAAGGATAGAGGGAGAATGAGCTTTAAGGACAGAGGCCGGATGAACCTTAGGGACAGAGGGATGATGAAACTTAAGGACAGATAGATGATTAACCTTAAGGACAGATGGAGGATGAACCCTAGGGACAGAGGGAGGATGAACCTATAGAGAAAGAGGGATGATGGACCTTAAGGAGGGAGGGATAATAAACCTTAATGACTGAGGGAGGATGAACCTTAAGAACAGAGGGATGATGAACCTTAAGGTCAGAGGGAAAATAAACCTTAATAACAGAGGGATGTTTAACCTTATGGACATAGGGATGATGAACCTTAATGACAGAGGAAAGATGAACCTTAAGGACAGAGGGAGGATGAACCTTAAGGAAAGAGGGATGGTGAAGCTTAAGGACAGAGGGAGATTGAACCTTAGGGACAGATAGATGATGAACCTTAAGGACAGAGGGATGATGAACCTTAAGAACAGAGGGATGATGAATCATAAGGACAGAGACTTGAGGAACCGTAAGGTCAGAGGGAGATGAACCTAAAGGACAGAGGGACAGTGAACCGTAAGGACAAAGATAGAATGAACCATAGGGACAGAAGGAGGATGAACCTTAAGGACGGAGGGATGATGGAAATAAAGGACAGTGGGTCATTTCGTTGTCAAGTCTGTATATAGATTAATAAGGAATTCATTGCTTAAAAATCCATTATATACCGGTTTTATTTTATCTTTACTCGTTCCCAAGTTAATAAAATTTAATTTAACAAATATTTCAAAGAACTGGGAATTATATGATGTTTTGACAGTCCATGTCTACTACCTTGACGACAACTCTCTATTTTTAATTCTTTGAACAAGATAGTAGTTTCATATTTGGACAAGAGTAGAATCAAAGCTGATCCTTCATGTCAACGTTAATCCTTTTTACAACCAATCATCATTGTAAAAGGTGAGGATAACGAACATGATCAAATTCAATAATCCAACAAACAAAAATGAATTGTAAACATGGAAAAAAAACCGTGGGATCAGGAGCCTATGTGGAATAAGCATCCTCTGTCGACAGGTCACACCGCCGTGAACTCCTTGTATTGACCAGGTAGACGGAGTCCTCCGTAGTCGAAATTTAGTTTTAAAGCAATGACATATGAAACATGTCAGACAAAATACGACCCAGAGATATGTTGTATTTAAAAACAAGGTCATTACAAAAGCTGACTTTAAAGCTGGTTGGTGAAATACCTTGTAGCATGAACTTATTTATCAGTAGCTTGCCTAGGTTTAAAAATTGATCGTATTCACAGCATGCTTTTGCGTATCGAATCAGTTCGGAGACATAAACACCTTATGCAGGTGATGTTCGAATATTGCTACATAAATAAGGGGAGTTGACGATGGAATATCTGAAGTTACCCCTTTATCATATAGTTTAGTTATTAGTTGGCCATCATTGTCTAGTCAGAAAAACATCCAAATATGAAATGGATGTGGTAGACGATGGAAAATCTGAAGTCACCCCGTGTCAATCCTCTATAGTCAGTAAAATATCAAAATATGAAACAGATGTGATACACTTTGTAGGGTCTTTACTTTCGAGTTCAATGGAGTATATATCGAGTCGACGTATACATGAATGAAAATAAATATTGTTAATTTATAAAACGTCGTCGATAAATCTAAATGTTGAGTTGAAGGCCACGGCAAGAGTTTTCTTCTTCTCGTAAAGAGGTTTTTGAATACATTCTGCTTCATAGAATTATAAAAGCAGGCCGGCTAATAAAAGTGCCCATCGTAATTCCTACAGATTGTTGAAAGACCAGAGACCCGTTTTACTAAAGAACTTACGAATAAGACCAAAAATTTCAGTCGATTGTAAAATTTTACAAAATTAATTATTTTGTTTAAAATTGCTAGCGTAAAAGTATCTTTCTACATACCTTTTAAAAATATTAAATCCATTTTCTTTTTAATGTAAATTAAAAAGTTATTAGCAGAATTAAATTTAGGTCTTAGTCGTAAGTTCTTTTGTAAAACAGGCCCCAGGTCTCCAAAGACTACACAAGTATGGTCAATGACAGCCTCCAGCATCTTTCTGATATCAGCTTCAGAGAACTTGTATGTAGAATCAGAATAATTTTTTACAAAGTAATTTTGTACAGATGACCAATCGCAAGATATGAAAATTCACGAGTTCCATTTTTACTGAAGAAGCAGTTTTCTATGTTGTCAAAAAGCCTGCTCTCTAATTTATCGTGAGGAATGGTTGTATAAAGCATAGAAAATTCATGTGTTAATACTATTGATGTTTGAAAAGTTTTGAGATCTTACATTTTTCAAACGTTCTTTGGAGCCTTTTTTAGAATCCACATTTGATTTAAATCGCTTCTTGATTATGTTGTAGAACAATTAATATTTTGGTGAGGAGTAAGGATAGGGGCTTGGTTGAACACGTACTTGACCCTGCAATGTATCGATCTTTGTAAGGATTTCTATGAAGTTTTGGAATCCAGTATAAGAACGGTAAATCAAACTCACTTCCATTGACAGTTTTCTTTAAACTACACCAGAAAGTTATTCATATTCCGGCAACGTAAAGAATAAGTTCAAACTTTTTTCACTACGTCCTTCATGAATGCCACTTTCGGCATCGGTGGGGGTGGAGGATTTCTTCATCATGCGAGTCCTTTTCAGATACAATTGATGCTATAATATACATCTACATTTCCTTTTTTTTTTTTATTTTGGTGTATGCGTTTACTCACTTGTTTTAAATTTGTTTCTTCATTATCAATGAAATTAAGTTGTCTTTATATATGTCATCCATAAAAGTCATGCAATGTCAACCATTGTTACATGGCGTGTATGGAGCAGGACTAGAGACTACGTAGTATATATATTACGCAGACTTACGCTTACAATTTCAGATTATTGCTTTTTTAAATGTCCTTTTCAAAAGTACTTTTCCTAACACATTTCATCAAATGTTTGCCATCAAAATCTCTTAAGCTCTTGTAAATGCTTCCGGATGAAATGGATTTATAACCAAGATCGCCATTTTCTGAAAAAAATGAATAGGGGGATACGAAGAACTATTCTTTAACAAAGTAGTCTATGACGTTTAAATGTTTGAAGTACAGGGATATTTCCTTTCGCGGTGTAGTCTTTGGCAAAGGAAGTATTATAATAGATTTTTTATTGGTTTTTACAGTTTGTACCCTAATCGATCCTCGTCTCAAGTCTCACTGGTTATTCTTGGTGAGGCAGATGTGCACTGTGCAGAGTAATATTAAATATACTATCAACGTGAAAACTTCCACACATTTTAATGACGCATCACAAAGAAGCTCATGTACGCGAAATACTACTAGTATTTGCATATGAAGTAGGGTCATTTACGCTATGCAGTAGATAGTTTTCGATACGCGCGATTTTGGCAAGAGTTATTTCCCGTTGGTCGCCATACTGGAGGTCAACAAGCCCCAGATTCCTTTAACAATTCAATGTTCAACCAATTTTAAACTTTTCATACTGGGCATTGAGGTGAAAATAAAACAATTATATTTGCAAAAGCTTCCCTTAATTAATAATTTTAGTATTTTCAAGATTTTTGTCCTTATATTTCTATCATATATGTTTGAAATTGGTTGCTGAAAGAGGAAAACATCACCAGTTAAACTCCAAGATGGCGGTCAAGGGAAATAATTCGGAAGAAAAATACATCATAACTATCTATTAGCCAAAGCAACCAGGATTCAAACGTGGAACCTCCTTGAGGTCTTGACGTCATAAATGACATGGGGAAACGTGAAGTGTAAATACCTTTCAATTTAAAAATAAGTTTATTGACTACAACAACTTGTTGAACTTATTTTCTTGGAATTGAAAAAAAGGAATATCCATAAACCAAAAATATCTATTTACAAATATCTCGTAACAAAATCATAAACAATTGCGACTCTCCTTGAAATCATCACTCACATTTTGTCCATAAATAATGATATAAAGATCTTTTGTCGAGTTTAACTCTAGGAAAAAAATTATGACATAAGACTTGGAAGACATAAGCCTTTGGCTTCTCCCATATATTATCGCAACACGAACACTTATAAATGCGGCAATTTAGAGTGCAAATCTAAGGCATGCTGGGATTGGCTAGTTCCGGCTACAGACCAATCATTTGATTGGATACTTTGAAGCAGCGGAAGCTTGTGATTGGTTGCCCAGCATTAAAGATTACCTAGCAGCCAACAGGCGAAAAGATGGTTAAGTACTATCACAATACCCATTACATCCTTGGCACTAGGAAATATTTCGGGAAACGCACTAAAAAAATCGAGATCATTTTTTTCTTCCAATTTACAAATTCTTGGAACATTTAGCACCAACTGAGATCATATGTAACAAAAATATAACACTTTCTTAGAAAAAACTCTACAAAAATGCAACTAAAGTTAGTGAACTGGGGTCATTATTTCCTTTAAAAATTATATTGCCTGCTAGGTGCTTGATAAAAAGTATAAAAAAAGCAAAATTATCCCTTTTGGTAAAAAAAAAAAGTTGGATATACATGAGAGCAAGAACTATAAACATCTTGCACAGACATAGCGCAGTAATTCAAAAAAGCAACGTTTATTGAAGCTTCTTTGCTCAGCCCTGTATAAAAAAGCCGTAATAGTATGAGCCCCCAAAATACCTCCATGTGCCACCAACGTAACGAGAAGTGCAACAACTCAAAAAGGCTTTGTCTAGTACTACAGAGACGAGTCGGAATCAAATTGGGATATACACAAGATCACCATATCCACCCAATTTGATTCCAACATTTAGTCAACAACACTTTCTCAGTCATGTTCAGCGTCTCCATACGTTTGTGCATTTTTTCACAATTTATTTGTCTTTTTGCATTCAATCATCTATTTTTTTCTTCTTCTTTTAATAATAAAATATCTAGCACCTTGTAAAACAAACGAACCAAACTTGTGTACTGAGAAACCATTTTAATGATCAGCACCAAATAAGAACAGAGCTTCTGATTGGCCAATTGTTCATCTGCTCAGCCAAAGGGTGTTATTGAACTGTTTAGCGACAGTTAGTGTCGTTAAATATAATATATATAGAAATGGCAAAAAGTTTGTAACTTTTAACTAGAATGGCAGCGCAAGCTGTGCAGTGTTAAATGCGAATCACCTTGAGTCAAGATTCAAAAGACGAAGATAGGCAGCGTTTTTTAAAAGAAAATCACCGGTAAATTAAAGAAACATCACAAAGACGTAGGATTTCAATTCCATCTATTCAATGCCTAATTGCTTTGGTTCTCACATTTTCTGTCTTAAAGAATAGGTTTTTTTCTCCTTAGGAACTAGACTTCAGATTGAAATTTGAACCAGTTTGGCTTAAAACTTCTTTTTTTGGAAAAAAAAAAGCTTGCACGATATTTTAGCGTTCATTACTGAAGTTGTCCAAGTGGCCAAAACATGAGAAAATAAAACAATTATAAGGAAAACTCAGACAATGAAGGGAAAAAACGATTTCAATAGAAACTATTTACATGTTACTATGGCAACAGTAACCAGAAGATGTGAGATACTATATATATACACACACAATAAAGGACAACACAGTATGGTATATTTTGGATTATATTTTTGAGTTTGGTAAATGGCGTCTCTTTAAGAGCCTCCGAAGCTATGCAGACAAACACAATAGAAAGCAAATGGAGGGGCGGATCTCAAACGAGACCGCGCCCAGCACAAAAGCACAAGCGTATCTACATGATATAGCGTCAGTTGAAATAGTGACCCGGGGGTGCATGACCAAAATTTACACAGTCTGAAATAATCTAAACCAAGTAATATATAATATATATAGATGTAAATATATATGTATCATACGATAAAAATGCTAAGAAAATTTACAATTTAAAATCCATCACCGGAATAGACTCTTAATGAGAGTTAATGAAGTCTACATATACTTTCATGCAATAAAAACACAATCTGTGTGTGGATAAGGACACATAGCATGGAATAAAAGGGTCTCTTTTTTTACTACAAAATAAACAGAAATCGTTATATCTGCAGAAGGAAAGAAAAAAAAAGAAGATTTTTTTTGAGATAAGATGAAGTTTGTCTGTCCGCTGGCTTGTGAACTGTCATACAGTTCTGCAAATACATGGCTCACACAAAGCTTGTCATTTAAGCATCAAACTAGGTCACCCTTAGAAAGCTACAGCAACATGCCAAAGCAAAAGCAACATTTGTGCCTGGGTAACAACACTGAGCAACACTGCTTTACTAATGGGACCACTGCTGAATATGGTTACAGAATTCCAGTATTTCTTGTTAAAGCATGGTCTTATTGTAAATATGCAGGCTGCAGATGACATCATACTGATGGGTTAAGTAGGGCACACATGTTACTTTTGCTCTATCATGTTGCCAGGACACCAAATTTAACCCTCAGCATAGATTACATGTGAAGCAACAGGACTCAAATCATTTTGGAGGTTTTTTTTTCATCAGTTCTTAGAATCAATTTTCAAAAAATTTCGAAGTTAAAACAAAAAATTTAATTTCACTACATGTAATTCATGGTTTATGGATAGCAAGAATACTGACATCTCAATACTGAGTAAATGTTTCTAGTTTTCAAGGCAATGATTTGAGTCCATTTTTTTGAAAAATACACAGTTTGCGTTTTTTTTTTGACTATCAATCTACAAATACATGATACAAACTAGAAAAAATACATTTCTCAACACAAACCTAAAACTAGAGTGGAAAAATATCTTGAGAGAACATTACATGTCCATTCATAAACTCAGTTTTATAAAATGTCCATATATGGGCAAAACTTAATCTGCATATTCATTCATGTGTCTGACACACCCTTCAATAATCTGTACAAATCACAAACACAGAACTTGCACAATCTCCACCAATTATCTTTGCTCATAGTCTATTTCTAATACCTCTGCTTTTCTGCACGAAAAATTATCAAAAAAATATTCAGAATGCCTCCTTTTTCACAATATTTTACACAGCGTGTAAGGATCAAAATAAGTAATGCCTCGTGGTGTTTTTAGACCTATGAGCAAAGATTTTCAGTGATGATAAAAATTGTTAACACGATGATGAAATTTCATTACAAGTCACATAACAAAGTAAATATTAAAATTGAATACTATTATCACAAATAATGAAACAGTGAATCAATCCCTTTGTAGTTTATGAAAAAATGTTGGCATACTTTGTGTACATATTTGTAGGTCATATGCCCCATTGATTTCAGATTGCATGCAATCAACCTATTTCTCATAAGTTAATTCAATAATAAACTCCTTTAAAAAAAATTCAGCAATTATTTTTCTTATAAGAAACAATCATATATCTTTTAACTGCAACAAGAAAAATGCAAAAATTAACAATGGACAGACAGATTATATGGTTTATAAAATGGAAATATGACAATAACCATATATCTGCTCTTCTCCTAATTAAAGTGAAAGTAAATTAAACATGCCATTATTCAAAGTGAAACTAGATATATAACAGATGAGAAAAATTATTATGCTACAAAAACCTCAATGTGTCTGGATTCCCTTCTCTAGTTTTCTGTACCCTGTCCTTTACTTCTCACTTACAAAAGAATTTCTATTTTAAAAAAAAAAGGCCCTTGAAACTCAGAAAATAGAACCATTAAAAGAGCTATGTAAAAACTCCCAGCTAGTAGTAACACCCACTTCTTATTAATAAGAGAAATAGTATTGGTATAATTTGGTACTGAGACAATAAAATATACACACTACATATATATCATTTATATATTTACATGAACACAAGTTTCTTTCTGATCCACACTGATCATTAATTAAAACACACACAAAAAATCACATCATGAAAAATTCTCAAAAATGGCTGAATTATTTAAGTCACATGACTTGACAACATGCACCAATCATATGATCACAATTAGAAACATACATTATAATAATAATATTAATTTGAACTAAAAAAAAAATATGGTTAGGTTTTCAGTTTTCTGGAAGAATTTGTAATAGATTTCATGTTAGCAGTTAATATAGGGGGGTGTATATAGGTAACCTCGGGAAAAGGTAAAATACATGCATTTCCGAATATGGCACACGTTTGCTGCAAGATTTGTGTAGGTCTGGTGCACTACTTAGCTCTTAGCTACAACTGGTGTACGAGGTTCAGAACCCCTCTACCAAAAAAACATGGGAAATAGCACTATAAAACTCCCACCTGGTCAAGGTCAATGACCAGGATCAAGGTCAAAAGCGGGATTTCATTGCCCAACTATAGCACTATTTCTCCAACATGGCTAACCATTTCAAAGCTTGACAGAACTGATAAATGTGGCATTTACTGGGACATCCGAGTCAGCATCTTTCAATTTTTTTTCTTTTTTTAAAAGATTAAAAGAAAAAAAAGTTATATGGCACATTTTGAAAAAAAAAAATTGTTCATATAACAGTATTAGTGTGCACCTTATAAAATTGCACTTTCATATCATCAAAATATATAATTTTACAACAGTTCACGAAACTAAACTAGACCTATAACGACTCTAAATATAGATTCACAATTTTTTAAAATATGTGACGCAAACATTCAATTCATAGACTATATGTTCAAGCCAAGGATGGGTGCGTTTTTTTTTTTTGTTATGTACATTGGCCATCTGAATAAAATAATTTTCTCTTGTAGAAGCAAAGTCAGGTCAGCTCTTTATCTTGACGAAATAACAAAACAAACAGGATATATATATAATAATGAATACATATGCACCATAATAAAGAGATCAAGATTTCTGTTGACTATGACTGTGTTTCTACAAGAGGTCATGACCTATATAGCTATAAATAGCCCCATACAGCAGCCCTGGGAGTGCGGCTAAAAGTTCTAAGCAAAAAAAGCAAATATTATCATAAAATGTCTTTCTTAGCCCCGATTATCTTAAACAAATTGCGTAGTAAAAAGAGTGAAAAGATAACATATCACAAATGGTTTGGTTATTTACCATTGGAAAATGAACAACAATTGTATAAAAAATTCTAAACACTTAATTAAAACACAGAACTTATCTGATATGATTCTGCTTCTGTGCGAAGTTTTTCCTTTTTTTCCTAAAACCAAACATTCAAAACATACTTTGATTAAAGTACATCCAACAGATGTGTTAAGAGCGTAAGAAGCCAATTAAATTTTTAAAAAGAAATGCATAATCATAAAAGAGGTCAAAGGTCAATATGATATGCTTTAGCACCACTGGATTATATGGCAACTGGAGATATCTGGAAAAAAAAACTCGACGTTGGCTTTTCCCCCTTCTGGACTGTACCTTGTCTTAGTCTTTAAAGAAATTGGAAATAAATGTTTGTGTGGTGTACTTAGTGTTCTCATAAGAGTAGACTCCCATTGCTTGGTGTATGATATTGTTTGGCATTCCCCGTCACTTTGAGGGTGGAAGGTTGACAGGGATGTGATAATATTTGCACATGGGGCGTGAGCACTTTCCTCGAACTGCATCACGACACACGGCAACGCGTCCATCCGTCACTTCAACATAGTCTGAAAAACAGCAAACAATCCTACAGAATGATCTATTCAATTTGAAGCTTACATTTTCAGCATCTGGAATGAGTATTCTCGACTAATTTATGCCTCAGTATTCTTCTTGTATAATTGTGGAATCATTTTATTTCACCAACATTAAAGTTTCCAAAAATTTACAAGCTCAATGAATATTTAAGTATAGCAATCCAAAATTGGCAACCAAGAACTTATATTCAAATAGATTCCACATTACTCATAGGCAGTAGAAATTACCAATTCCAAGTGGCATGTTTCATATATTCAAATCTTATCAGAAATTCTTCAAAACAAAGAAAAAAGAAATTGAACTGAAAACTTCACTTACATACTAAATGAACACAAGGGAAAACCATTACAAGGAAAAGTTACTTTAAGTTCTGGCTTGAGGTTTAAACTGCTTAAGAATATTTCTAAACTAGCCAGAAAAAAGAAAATTTTCACTCCCAAAGGGGGATCACTCTAATATCTTATGAGTTAAAACCCTTACCTTGTAGGATGTGCACTTTGTCGCACAATGGCCGATTACACCGCCCCATCTTAAAATCTAGGCACACTGGGAGGGTGTCCAGCAACTGCAAAAGTGTACATAAACCTCCATAACATCTCACCCCTCCCCATCCATCACACAGGCAACGGGGAAGGGGGAGAGAACTCAGCAGAGGATGTTAATCCCCTACTAATGTTCTAGCTCATTTAAAAAGGTTCTCAATTCTAAATTAGCAGAAATAAATATGAAGGAATTTTAGTTGTAGCTACTAAAGCAATACATGTCAGTAAAAAATTAGGGATGGTCTTGTCTTTTCATTCTACTTTTCTTTGATTTAGCAGAAAATGCAACCAAAAAAAATATAACGCTGATGCAATATTCAGATGGAATAGTGAAAAAAAAAATTCATAAGCATGCAAGGGAGTTATATAATAATTTTTCATAAAATCAGAATGCAGTTAGTAATAACACGACGTGTCATCCCCCCAGATTCCCATCACCATGACAACAAACAAACCGAACGTCTACTGTAGCTTATATAGTAACGGTCACACAACACAAACAGTATTCAAGTTCTTATCAATTACATCATGCATCACAATGCCACTATGATTTAAAATGTGTGTTATTAAAAGTGATACATGCAATGTTATTTCAAATTAATATTAGTCCAATTATAATTGCTGGAAAAAGTGCTATATATGTGTGTTGAAAAAAAAAAAAAAATCATAATCGTAAGTTTCGTCTCCTTCTCTTTCGGCAGAATCAATATAAACCCTAAGCTGTCCATAGTAAACCTGCAGCACATTGCCATTTCTCTACCAAACATATACTTCAAATTCTCGGCATCCAAAGATTTCATAATTTCTTTTTTTTTTTAAGATGAAAGATCACTGAATAATTTCATGTCTTTCAGACACACCTGCACTTGTCTTCAAATCTAATCCCACAACACATCATTGCCACATCAGCCAAAAATTCACAGCTTTTATTTTGAAAGAATTTCAAAGAAATGCAAGAAAAACTAATCAGCAAGCTGTCTCAGGGAATTCCTAGCATCTGTAAAATGTCACTTAGCATCATGAAAAGAGGCTTGCAAAGAGAAAACATTAAAACTGTTTTGCCTAGCTCTATTAGAACAACTTTGATTTTCAGCTGAAATTGAAAAAAAAAAATATGGCATTTCTAGCTTTTTTTCAAGTTTGAAATACTACACTGCAGTTTCTATGGTGACAGGAATCATGGGAAAGTAAAATCGCACATGATCTCCTTTTGTGTCAGTCATGGTCACTGAAATGTTTTTTTTAGTCCATAAAATTCAGCATTCAAAAAGTCAAGATTGGCTATGACAAAAACTTTGAAAAGATGTCCTCAATTCATTCTTCTCACTCTGACTCATTTCCTTTCAAAGCTGTGACATAACCATACTTGGCTTTATAGACTACTGAAAAATGGTTGCCATGACTACACATATAAAGCCTGACGCATGTTACCTGCTGGTTGGAGTCAAAATAATTGACGTTTTGAGCGTTAGTAGGAATCAAACTGGCGGCAGCAGGGGCCGTCACCACGGCATCAGGCACGGCAGGGGAAAGAACCAATGGCACTGTTACGTCGGGTATTAGTTTTCATGACCAGAATTACGTGCACATGATGAAAGCGATTTTATTTGAAAAACCGCATGCAGGTGACCGAAGCAAGTTAATAAGCACACAGGTTAGAGAAAAAATAAAAGAGAAAAAGAAAAAAAAAACATCATCAATAAAATTAAAATATGTGCTGGAAATAAAAAAAATTAGTGAACAAAAATCAGTATACATGACTTATGACACAGTGGGATTGTGTGACCAAAACAAAAAAAAAATGTGAAGAATTTCTATTTATTTTTTCTTATCAGCAGATCACCTGCATATTTTCAAAAAATTCATTTTAAGTTTTGCTCATCCCACTATATCTAATATATGATCATAAAACATGTACGCATGAAAAACATGCATGAAGATAATTTCAAATCAAATTTCAGCAAAAAAGAGAAAAAATTCAAATATACTGATGTGACAAGTGCAAAACTAAATGACTGTTAGTAAAATTAGTAAACCATTTAGTGTTTGACTTCATAGAGAAATCTAAAATCTCTGGACTTCTTTTCTTCTACATCTACTATAGTCCAAATAAAGAAATCAGAAATGAAGAGAATTTAGCTGGAATTTTGGAGAATTTTTTTTTAGTGCAAGTGGAATGCCCTGTCTACATATAAACTATTGCCCTGTGTTATATTTATAGATAGATAAAGGGAGAAAACTCACTTGACACAGGAACGTATTGCTGCTGTAAAGACAGGGCCGGAGAAGGTGAGCCGCTGGGGTAAACTGTGGTTTGTGGTGCACTTTTGACTGAGCAACAAAAAACAGCCTCATTAATTACTGCCATTAAAACGGTCGACCTAACAGAGGAAATTCTAACCTTCGTCCTTTCCTCTCTCTCCTTCGTTCCAAAATACAAATGGATGCAGTACTCTACTTTCAAATGAACATTTCTTTTCCAGCAGACAATGCAGTATTATTGTGTCCATTCAAAAATTTTAATGAATTCAATCAAGGGATGTCCAAAATAGATTATTCAACTACACCCCTCCCCCCACAATGTCTTTCAGTCAAAACACACTGTATTGTCAAAGCTGACCATACACTTGTTTGACTTCAACCTAACCTAGGGTATCAAAAACAGCCTTGTCAAAAATTGATCATAAAAATCATACTGTAATATTTTTGCAAAGTTTATTAGATAATGAAGAATTCAGGTAATTTTGACAAATTTCATTGGTTAATTGCAAAAAGAGTCCCATGGTTTTCTTTTCCATACACATGCAAATCCAGCAGTTTTATATTCACACTAGTTTGATGACAAGGTCTTGGGAACCAACAGTCCATTCTTAATCAGATCAGACCAAAAGACACGACCTTATATTAATTAATGGGTCGCAACGATTGAGAGTAAACATGAAAAGCAAATACGGCAAGCAATTATAAAAAGATGAAATTTCCAAGGCTGTTTAATGCTTATTGTCTCTCTCAAGGCATCTTTGATTTTTTTTTTCCATCTTGTTTTGTAGGTTTGCAAAACATGCATTATCAAAGTCTTGGAAAATGAACAGCAAATATTTAATCAAATTCCTCTTTTATGGCTTAATTCATCAAACCTTACATAATTTTTCAAAAAGCAAATTTACTTCACTCCTGTTTCAACAAAGTATCAATTCATTTCAGAGTTACAAACCAAGGAATGTGGTGTCTAGATAACAGTTAATTGGAAGAAAAGATGCTTTAAGAGAAATTCTGGAACGAACTTCTTCAACTTAAAACAGTATATTATTCAGCACAGAATGATGCATAAAATTCCTAGAAGCTAATTATGAAATCTACTTAAAATAAAATGACTATACTTTTGTACACAAGCCAATAGTTATTATTAAGGAAATTCCTCTAATTTGTAAAAATCAGGCAACATGTAAATATGATTAAATTGATTAAAGCCAGCAGGATCATGCCATGCTTGTTTGGAATCAATTTGGCAAATAGTCATGAAGAACTCAATGATGGCATA